ATATAATCACAATATGTCAGTATTACTCAATATATAATCACAATGTGTCAGTATTACTCAATATATAATCACAATATGTCAGTATTACTAAATATATAATCACAATATGTCAATATTACTAAATATATAATCACAATATGTCAGTATTACTAAGTATATAATCACAATATGTCAGTATTACTAAATATATAATCACAATATGTCAATATTACTAAATATATTATCACAATATGTCAATATTACTAAATATATAATCACAATATGTCAGTATTACTAAATATATAATCACAATATGTCAGTATTACTAAATATATAATCACAATATGTCAGTATTACTCAATATATAATCACAATATGTCAATATTACTCAATATATAATCACAATATGTCAGTATTACTAAATATATAATCACAATATGTCAGTATTACTCAATATATAATCACAATATGTCAATATTACTCAATATATAATCACAATATGTCAGTATTACGAAATGTATAATCACAATATGTCAGTATTACTCAATATGTAATCACAATATGTCAATATTACTAAATGTATAATAACAATATGTCAATATTACTAAATATATAATCACAATATGTCAATATTACTCAATATATAATCACAATATGTCAATATTACTCAATATGTAATCACAATATGTCAATATTACTAAATATATAATCACAATATGTCAGTATTACTAAATATATAATCACAATATGTCAATATTACTCAATATATAATCACAATATGTCAGTATTACGAAATGTATAATCACAATATGTCAATATTACTCAATATATAATCACAATATGTCAATATTGCTCAATATATAATCACAATATGTCCATATTACTCAATATATAATCACAATATGTCAATATATAATCACAACATGTCAATATTACTAAATATATAATCACAATATGTCAATATTACTAAATATATAATCACAATATGTCAATATTACTAAATATATAATCACAATATGTCAGTATTACTCAATATATAATCACAATATGTCAATATTACTCAATATATAATCACAATATGTCAGTATTACTAAATATATAATCACAATATGTCAGTATTACTCAATATATAATCACAATATGTCAATATTACTCAATATATAATCACAATATGTCAGTATTACGAAATGTATAATCACAATATGTCAGTATTACTCAATATGTAATCACAATATGTCAATATTACTAAATGTATAATAACAATATGTCAATATTACTAAATATATAATCACAATATGTCAATATTACTCAATATATAATCACAATATGTCAATATTACTCAATATGTAATCACAATATGTCAATATTACTAAATATATAATCACAATATGTCAGTATTACTAAATATATAATCACAATATGTCAATATTACTCAATGTATAATCACAATATGTCAATATTACTCAATATATAATCACAATATGTCAATATTACTCAATATATAATCACAATATGTCAATATTACTCAATATATAATCACAATATGTCAATATTACTCAATATATAATCACAATATGTCAATATTACTAAATATATAATCACAACATGTCAATATTACTAAATGTATAATCACAACATGTCAATATTACTAAATATATAATCACAATATGTCAATATTACTAAATATATAATCACAATATGTCAATATTACTAAATGTATAATCACAATATGTCAGTATTACGAAATGTATAATCACAGTATGTCAACATTACTAAATATATAATCACAATATGTCAGTATTACTAAATATATAATCACAATATGTCAATATTACTAAATATATAATCACAATATGTCAATATTACTAAATGTATAATAACAATATGTCAGTATTACTAAATATATAATCACAACATGTCAATATTACTAAATATATAATCACAATATGTCAATATTACTAAATGTATAATAACAATATGTCAATATTACTAAATATATAATCACAACATGTCAATATTACTAAATATATAATCACAATATGTCAATATTACTAAATGTATAATAACAATATGTCAGTATTACGAAATGTATAATCACAGTATGTCAACATTACTAAATATATAATCACAATATGTCAGTATTACTAAATATATAATCACAATATGTCAACATTACTCAATATATAATCACAATATGTCAATATTACTAAATATATAAATGCTTATACTGGTATATATTTTTATTTTTTTGGACTCAAATTTATTTCTAGTCTGAATTTGAAAAAGATGAAGAGAAACTACAGAAGAAACTAGATGATTTAAAAGAAAATAAAACCAAACTTGAATCCAATGAAAGGCTTAAAACAGAACTGAAGGTATGTATTTCTTGTGGTTTATTTTGTGTTATTTTTCGTTGTATGTAGATAGTTTGTCTAAAATAATGTGAAATAAAGTTTGCTTGATATAATTTACTTGTTTAGAGATTAAGATGGTTATTATATTATTAAAAAAATCCTGATACTTTTATTCTTGCACTGAAATTATAAATCGTGTGATGTATGGTTAACCTTATTGTACGTGTGATTGTCCCCGAATGTACATCTGAATAATAATAACAGAAGAGGACATTTAGAGATTTGGGAGGTTGAAAGGTAACAAGTTACTATCCAACAGAAGGCACTGACACAGGGTTAAAACAATGTTTAGGAATATTAAGGTTAATATGTTAAAATAGAAATTCATACTAGTAGTCCTAAGACCTAAAAAAACAATAAGATTATAAAAATAAAAGAAACTGTTTATGTTGTATGATATCAATCTAAACACGAGATATTTGTTGCTGATTTTCCAGGGAAAGAACACGAGTGAGATACGACAGATCAATCAGAAATTAAGTCAGATGGAAGCGTCTGCTGGTCGCCTGGAAACTATTACCAGAGATTTAAATAGAGCTGTAAGATATTTCTTCTAACTGAAATTCTTAACACAAATATGATTACTTGCTTGTGTTTCGAATATGACTGAAGGGGCATGGTATCTTTCGTTTGAGGTGGGACTGAGTTAGTGCTGGCACGATATATCGGTGAATCGATGTATCGCGATACGACATTCCACCATACGGGTATCATATTGCGACGTCGTGTATCGAAAATTTTTATAACAAAGTGGACGCTAACCATTTGTATGAACTATATTACCAAATATCACAGTTATAAAGTTATGAATTGATATATATATAGAAACTTTGAAAATGCTATTTTTTATCACAATACCCCATATTGTGATATGTATTATATTGTAACCTATGTATCATGATATGTACCGTATTGTGACCTATGTATCGTGATATGTAGCGTATGGTGACCTATGTATCGTATTGTGACCTATGTATCATGATATGTATCGTATTGTGACCTATGTATCGTGATATGTATTGTATTGTGACCTATGTATCGTGATATGTATTGTATTGTGACCTATGTATCATGATATGTATCGTATTGTGACCTATGTATCGTGATATGTAGCGTATGGTGACCTATGTATCGTATTGTGACCTATGTATCATGATATGTATCGTTTTGTGACCTATGTATCGCTATATGTATCGTATTGTGACCTATGTATCATGATATGTATCGTTTTGTGACCTATGTATCGCTATATGTATCGTATTGTGACCTATGTATCATGATATGTATCGTTTTGTGACCTATGTATCGCTATATGTATCGTATTGTGACCTATGTATCATGATATGTATCGTTTTGTGACCTATGTATCGCTATATGTATTGTATTGTGACCTATGTATCGTGATATGTATTGTATTGTGACCTATGTATCATGATATGTATCGTTTTGTGACCTATGTATCGCTATATGTATTGTATTGTGACCTATGTATCGTGATATGTATTGTATTGTGACCTATGTATCATGATATGTATCGTATTGTGACCTATGTATCATGATACGTATTGTATCATGACATGATTAGCGATACCCATCTGAGTATCTGCCCCAGCTCGTCATTATGAAGTTAGGAGTTTCATGATTTGTCTTTTACTATTTTTAGGAACAAGAGTTATCTAGCACAGAATCTACGATAGATCTAGATTCTATAAAACAGGATATCAGTCAGATGGACAAACAAAGACGAGAACTCGATTCTAAACTTAGTAACTTAAAGTAATTTTTTTATTCTGCTCGATTTTACCCAATGGGAATTTAACAAGATATCATGAAACTTGATCATTTTGATATGAGTATCTTCACAATGTCAAACTATTACAAACTTCTTCTTATACCTTGACTGTAATTTGATTGAATTGTGCGCTAGCACTAAATCAGAAACAATAAGCCATAATATTTGCAGTATTTAGCAAGGGCTGTATTTGCTGGTGTAAAATCCAATTAAAGTGTTGCATTCTGTGGTATAATAGCTTGACACTGTGAGGATTAATTTCTCTGTATATATTTTACTGAAAGTAATTGTAGATCTTTGGAAAGTTTTCTGTCAGTCCACTCTGTAATACAAGAAATTATTCATACCCCTCTATAAACCTAGTGGTAATAAAACAGTTTAAATTATTATGTACTATATATTATAGCACTGAATTAAACAAATTAACACTGGAATCTAAATCACGTACAGAATTAGATATGTTGAAAAAGGACAAAGTTTCTAAAGAAGACCAAATTCGAAGATTGTAAGTTTGAAATTTAAACATCTCCAGTCACCAAACCACCAGTATGCACTGCAGCATTCTTGAATAAGCAAGGTCCATAATAATATACCTTATTGTGTAACATGTAATTCTAACTGTCCTTGCCAGAGATTTCGTTTGATTTAACAGAAATGTTACAACTGATAATTCTAAAATGTCTTTAGTTTATATGTTTAGTGAAGTGTATGATATTTTCAGGAAATCTAAACACGAAGATACCATTGTATATTTATTAAATGAAATGCCTACATCTAATTTACGTGGCAGATTAGAGACTTATATTGGGTAAGACTAAAATTATTAAAAATAAAAGCTCATGATTCATATTCCATTATTCCGTCTAGTTGTTTGGATGGAATACTGTCACTGTCCTGTTTCTCTCATTGCACACTGCACAGTGTTTTCTCTCTTGCTGAAAGGGAAGGAATGTAAAACTCCATTCTTTCATTTCCTTTTTTATTCCATTACTTGTTTTTTAGTACAATTAGCTCATTAGAGAAAACTACCATTATGCTATTTGATATTTGAAAGCATTGCTAACAGCTGGATCACCTGTAAACTATTTTATGAAACCTAAATTAAAGTGAATTGTTTTGTTTCTAGGGAACAGACAGACAATGTAAAACAATGTTCTAGTGAACTACAGAAAGCCAATCAGACTATTACTTCTAAAGAGGCAGAGAAAAAAATGATACAGTAAGAATTCTCACTTTTAACTTTGTCCATTCTTTATAACTGACCTGTATTGAATTATCTCATATTCCATTTTGATTGGCGTCGCCACTTGTGTGTCACTCAACATTTCTTGTATCTTGACGTCGCCCCTGGTTCGTTCCACCTAATGTCATGTAGACACGATAAAACCTGCAGATTTTACTCATCTTGATGTAACTTGGTATATATTTAGTTATGACTTGTTAACATGTTAATTTATTTATTTATCTTGGTCAAGTTTGATTTCGGCAATAATTGGATAAATTTTTTTTAATTTCGGGGAAGTGAGGGTTTGATCCTCCTAAATGTACAGACCTAGAATAAAGAAACTTAGGCTAGAATCTTGATTATTATGACAATAAGAGGACAATAATTAGATAAGACGCTTCTATAATATTTATTATTTAAACGTTTCAATGTGGTTTTCACACATATATCATATTCCTGATGACGTTGTGAGAACCACATTGAAACGTTGAAATAATAAATATTCTAGAAGTATATATCCATATAATTGTCTTATTTATCTATAACTTGTGCTTCTAATATGCCATTGAAAGATTAATAAGGACAATGTAATTCTAGTGTTTTAGGTTTCATGGTGTATTTGTATTATTTTAGACACCAACTAAAACAGAAAGAAGAAGAATTACGAACTTTAGATGAGAAGATTTTTAACGTCTGTGGCAGTCAGAATTACGATGACGAATATCAAAATATTCAACAAAAACTCACCACAGCTCAGGAGTAAGTTTATTATTATTTTCAACACCTTTATTATTGCATTTTGTGCTTTCCACTGAATGAATTTTGTAATAACAATGAATTATAAAATGTCTAGTTGTTTTAATTTAACAGTGATAGGACCCTGTCTGCTACAGACTGTTAAAGTGACGCGTGGAAATGTAATAAAGCTTAGCTAATATCTGTGTCCTAGCAACATTGTCTTCATTGCACACTGCATGACGTTGCCTGTTATTATTAGCTAAAAATTTAGGACAAAAATCTGACCAGAAGTGGTCCAAAGACAGGTAGTTATTGGCCCAAAATAAAACGTCTGGACTTCCATATTATGGTCATGTTTTAAATTTAATTTAAGATCATCACAAGAGGAAGAATAATATAGTATTATGTTTCTTCTCACGTAGATTAGACAACTCGCTCACTGGAAATAGTCTGGAATAATTGAACCGTAAATCATGATTAATTTTATTTCTAATTATTGGTACATGTTTTACAATTTATTTCAGGTCGCGAGGATCATTATTAGGAGCAGAACATTTCTTCAAGAAATACGTATCAGACCTGGAGAAAGATTCACCATGTTGTCCGTTATGTCATAGAGATTTTGATAATGAACAAGATGTCAGAGAGCTGATATTAGAGGTAAGGGCAGTAACTCTAACTCTTAGTATAATTATATACATGATAATTGTGATTTTCTTCTTTGATTTTAATTCATTTAATATAAACATGAAGACATTTTTTCAAATTAACTTTAACCCTATACCAGTGCCTTCTGTGGAATAATGACTAGTTGCTTGTCAATAATAACTGGTTTCTTTTAAACCACTATATTCTCTTAGTGCTGAGTGATCTACCTTTGCTTGACAACACACATAAAATGGCGACAACTGCACTACAGGAGATTTATGGCATCTTGTCTTTAATTGTGAACCAGATACCTGAAATTGTGCTATCAAAGCTTGAGCCAATCTACTTTACAATAAATGTGGTAAGAAAATGCCCCTTTTTTATTTTTTAGCTTCAAAATAAACTACGTATGGTTCCTGGTAAGATACAGAAATCAGAGAAAGATCTGGAAGAATACCAGAAGAAATATGACAATATGACACAACTTAAACCATTGAAGGAAAACGTAAGTTTGTATGTCTACTGTACTGTACCTAAAAACTATTCATAATATATAAACATAAACCATTGAAGGAAAACGTAAGTTTGTATATCTACTGTACTGTACCTAAAAACTATTCATAATATATAAACATAAACCATTGAAGGAAAACGTAAGTTTGTATATCTACTGTACTGTACCTAAAAACTATTCATAATATATAAACATAAACCATTGAAGGAAAACGTAAGTTTTTTATTTACTGTACTGTAGTATTCTTATTTCTTTTTTACAACATGGCAATTTTTATACGCCTACGTGGAAATGTGGACGTATATTGCCGTCACCCCTGTCCGTCCATCCACATTTCTTGTACGCACGATAGAGGCTACAGTTTTTATTCGATCCTGATGAAACTTAGTATGTATGTATATGTTGTTGAGATCTCGATCAAGTTCGAACATGGTAATAATCAGATGAACAGTTCCAGAGTTATTACCCTTGACTTAGTAGAAACCCTTCAAATTTGTCTTGTATGCACGATAGAGACTACAGTTTTTATGTGATCTTGATGAAACTTAGTATGCATGTAGATATTGATGAGATCCTGGTCAAGATTGAAAATGGTAATAATCGAATAATCGGTTTTAGAGTTATTGCCCTTGACTTTGTAAAAACGCGTCAGATTGGGCTTGTAAACACAATAGAGGCTTTTAAGATTATTTCAATCTTTATAAGTTCATTATTAAGTCACCAAAGACTTTGCTATCATTTCTGACAGCTGATAGTGGGCGTATGTTACCTTGCCTGGCAAGCTATCTCTGTTTATTTCAAAATAAGCCATTTTTGTGAATCTTTCACATATTTACAAAAAAAACGAAAACGTGAGTTCTACCAAACCTCAACATATATGTTGTTAGTTTCACTTTCTGAAGAATTTTTCTAAATCTTCTGTTAAATTGAATTGACCTATTTACAAATCATGTTCTGTGTTCAGACATTTTTGAGGGATTTTTTAATATTCATTGAGTAAATTGACTTAGAAAGGCGTGATTTAATCATTCAAAACCAAACACGTTGTGCTGTGAACAATTTAGCTCATCCAGTGCTGGTCTCAGTTTTTCCAAATTTAGATAAGAATTTGAACGAAAATGCATGAGAAAAATGGCAGAATTGAAGTATTGATAGTTTTTGTCTTTTATTACAGATCGTGACATTAAACGATACAAGTATACCAAATCTTAAAACTAAGTTAAAGAAATTAAATGAAGAGATCACGAAACAGAGAGAGATTATAGAAAATGTAAGTTGTCTGAGTATTAAAGTTTTTTATACACAAATTACATAAACTATACATACTAAATGTGGTACAACATGACAAGACTTCCTCCAATGTTTTATTGTTTCTATATTATAGTGGGAGCCACGGTGGCTAAGTGAGTCAGTCCCTTGCTCGCTAACCTGAAGGTCCAGGGTTCAATTCCAGCATAGGTCGAGATAATACCTTCTACAGCTACAGGCTGTACACATTAAAGATCCCTTGACAGTTGGAATTCAAAAAGAGCAGGCTAATGCTGCTGTCCTTGCAAAATTTCCCTCATTGCACCCTACATGGCATTGCCCGTCTTCATTAGCCCACATGGTGCATTTCTATTTTGTGGTGAAATACCATGACATGTCGGGCTCTGATTTGCGAGAACTTTAAGATGTGGGGTTCTGATAATTGCAGTTGCTTTCCTTGCTTCTTGGTAGCATGAATATATAGTTCACATTTTTCTACATAAAAAAATCAAGGTAATGTATTGTACATTGGTGTGTCCAGTTCATATTCCTCTGTACGGTTTAAAGATTTACATGTGAGTAGAGAGGGGTGTTACAATTATACAGGAGCAAAATTATCATACAGACTGTCAAAGTGGGCCAGAATCAGAGAGGCTTAGAAGTTTTTGCAGAAACTTTTTTATTTCTACAGTGTTTAAATAGATGAGATCAACAAGCTCTTTCATCCTTGGATTGTTAAACTATCTTTTGTTGATATATCTGTCATTTCTAATAGTTTTGTATGTCATGTCTATATCATAAATAGAGACTTAAAACTCTGTTCTGTTTGATAGAAAACTGAAGAATTACAAGCTAAAGAGAATGACGAAGCTATGAGTAAGAATATGCAGCCCGATATAGTAATGATAGACAGATATCTAGCGGAGGTTAGAGATCTCGATAAGAAAATAAACAACATGGCTGCTACCCTATCAGGGGGAGGTAAGTCATATCACTTCCTTTTCATGGGAAACAAACCTTCCTCAAATGTGTTCATTTTTCAACCTTTGTATTAAACAATTAGAAAAAAACGAACTCAGGGCTGTTACAGGTTTTGTTTTAGATCTTGTCACCATAGCTCATTACTCATATTGCCTGATTTTATCTTTTCTGTTTGTTGGATGCCCTATGTTTTCTTTTTCTTGATATCTTTTTTCCTAAAAGACCTAAAACATGTTAGGATAGTGGCAAGAAGATTAAAATAACTATAAACTTTGTAGTAAAGAAGATATATTTGATTTTTTGTTTTTTATTTCAGATTCTGGACGAACTATTAAAATGGTGGTGGATGAAAAAGAAGATCTTCAACATACGTTGTAAGTAGATCTATAGGGGCTTGTAGTCAGGAGATTTATAATTTATGATTCTTTCTACTGGTTAATAATATCATTACCAGACCAGTGTTCTTAATAGTTTATATTTATAATTATTATTAAATTACCATTCTTGTTTCTGACATTAATACAATTTCATATATACAACTCTAATAGTAAGACGATTGCTTGCTAGCCTGAAGGTCAAGGTTCCAATCCCTGCTTAGGACAAATCCTAGGATTTTACAACCTTTTTCCTCCTGTCAGTGATGCAAGATTTTTTTTTAAACAATATTTCATTCACAATTAAGTGATAAGGATTGGGGAACAGGCTTTCGCCTATATAACCCCCTTCTTGCCCTCTTCTTAAGTGATGCAGGATACATTTCTTTTATTTATAAAATTTAGTCACGTCTTTCTGTTATATTTTAGAGACAACTTGAACAAGACATTGGATCATAAACGTCACAAAATGGCCGACCAATCTGACAATCTACAGAAATTACGAACCGAAGTCAACGAATTAAAATCAGAGAAGTTACAAATAACAAGTGAACTACAACAACGAGTGAAGCTAGAAGAAAGTAAAATGACACTGGTTCAGGATAATCACTCGTTAGAAGATGAGGTCAAGGTCAGGAAAGTTTGGTATTTTGAATCCAGAATATTAATTTAAAAGGACAGGTTGGCCATTAATTACTAGAATGGTTAAAAATTGCATAATTTATTCAAAACTACCTCAAACAAGGAATTTCACTTTCTATTTCTATAGACCGGTATGTCTTCTATTTATGGCAGAGTCATTAAAAAAGACAAGTTATCATTAAACGTGAATATTCCAGTGTTTTGAGGCTAAAATTGGAATGGTGAGCACGGAACACTATTACTGATTGGCTTAGCTAAGGTACGATTGGTTGAACAGATGACGAACCTGTCCCTTTAAAGTTGATGACTCACGATGATTTTTTATTTTAAAAACGAAAGTGATTTGAAAATATATTAGTGGATTAGAATCTCTGTTTATATTTTGTTTTAATTTATTTTAGGAAGCAAGAGAACAGATCAGACCTCTGGAGGTAAAGTGGATTATTTTTCTTATTTTATTTAGATATCTATGGTCATCACCCAGGTAACATTTTCTCCATCTTCACATTGGTCAAGTTATTGCAAACTTTGTCTTATACCTTGACTGTAATAACCACTATTCTTATATCATGGAATGCAGCCATTTGATTGGATTGTACGCCAGCGAATACAGTCAGAGCCCTCAACGGACAAAATGTTAACATTTATAGTTCGTGATACATGAAAGGTGGCTATTGTGAAGATATATTTTTCAACCGTACCAGTTTTTTTCGTCACTCACATATCGTATCACTGAGTTTTTGAGGCAATCTACACATTGTCGCTTAGGAAGTCATACATACGTAATCTACCAATGTTGTCGGGTTCTACCGCTTTTGTATGTTGTCCACCGCTCTACCGGCGGGATACCCAATTCTGCCGATTTTTGGTTTTTTCCTGACCGTTGTCAATGTTCAAATTCTCTACTATAAATCAACAAAATAGGAAATCCAATTTGATCAGAAAGTGATCGTGAAAGCATGGTCTCAAATTGCTGCCTTTGATACTTTCAAAGATTGAATCTGAACTCTGTTATAATAAATTCTGTAGCTAGCAAATGATTTGAAATTTCTTATGTTTTAGAAACAAATTGATCGTGTTAAAACTCAGAAAGAAGATTTAATACAGAGAAAGGAAGAGAACGTTGATACAGCCAATCAGAAGGTAGGATAAAGGTTGCAGAAGGTCAATCATATTTTTAAAAAAGACAATACATTATCGGCAACCGGGTAAACGCGGCTCCACTGTATCTGTACTTTTATATTTTCATTTCATTTCATTTCAATCACTCAACATTTCTATAACAATCTCGTTATACAGAACATTTTAAACCAATCAAAGCACTGGGAGACCTGTTTCTAGATAACAATACAACGAAGAAAAAACACAGAATCGAAATTTAACTTTAATTATATTGGCTTAAATTGATGAAGGCAAAGTTTAGGAGTAAAATAAAGATTTTTTGTTAGAATTTCCCACAATTTTCTGTTTTTTCTCCCTCTGTAGGTTGAAGTTGTAAAGAATAATGGAAATAAGGTGAAGAATTATAATGCTCATCTAAAAGAGTAAGTTTTTCTGGTAAATTTAGAAATACAAGCTGCCATCTAAAATGAAATTGTAGTAACCAAGATATCTCAGCCCTAACTATACGTACTATATACAGAGTTCAGGTGCGGTCTTGGTCAGAGACTTTTGTTGCCAATGAGAGTCTTGTCTTGAGTTTTTATGACTGGCACAGGCACATGACGAGACATAAATCTCTAATCGGTTGTCTAATCCACCTTGTTGATAATCAAGTGCAGATCATGCAATTTAAGGGAAAAGGAATCTGATTGGATGATGACGGTCTGTCTTGCAGACAATAAAATTATCTGAGACACGATAATCTTATCGTGGAATCATGGGCACATGCGAGATTTTACTCAAGATTTGAGTCAGGGACAAAAGTCTCCGACCATGACCTTTAAGAGTTGAAATTCTGATATGACTGACAGGGAAGTTCAACTTGGAAACGTCCCTAAGTCACAAACCTCTGTCAGATATTAAGTCAAGGTTAACCTTCGAGTGTTATTATATTTGTGTTCTAGGTACAACCAGAAGGGACGTGGAGAGAAATTGGATGAATTAAAGGAGAAACAGACAGAAATAATGAATGAAGTCAAAAAGAAAGAAATAGAACAGAATGAATTAACTGAAAATATCCACAAACTGAATAAAGATCTTAATACACAGAAGGTACATGATTTTATTTTCAAGAAAAAATTAATTTTCTTCCTGAATTACAGCCCACCAAGACAAATGTGTAAATTGGAGCTCAAACAAATGCAGCCATTTGAATGGATTGTATGTAAGCGGATATAGCCAATCATAGAAGATGCACTCTTTGAAAATATAGTATGAGTTATCATTTAAAAAAGAGCCCTTTCAAAAACCCCAAAAACTCTTGATAAAAGACTGAATATTTCGTACTGGTGATTGTTAGTGACTGCTAAAGCTGCCAGTGGGTGTATATTACCTTGCCTTGCAGTCATGGGATTTTTTAGTTTGTTTAGTTTAGATGATTAAGGTTTATATTTTAATATTTTTAAAAAAGGTTCGTGAAAGAGACCTTACAGACAATCTTCAACTACGTAAAAAGAAATCAGAAGTTCGTAAACTGGATGATGAAATAAAAGCATTACAGGAGAAACTGGGCGATATAGATATTGATAATATTGAAAGAGAACGTATGAAATTATTGAAAAAAGAAGACAACTTAAAAAAAGAGGTAAAAATTTTAATTTGATTACATTTGTATTAAAAAAATTTATTTTCACCATTTGTTGGCTTAACAATGGACTCAATAAAAAAACGTTATTATTATTAAAATGAGACAATTTCACTAGGATGGCAGTAGGATAGCCATTTGGTAGTGAGTTGGATTGAGTTAGATTGTCGTCTGCCAGGACAGAAGAATAGCTTAGCCAGTAGTGAGTTTGATTGTCATCTGCTAGGACAGAAGAATAGCTTAGCCAGTAGTGAGTTTGATTGTTGTCTGCTAGGACAGTGGAGTAACTCGTCAGAAGCAAGTTGGATAGTCGTCTGCTAGGACAGTGGAATAACTCAGTCAGTAGCAAGTTGGATAGTCGTCTGCTAGGACAGTGGAATGACTCAGTCAGTAGCAAGTTGGATAGTCGTCTGCTAGGACAGTGGAATAACTCAGTCAGTAGCTAGTTGGATAGTCGTCTGCTAGGACAGTGGAATAACTCAGTCAGTAGCAAGTTGGATAGTCATCTGCTAGGCCAGTGGAATAACTCAGTCAGTAGCAAGTTGGATAGTCGTCTGCTAGGACAGTGGAATAACTCAGTCAGTAGCAAGTTGAATAGTCATCTGCTAGGACAGTGGAATAACTCAGTCAGTAGCAAGTTGGATAGTCATCTGCTAGGCCAGTGGAATAACTCAGTCAGTAGCAAGTTGGATAGTCATCTGCTAGGACAGTGGAATAACTCAGTCAGTAGCATGTTGGATAGTCGTCTGCTAGGACAGTGGAATAACTCAGTCAGTAGCAAGTTGGATAGTCGTCTGATAGGACAGTGGAATAACTCAGTCAGTAGTGAATTGGATTGTTGTCTGATAGGACAGTGGAATAACTCAGTCATGTCTTGCATGTAAAAATCCTGTGTTTATATTTTTCAGCAACAAACCTCGACGGGCCGTCTGCAAGGTTTAAAAGATCAGATCCAGAGTTTAAAGAAAGAGTTAAATTCTGAGATGTTCAAAGATGCTAGTGAGAAATATAGAGATAAAGTTATTGATATGAGGGTACGCTACTTTGATATCAAGTTGTTTTGGGGGGTGGGGCTGTTTCACAAACTTTAAACTGATTATGGTAATTTGAGCTAATTATTGATCAAGGCTTATTATGCTCAGTTTGACTTTTCTAAAGGTCAAGATATACATAAATGTTCATCATTTTCTTGAATTCAGTGCTAAGGTATGAAATATGAATGTTTTATCAGAGTTATTGGTTCAGAATTGGTACAAAAAAATGTAGGGGATGGAGACAGAATGGTACGAGAACTATCTGAAATGTCCAGAGCAAAAAAAGTGGTGTATTATATTGATTTTAACGATCGACCAACTTACTGAAACGCTGGAATCATGTGGAACAAGCCCCTCATTCTCAATCCTTTGAACTGTTTACCACTCCTGTCAACTATACACCATCTTCTGATATCGACGGGCCACCATGAGACTCTGCGAAAGCTTCACAATGAAGAAGTTATAGTTGTAGGTTAAGAGAGAAGACATCAACTCAATTCCATGAAATTTTGTTATAGAGAATATTGATTCAAATATTTATTTTCAGACAACAGTTGTATAGAATTGATAAGAGTTTTGAAATAGGATTTTATTTTATTTTCAGACAACAGTTGTATAGAATTGATTTGAAATAGAATTTTATTTTATTTTCAGACTACAGAACTATCTAATAAAGATTTAGAGAAATATTATAAAGCTATGGATCGAGCTATCATGAATTATCACAACCAGAAGATGGCTGAAATCAATAAAATTATACGAGAATTATGGAGGAACACTTATAAAGGAAACGGTCAGTATACCATTGTTTTCAAAGGGACACCTTCGCCATTTTTTGACCAATCATACGCTAATCAATACTAGTGTTCACATTGTCAAATCCATGTGTGTTCAGAATGATCAGCGTTTGAAAGTATAAGTGACAACTCGTTATTTTTGGAAAAGCCAGAAAATGAAATTATAAGTTTGAAGATTTGAAGGAATTATGAGATGATACAGTTCTAGTACTTCTGAAGACTATTTATTATATTCAAGACTCAAATCAAAATCAAATTCAAAAATATCATATTCTGTTTTTCTAAACTCACACGTTGATTGTTTGATTAATATTTTTAGATATAGAGACAATAGAAATACAATCAGGAGATGAAGATGGGTCGTCGTTAAAAACTAAACGTATCTATAACTATAAGGTTGTAATGATCAAGGCTGGTATAGCTATTGATATGAGAGGGCGCTGTAGTGCTGGACAAAAGGTAGGTTGGTAAATCTAAGTCACGATTTAGAAAAATTGCACTTCTAGATCTCGGTGTTAGACCTAAAACTTGAAGTTACTATTATTGATGCAATAAAATTGTTAAAACAGAACCTGAAACATGTTACTTAGAGTTGCAACTGACCTATTTCAGCCTGCGTCCCTCATTTTGATAAGTAACTTGTTCTGATGTGATGTTATAGGTAATAACTGCTTATGATGTCATATCAAGTTTTGAAGTCCTTTTTAAAACTGAAATTGACCATTATATTTCCAGGTATTGGCGTCTCTGATAATTCGATTAGCTCTAGCTGAAACTTTCTGTGTTAACTGTGGAATATTAGCTCTTGATGAACCTACAACTAATCTAGATAGAGAAAATATAGAGGGTTTAGCCTACGCACTAGTTGAGTGAGTTCATTTACCTGTTTCCATTTTAGTGATGCAGGTTGAAGGAGTTGACACAGAAACAACATCTAGTTGTCTGATGGGACAATAAACCGAGGAATTGTATGTTAAAGATCCCTTGACAGGAAAATGACAAGGACGCTGCTGTCCTTTGCAAATCTTCCCTCATTTATTATTCAATTAATTTTCCCGTCTTTGCTGTCCCAATCAGGTGAAGAAGATGTAAATCTCTCAATTTTAGAATCATCAAGAGTCGTGCAGATCAGAGTAACTTTCAGCTAGTTATTATAACTCATGATGAAGATTTCGTAGAATTACTAGGAAGGTCAGAATATGTGGAAGAATTTTATAAAGTTAGAAAAAACCAACAGTAAGTATAGAAATTCAAATTGTTACTTGGTCTGTAAGAGTTTTCCCTCTCATCTTTGATAATGTCCTGAGATTTTTCCTTTTTGGACACTGCATAGAGTTGTTCAGAGTATAGGCTCTGTCTCACTCTCTCGTCATTTTTGCTCTGTCCTTTTCTCTCACTGTACACTACATAGTGTTGTCCTGTGTCAAATCAATCATCACCTGAATTCTATTTATTTAAGCCAAGATGCTAGTGTTAATATTTATATAGAACCACCATAGCTTACTTGCTGTTTTGTTGGTTAATCATTCAACAGCTGGTGACATAACATGAAGACTGGCTTATTTAAATTTCCCTGAGGAGACAGACCCTATGTGTTACAAGTGTGCATGTAAAGTTTATTAACAATTGAAAATCAAATATAAAATTTCCCTCATTGCACAATGCATGACCACTGCTATCTATAAAGTTCAAAACATTTCAAATATAATATAATACTTTATTATTTTTCAGTGGGTGTTCTAATTTATTTAAAGCTCATGTCAGTGATTTACATATGGGAAGATAAAGACTGTAACCAAGGTGACTGATAGAATCCAAATTATTATCAATTGTATTACATTGTTGTACAAAAAGTGCCATTAAATATTTGACAACTATAAGGTGAATGGAGGGAAACCACATTTATTGATAAAATTTCTTAAAGGGCCTGTCTCACTGATCTGAAGACTAGTTGGTGATCAGTTATCACTGCTTGTGGAGACTAACCTAGTCTCCGGGAAGTCGTGGGGTTTTCAAGCATGTCTCCAATAGATTCTGGGTGAATTGGTTGTCATCGTGTCTGGCAAGCTCACAGAGACATCTCGTCACCTGGGTGAGAGTGCACGCCAGAGTAGCCGTGACTGATCAGTAACACCAGTTGTGGTGACGTATCTGCCAGTGAGATAAGCCCTTAAGATAGCAAGGTGTACAAATGGATGTCTCCAAAGTTCACCTTGTATTAAAATCTTTGTTACCCCAACAACAATCATATAACATAAAAATAAAAATAATGAAATGTATTTGGAGAATATGTAAATGATTGTAAAAGTTGTTTGTGAAATGGGACCGAGAGTCAGGGCTAACTGATAAATCAAAATCATCCTCTGTAAAGTAATACATAGTTATACAAACTAGTGCTATTAAACCTTAGAATTATAATTGAAATAAACCTTTGTTACGTTTTTGAATTAAAATACTTTCATATTTTTTTTGTTGTTTTAAGGGAGGCCCTGTGTTGGCCCTGTGTTTAATAAAGCTTAATGTTTCAACACTTCAGCACTAGGTATTTCTATCAGAGACCCATTAAGCTTTTGAAGAGGTGCAGATTTGTAAGATCTGAAGTTATTGTTTTATGTAATTCCAGAAAAACTTGATTTGTTTTTTAATTTAGTCAATTTAATTGGTGAGACTAGAAACTTGGTTGAAGTTAATCCTTAATCTACATTAATTGTGTTTGAAGTTGTTTTAAAGGGAATTACATACATTGTTTGAGAAATAGAACTAGTGTAAACATAGTAAATGTCACCATGACTAAGAAAAACTTGAAAATCAGTTTCTGTAAAACCAGGTTATTTGATGGTAAATTGTTAAATAACATAGATTGATTTATTTTGTCATAAATTCATTAAAAAAGCAAGATGTCAGTGTCAGCCACCCTAAGTTAAAAACATCTAGGAGTAAACTGACATAGATCTATTGGAAAATATTATACAATAAACTTAAACTATACAATACTATAACAGTGAACAACACTGTAGACTAGGAATTCTATATAACTGTTATTTTATTTCTCCCATCCTTTCAACCTTTTCAATTTTACATCACACACACAAAGCGTCAACAGTTTCTTTATCTAAATTCTATAAGGTTTTGTATACATTGTCAGCTACTTATTTACCTATTGTTACAGAGTGTTACACAATACATAGGTGAAACTAGAAATACGTCAGGCCAGGGGTCCAAGATGTAGAATCGGATAATAAAAAAGGTGTTCAATGCTCCGGATGTACACGTTGCAAACAGACAAGCTACGGTGTCCTGTGAGGGATTATCGGCGCAGTAGAATTTTATTTTTCAGAAAAGCATAATATACACTGCTCTAATCTAGGACCGTAGATATGCTTGATTGTTCGGAGGGGCTAATAATATATGCGCTAGCCAATGGTATATCGATTTTAGTGACAGTAATGGAATTGGTCGGTTGTCAGAATGTATTCAGGGGGTCACCACATGGCCCTTTTTGCAATGATCATCTTTATGTTAATGTTTGTTTAAATATTTTGCTTAGTTTCTGCCCTATCAAGATATGGGCCTCGTGGCAATGTCTTGTTAAAGGAAATTATTCGTATAAACGTCGAATGCAGGCATAGGAAAAGCAAATATTAGCTTGCTTCAGACTGTAGCCTTCTCTTCCAAGGAAATTAAAAAGGTACACTTTATTTGGTTTAAATATATAATTATTGATAATTAATTATAAGAAATATTATAATTCAAAATATACGTTGGATTCCACGATAATCGAAATGGTTCATATTTCACTAAGTATATTTACAAAGGAGATGAAAAACTTTATTTCCGCTTGAATAATGACGGCGTCTCTCCTACCCGCTCTAAAAAACGGAAAGAATCTGTAAGTCATTTGACCACTGTACAATGAGGTCGAGATTATGAAAAGTTGCATAAAGAGGTCAAGAGAGATGCGTGACCCAGTTGGGGTCGTAGAGTGACCACCTGTCGGTCATCAAAATCCCCACCGGTCATTGATTATAGTCAATATAGCATGACCAGTTGACAGCAAGGAGATAGTTGTCTCTGACGACCAGACATTTTTCTACGAAGACGACAAAGCGGAACTGGGTGATAGAGGCTAAGGAGATCCCAAAAAAGTCGAGGTCCAGTTGTTATAAATAGTGAGACAAACTCGTCTGTTCCCTTGTCCTGCTGACCAACTGTTGTCCTGTGGGGACAGGCTATAAAAAGATTAAAATGTTCAATGGCTGGAAGCGGACGTTAACTTGTCATTTACCAACCAACCAATGGCTAAATTTCTTTATTTTAGTTTTTTTGTTGGAGAAGAGGGCTGCTGTAAAACTTTTGGCCTGTGGGGTCAGTCTATAACAATAGATTGAGCTGTTCAATGGCAAATTTTCAGTCAATATTAGTAATAGAAGTTGAAAACATATATTTTGGATCTTATCATTCTGTTCAATAATTATAAAGAGCTATGAAGCTACGATTTGTACTATCATGGTATCATTGTAAATTGTTGAAACGTTGCTTACAGTGTAATTAAAATATGTAGAATCAAACTGTCTCAGATCCTTGAGTTCTAGCTATATCATTTCAAGCAGTATAATAAAAATAGTATAAATAAAATAATTTCAAACAGCGATTATACAAGGCGAACATTTGTGACCTTATCGATTCACAGTACATGTATAATAAAAGAAAACGAAGAATAAGTGAAGTGATTGAATATACACTCCTTGGCATAGTATATGTAATGTCGGGGGTGGGGCATGGTATATGTAATGTCGGGGGTGGGGCATGGTATAGGTAATGTCGGGGGTGGGGCATGATATAGGTAATGTCGGGGGTGGGGATTCCAACCTCCTCACAGAAACCATGAAATCACATTTAACATCTAATCTTCTCAACATTAATTTATTTCAATACGTCCATGGTTCTGTATATTTTGATAATGAAGCACCACAGCCCCAACCAGTCCATTCTTCTGTGTGTCAAGGTGCCTCGGATATAGTAAGCATATCCAGTATATTGAATGCCTTCATACGAATTTCTATGACCTACACTCGCTCATATGTTGAATTCGTATTGGATTGGGTCATTTGTTTACTGTAAAGTATACTTTGTTTAAACAAAACTTAAATCGACTCAAATGTTTCTACTCTTGTCATCATTGTTTTCAGTTTAGATATAAACAATCCCCGAGGGGTCCGTCCATCTCCCGCGGGGGTGCGGCTCTCACTTGCCCTAACAAGGTTAATTCGTTTCACACTAAAACAAATCTAGAACATGTCAAGTTTTAGCAAGTAGATAAATACTCAGTAATTATTTTTAATTTCTATCATTTGCCAAGTTTAATTGTAAAAGTGGAAACCTTCTAAATTTTGATTAATTGCAATTATATAACAAGAGGACCTACAATTTATTTATATAAATTACCTACATTAGCTACTACACTTCACAATATGATTTAATGTTTTCCACGACGTTTCCAATTTTTAGGGTTCGGTTCTGCACTGTCGGACTTGTTTCGGGAAAGGAAGGGTAGAGCCTGGGTTCAGATATATTTCGCTTTCCTAAAAAAATGTACTGATGAAAACTTTCTGTTGTAATCGAACTTTTGAGGCCCAGGCTATGTGATGATACACATTTTGATTGACCCCTATCCCCCCAGTCCCTTACACCCACACCCTTACTTTCTATCCCCCATCCCCTTACACACCCTCTCACACACACGCTCACATTCTTCCAATATTTTCCATTTTGCGTAGTGAAAAAATTGCCTGGGAAATACCACTAATCAGAACTCTTTAAACTGTTCATTTACGATATCTCTGAATTTAAAGCCTTAGAATTTCTGCTGCTATACAAGTCTATGATAACAGAGGCTATTTCTGCCAACAAATCTGCATAGTTATATTGTTTATTCTGTTAATAAAACATACAGAAATAGGCACAGGTAAGGAAGCACAAGATATATGGGTACTGTCTTACTTAATTAACTCACATGGTAATACAGACAGCGTTATCAAGATTGTGTTTCCTAATATTGATTATTGATCTACAGGAAAGAATCGAATCAGTTTCAATCTACCTGTTCCAAATAGTAATCCACAAGTGACACTAGTACTATTGTTTTCTCTTGTCAAAATTAATATCGTGTACAACAATAACTGGATTTGTTTTTGACAGTCATTAATATCATGTCATCGTCCATCTCGACTTGAAAAATAATCAGTAGATCCTAATCCTGGTTTAAATTTGACTCATTAATCTGAGGGGTTTACGATCACAACTGACCTGATGACATTGACCCTTGACCCTGGATTATGCATATCCTTAGAAAATATTATACCAGCGAGATTGAAATATCGACAATGAATTGATTGGAAGGAAATATTTGAAGTAATCTGTTCCTTGATAACGTATTTTTCCCATCTCTCCGAGCTCTGACTCAAGCTGGGTTTATAACTCCATTTTCAATTTCATAGAAACTGATAAGAGACACATTTGGCCAAACTAAACTGAAACTTTTCCTATTAGATAAGCATGTAGATTTTGGTCAAGTAGACGACGGGGCTAAGATGATTATATAGGATGAATATAGGCCCTACATACTCTTGAGGCATTCAGTTTTGAAACCCAGGCAATAATTTAGGCAGTCAAATTTTCGTTGTATAAATTGTTAAAATTACGAAAAGACAAACAAAATGGCGATAGACAATCTGGGCCATCTAATTATTTTGTAATCAACAACATGTTGAAACAAGATGGCGACTGATTGAGTTTTATTGGACTCATTGTTTTTAACTCAACGTCACAAACCAAAGAGCGAGATTAATTTACAGCGTTCAGAGTTGTTCATTTGAGAACTTCTAATTCTAATGAAGATATACCAATGAAACAAGATGTGACGTTTGTCATTAAACAACTTCAAATTCGTATTTTTGAATTTCCTAATTTCAAATTTACAACTTAGAAGTCACGTGACCAGGGTATTTATGGTTTCTGGATTTCAAAGTCTAGAACCCAAATGAACTTGTTTTATTTGATTTGGACTCCAGCCATAAAATATTTCATAAATCAAATTTTACTTTATTCCATGTTTATCCAGTCATTGCCGTCAATTAAAATATTTCGCGCCTTGAAACTCAAATTTCACAATTTCAAATTCATAGAATATCACGTGTCTCGGCTTTTGAGGTGAAGGTACGTTGACAGTTTTAAAAAAAATATATTGGTAACCATGTTCATTTAGCAACGGTAGGATGATTATTCACATCTAAGATGATCATTAGTAGGTACTGTTGCTAAAGGAACATGATAAGTTACACACTGCATGGCAATGTCACCTTTGAAATTTCAATCTTGGACAGAGAAGGAAGCGGTAAAACTCTATTTCATTTCGGATTCTGATGTTTTCAATACAAAACTGTTAAGCACGAACGGACAATTTGAATTGACATTTTGTCGCACATAAATTTGATGTGAGTATCTGAAATTTTTAGACTTTTAACAACCAAACTGTAAACCACAGACTGACGAGGTGTGTAGGTTTACAACACAACCGCCAATTAATTCTGTGACATGATTAAAGCGAGTATTTATGGGGGACGGGAACCTGAAATCCCTCTGTCTCTACCCCCTAACAAACTGTAATCTTCCACTAACACCACCCTGGCGTAATTTTTGACAAGATAAAGAGCAGACGAGATTAATTCTGTGAAATTTATCACCATGAAAATCAGGGGGAGAAGTTAATTGATGATTGCAGACGACCTACCAATCTGGGCGCGGTTTGTATTTGGTGGTTTATAACGACCCAGCTTGTCCGCCCGTCAGGAGGCCCACGTTTAAATTATAGTAACGAGCAGACGAGACTCAGTTTACCCCACTGATTACCTCACACGTCTGTGAAGTCACCAAAGTCGACAACTAGGGGATTCTGTCCCCACGACCGACCGAAGTTATAACATTCATTGTTTTGGATTGCCAGTTACAAATCTGCTTTTACATTGTATGGCGACACAGCCTCGCGGCTACCACGTATTCAAACCGATAGTCGGCTGCTCTTTTGAAGTCTGGGACTAAAACAGATTAAGTTAATTGAATTTAATGAAATGGGCCCTAAACTGGAAATGGAGAGGGTTTATGATAATGAATGTGAGGAATTGAATAGAGTTTGATAATAACACTCCAGTATTCGAACGAGAATGTCCCGGATTTATTCATCATTTTGTCCTTTAAAGAGATGATTGGCATTCGAATCTTCCATTCAGTCCACATCAAGGATGGGATGGATTGATTATACATCGTGGTTATCTCATTTTAGTTCAGGTAATCCCTTAATAGTCCATCTTAGAACTTCAAGGCTCTCACGAATATTTGAGGTCTGCAAAATAATTGCCAACTTAGTAATTCTTTATAGAGAAAAGAACCCAGAGCTGTTTGGCCCAGATTGATATTTTAACTATTATTTAGATCACTTAAGACCATGTTTATGCCATAATATTGAATATTACCGAGATTATGTGGGATGCAACCTTTAACCGTCTGAAATTGGTTCCCGTTCAAAATGTGCGACTTAAAGAAACCAATCGGTACTCAACCGGACCCACGACGTTAATGAATGTGCCTTAGAAATAAATATGGTCTGAGAGGGGATGACACGATGTTAACATTTAGGTCCGCATCTCTTTCATCTTTTTATGCCATAAATTATAATTTTACCGAGATTATGTGGGATGCAACCTTTAACCAGTGCTATCCTGAAATAGGTCCGTGTGCCCACCGACTATAATATACCAATCGGGACTAACGCAGACTGGCGATTTCAAGAATATGCCTATAAGAAACGAATTTGGTGATGGAAAAGGGATGACGCAAGGTTAACATTTAGGTCCGGGTCTCTTTGATCTGTTTATTAATGACCAAACTAAATGGACTGTCGCTCACTAAAGAACTAATTTAGAATCAAATGACCCATTCAGGACCCATCACCCAAAGGGTATTTAGGACTTGTACCCTATTAGTTGAATTGTTATGTATTGGGGTCTCTGAGGTCATCTCAAAAGTTATCTATGTGTTGCTGGTTCTATGTCCAGTGGCGGAGCCAGGTTTGCGTCCGAGAGAGGCGAAATGTCTGAGATTACCCGTATTTCTAACCTAGTTTTGAGATTTTTGCTCGAAAAACTTGCTTTCGGGGCTGCGAGTGGGGGGGTGAGGGGGGTGTGCCCTCTCTTGCAATTTCCAACTGTCTAAAAAAAAATTAAATCCTATCATATCATGCAAAAAAAGATTTGGGGTAGGCCTTATCAATTTTGATTTCTCTTTAAATATTAAAAGCTATTGAAACGTCTAGTAGGAATGTACAGTATAATCAAATCCATCAAAGCATCAATTAAAATCTAATTAACATCTCTAATTAATTATCTCATCTTATCCCACTCTCATTAATGAGAACAATTTTTGAAATTTTGTCACATATGTTACCCCGAGGTCGGACTGAGATGAAGGGTTTTTATATCTGAACATATTTTTACTATCAAACTCTTTATAAACCATCATTGATTCACGCGCGTCACACTTTGTACAGATGAGCGCACATGTTTCTGTTTCTTATTTTTGGAGAGTGGACTACTGAGGATTCACTGGCTTCGTACAAAATTAATTTCTGTATTTGACTTTTTGTCCCTAAAAAATGCTTCAAGAAAGCACAGCAATCAGAAAGTGCTGAAAATAAATTAAATGTCAAGATGCATTGACTAATATTTGGTAGTTTTAATGTCTTTATGTATCATTGGCTTAAAAAAAGAAGCATCTACCAAGACACCAAGACAAGAGATTGATATTGTTAAAATAACCAGTAGACCAGCCAATTAATAAAATGTATAGGCCTAGACCACTGGCCTATAGATCTAACTATGCATAATTTTTTGCGACCTAAAACTTGAGACACTTTTTTCCAAACATAACATGTATTAGTCACTGTGTGACTTTTTAACGATGGCTATTTTTGTGAAATTAGTTTCTGAGCCTAAAAAGCCTTGTGAAAGTTGTAGGCTACAAATCTAAAATAAGACAACCAGCCTTGCATTGATCGGGGCTGTTGCGCACTTTAAATGAAGGTGTTATATTGAATTTCGTCATCATTATCAGCTGTTTGTTTATTTGAATGATTAATTCACTCAGCCGTAAAACAACAAACACTACTGAATTTTAATCGAAAAATACACACTGAAATAATACACGCACGTGCAAATAGATATTTCTTGTGTATATGTCGTCACTAACGAAATTCCCTTCATGCTCCAGTTGCCATCATACGGTACAGGATAGATTTTCAAAATGTTTTGCCAATTTTTCAAAATTAAGAGAATAAATTTCTAAAAAATTTTAAAACCAAATTGAAATTTTAATTCCGAAAAATAGTGTATCAAATATAAAAAAATTGTAGCTAGAAATTTTGAATTGGGAAAATTTTAAACCTGTACCGTATAGAAAGTAGTAACTACCGACTGAGATTGAGGTTGTTTATCACGTGACTAAAATTAAAGCAATATAATTGGTTGGTTTGATCTACAGCGGCTAATTCAAGAGGACGACAGCTACGAATCCATAACACCAACAAGTCCTCCAGACAGAGCGTTGATTATCAAGCTGGTCTGACTCAAATCTACTACCAGCAAACACTTGGATATTTTAGCTAAGACATTGTTTTATTTATTCTTTTAAAAGTTTTGGTCGGCTTTTATATTTATTTGCTCGTTTGCATTATTTCTTTGCAACGAGTTCAACTGTAAACATTCAAAATGTCGATGGTTCATGGAAGTTCGTTTCAAATTGCTCAGGATGTTGATAGTGAAAATCAAGGTGTTCACAGAGTGAAAAAAGGTGGTTTAACCGCTAAAAATGGACATGTAGCAGTTCCCAAGCGTGCAGCTCTTGGAACCATCACAAACCAAATCAGAGTTCAACCTTCTAGAGCAGCCAAGGTGAGTTTTCAAATTTCCGGAAGTAGAATTTTTGAATTTTTCAACGGGCACCTGTCGATAATTTTCGACTATTTCTTCGATCCATTCGATTATGCGGACAAATCATGAATGAAAAGTTGTCTCTCTTAGACTTTTTCACATGTTTAGCATGTTACATCTGTTCATTTTGACCTGCTAAGCACAGAAATTAAAATAAATTGACTGAACCCTTTGTCCAATTTGAATTTTATCATTTCATGCCCATGGCTGGTCTAAAATTTAGATCTGGTCTCGTAACTTATATTTCTGACCCTACCCACCCTTAAAATTTTAACCATTCAACTTGATTGATATGGTTGAACATGTTAACATTGAAATGTGTCTTGTTTTTCTTTACTTAACAATTACATGTGACTTAAATTTCTGCCAAATCTACAGTCAGTCTCATAGCACCCCTAGCCAACTTTTTAATATCTTGATTAATTTCAGAGCAACCAATGTGAACCTCAAGATGAAAATAGTTTTGCCAAACAGAAGACTTTTGGAGGCCTGAATGATCAAGGATTTAAAATATATTTGGATGAAAATGTGAAGCCGTCCACCACCTCCGTTCAACCAAAATCCACCTCAAACATCGCAGAACATGTCACTTCACTTCCCCTCCAAGCTTTGGAAGAAATCCAAGTTGATCATGAAACAGGTTAGAGTTTTCCTGAATTTTGAAGCAATTCGGAAGAAAACTAAAACATATTTCCCATTTAGATTGCATCATTTTTCATAACTAAATTAACTTTGATAGTTTCTTTATTGCTGGTATTCATAGCATTTGATTTTAGTTTTTTTTTTCTTCAAATAGATTTATCTAACCCAGAGTAAATATCATATTTACAGGTTCTCCAATGGTATTGGATGTTACAATTGAAGAATTGATAGAAAAGAAACCACTGGACAGGGAAGCTATAATTTTAACAGTACCAGAATATGCTGAGGATATTTATAATCATTTACGTGAAGCTGAGGTAACTATTCAATCTAACTTGGCATTAAGTGATTTTGACTACTAGCCATAAAAGTGGATGCAGGTTTTCATATTACTCCATATAGTGGAGAAAAGTAGGACATAAAATTACATTGATTTTATTTTAAAGTGGATGAATGACAAACTTTCTTGTTTCTGCAGGAGGGACTGAAATATCAACCCATTTCTATGCAGATTGGCATAAATTTAAACTCTTTGGGAAACCTAATATTTTATAAAAATTATTTGCAAGTCGAAATGAATGTCTTGTCACTTCGCTGCAGACAACCTGCTGTGAATTCAAAATAAATTATCTTGTGTATTAACTGAATGTAATTTTATCTTTGTAGCTACGCCATCGCTCTAAGCCTGGTTATATGAAGAAACAGCCTGATATTACGAGTTCTATGAGGAGTATTTTAGTCGACTGGATGGTTGAAGTATCTGAAGAATATAAACTTCATCGTGAAACCCTGTTTTTATCTATAAATTATATTGATAGATTTTTATCTCAGATGTCCGTTCTTAGAGGGAAATTACAATTAGTTGGTGCTGCAAGCATGTTCATTGCATCGTAAGTATTCATCAATAGATTAATAAGATTTGTATCCAGTGGCTTGTTGTATTACTCTACTGTGTTTGATTGATAAAACATTTAAAATTTGATATTGGTCAATAAGAGTTCTTTAAGTGTGTATCATTTTTTCATTGCATATTGTCGGTTTGAAGTTGTAAAAGGACATCCATATCCTATTGATGTTTGAAATAACTCTAGGGACTGATTCAAACTTATTTTTCAGTAAATACGAAGAAATTTACCCACCAGAGGTTTCTGAGTTTGTTTATATCACCGATGATACCTACGAACAGAAACAAGTTTTAAGAATGGAACATTTGATTTTGAAAGTTTTGAATTTCGACGTAGCTCAACCCACTATTAATTGGTTCACTGACACTTACGCCAAGATGGCTGAATGTGATGATACAACTAAATCTTTGTCCATGGTGGGTTCACTTTTTATATTTCCCTTTTCATCAAATTCTTGATAATTTTGAACATCTTTCATGAAATATCATGTGGGGCATGCCCTTCATTTATATTGGACCATAAAAGTGACCCTGAGAATCCCTAATATCAGCTGATAAATGTAACCATGATTGTGATCTGATTTTGCTGTGGCCGAATTTAACAGATTTTTTTTTTTTTTTTTTTTTTCAGTATTTGTCTGAGTTGACCCTGGTAGATGCTGACCCCTATTTAAAATATTTATCTAGTACTATAGCTGCTGCATCACTATGTTTAGCTAATATTACTATGGGCAATGAACCTTGGGTAAGTGTTTGTCAAAGTTTACCTCACTGCTCAGAGCATGGCATTCACTACATAAGCTTAGAGCTTTACTGTATAGCTTTACTTCATAGCTTTACTTCATTTGAAAATCTAACAGCTTTGTTCATATACTGTTAGTAATTTTAGGTTAGAATTTATGAGTTGAATTTTCGGTATTCGAGAAGCAACCATCAAGAAATATGAAATGATTTTTGAAATTGATATTTTTAGCCATCAAGTTTAGCTAAAGAGACGAAATATGAAGTTAGTGATTTTTCCGACTGTTTACAAGAATTGTATCAGACATTCATCAACGCTCCCAATCATCCACAACAAGCCATCCGAGAAAAATACAGGTCTTCAAAGTAAGTACAAATTTTTTTTTTTTATTGAGGTGGTTATTGACTAGATCTCATCTTGTACGTCAGAGTTAGAGATACACAATCCTCATAAGAATAAGTAGCCTAATGTTGGTTAAACAGACATTTGTTCCCTATGAAAAGATCCAAGATAACAGAATTACTCATGGCACCGAATTACTCATGGCACCGTTTTGTCTTGGTTCCTATTTGGAAAGTAAGGGCAGCATGAAATAAATTCCAGTGCAAAAATGTGCTGGTTACAATTTTTATCAAATAAAAAGAAAAGTTTAGTCCTTTAGGGTTTATACAAACTTTTGGGAGTAAATTATCAGCGTTAAATTTCATTTTCACCTTTTTTCTAATTTCAGATATCAACAGGTTTCATCTCTCAGTCCACCATCTAGTTTATCTTTCATGTAGAATCCACATTTCATCCTCCAACTACTTCACGTTAAAAATACCACAGTTCTTTCAATAGCCGACCAACAAAATACGTCCAGAATCATAGAACTAATCCATTTTTAATCTTGCATGAGTTACATTACGTTTTTTAGTTCATATCATTTTTTAATTCACCTTGTTTTTATCGAGTATTTGTTTTAGTAATAGTGCAATATATATTGGTCAGAATTGATCAGGATCATGTTAATTTCTGAGAGTTGTGAGTGACAGTATTTTGAAAGGTGTGTGAATGAAAACCAAGATACTAATCAGTGACGCAAATAATTCACAAGAATCACTGTAAATATCATTGCACTATTAATTTTAAAGATTAAGTTTTTATTTAATTCTTTTAAATAAATTTGAGGATAAATTATCGCGGAGAGTAGATTTTAAAAAATGTAACGCATAATTTATTTTCTATTGTGTACAGTGGTCCCATGTTTACACTCTAAACCTGTTAGATGCTTTTAGTTGTCTGTCGTCTCTCTTTCTCATCTGTTGTTTCCTCTCCTCTTAGTCTGTACCTATACTGTCCTCTTGACCTCTAATGTGTAAATGTGGGATCACTAGTTAACTAAGTACTGTGTAGATTTTTATCTTTTGTAAATGGCATTCCTTTTAATAAAGTGTATAAAGGATTAAACTATTTCTTTTTAATTTTTCCCTAGTGAGGATTGCTTGGTAGGCCGGAAAGTTTTACTGAGATTGTTAAACTGTGGGTCTCGAGTCTTGCTAGTATTGACGAGGCTTGCTAGTATTGATGGCAAAGTTTCCTTCATTTACTCCATTTGTCATGGTGTTAGATAGTAACCAAAACGAAAGATAATTCCCCAGTGCAAGTTTCTTACTCCTTGGATCAGTCTGGCTTAGTTTTGAATCTTCAGGTTTTGAGGATTGTCTGTTTAGGCCACAGTCTCGATTAAAATAAGTGGCCACAATAACAATCTGGTTGGCTTGATGTTCGATCTGAGGATTAGGGGCATAAACAGCAGTTTACTCTGTTGAAATAATGCACTTCCTAAAAGTAGAAGGGGGGAAAAAAAAAATACTCCTGCTTGTTCAATCTTTACATGTGCTACATTTAGCATAGGGGGTTTTAACTTGTTTGATTTTGAGCAAAATCTGTGGTGCATCAGAACGTTTTGCATCAAATTTTGAAATGAAAAATGCAAGAGTAATGAGTCAAGGTTTCTGTGTATTAATTATTTTACTGCTGCGAGTGTAGGTAAATTACAAAAAACCCTTAATCTTCAGGAGCCTTTGACTGCTTAAAGCTACCTTCCTAGTCTTAGCGCAATGCCCGCTTCACTTGCTACACATGGTAGGGTTGTGAAGCCATAGTCATTCCAAATATGGAAAGTGGAATTTCTTGAGAAAAATTTTCATGTCCGTCGAAGTGAGTTTATACGTGGAATATACCTTGTTATCACTCACTATTTTGGTGTCTGCTTTATGCCATCTCCAACCTCAAATTTCGTCAACAAGGGGTGCACATTATATATGGGTAAATAGATTTTTCCAGATTTTGATGGGGTGAGGAAGGGGTGCGCATTATATTCGGAAATATGCGGTACCGGTACTACTAGCATCTTGAATCATAACAACAAACAATTTGAATGATGCAAAGTTATATTTTTTATTACAATATTTACACAAATCTGGTAGACATTATTTCTTTTTCTTCTTTTTTCCTTTTAATGTTTTTACTTGTGAAGTTAAATCTACAGTTTCTTCAGATTTTACTTTTCTACAAAACAAATATTGAAATACAAAATTTCAAACAATGAACAAATTATTTAACGGAGATATGGTTCTACACTAGGGAATTTTCAATCTGAAATGTGGAAATAGTCATAAGCATATTCCAGAGCAGTTATCATAAATCTTTCAACGATATAGACATCGGAGGTTTAATTCATAATAGTAAGTATTATTCAGTAAGCGAATATAGAAGTAAAACATGACATACTTACTTGTGACTAACGTCGAGATTTGATTGGTCGAGAATTATCGTAGTTTCCTCTTCGCTGTCGTCTATATACACTGCTGTATCTAAGATAAAACATAATAATTATTATTATTATATCATTGTCATGCTATTAGGACAGAGGGGGAAACTGCCCCCCCCCCCCCCTCGCAGCCCGAAAGCAAGTTTTTCGGGCAAAAATCTCATAAGATGGTTAGAAATCTTGGACGCAAACCTGGCTCCACCACTGTACTTATACCTTGACTGCAATAGTCACTGTTCTTGTATTGCTGAAGTTGTAGATGCAGCAATTCGATTGGATTGTACACGAGGGGTGTATATTATACCCAACACCAACCAGTACACATTTGGAGATTGAGAAATTCGAAAGGTAGATGAATTTCATTATATTACAAACTCTACTCTTCATTCATTTTAGTAAAAGAAGCAAATATCAGATAATGATTTTATTTTCAAAAATTCATACCTTCTTCTTTATTTAATTTTTTCTTCTTAGATTTTGTTGTTGTCTGAGTTTCTGGTTTAATTTCCTCTCCCTCTTCATCATCATCTTCCATCAACCAGGAATTTTTACCACCCTGACCTACGACCCCTGTACCTTCCTCCTGAAATACATAAAGGCCTTGTCATATGCAACATGGGCAGAAGTCTACTCTCTTTCAATGTCCACAGTAACAGAGTGAAAAATTAAGAGACTAGGCCCTTACAAAAACTGCAAAACATTAGTCTCCCCATTTATACACCTTAATTAAATTAAAAACTATTCAGATTTGTAATATTTGGTGACCTGGATATTAATATTATATATATATAATATAGATAACAATCTACTCACTAGTATTGTGACCTCTTCATTTTCATCAGATCTTCTTTCTGTTAAGGTTCAAATAGAAATAGTTAAACTTAGAATAGAGGTGAGATAGGGAAGAGGCAAGCTCTATGAGGTCTGGAATGGTTTTACATGATAAGGTGTACAAGAATGTTTTCTAGGGTGTGGTTAAGGGTAGCGAAGGGGGTAGGGCAGTGGCGTTTCCATCAATTATTTGGTGAATGGACTCATTGGGCTGATTGGTGTGGGGGCCAAACCCAGACTGGACTATTTATTAGCAGAGCCATACTGTTCCCATAAGGGTAGGGTGTATAATAAAGGATACTGTTGTAAATCAACATCTATATTTTGTACTGTTTATCCAAATCTAGGGTGAGGTAGGGTGTGGTCTAGGATAGGGTAGGGTGTGGTCTAGGATTGGGTATGTGTGGTCTAGGGTATGTAGACAATAGAGTATAATAAAGGATACTGTTGTAAATAAACATCTTTATTTTCTACTGTTTATCCAAATCTAGGGTGAGGTAGGGTGTGGTCTAGGATAGGGCAGGGTGTGGTCTAGGATTGGGTATGTGTGGTCTAGGGTATGTAGACAATAGAGTATAATAAAGGATACTGTTGTAAATAAACATCTTTATTTTCTACTGTTTGAGAAATCGACTGTTCTAGGGTGAGGTAGGGTGTGGTCTAGGATAGGGTAGGGTGTGGTCTAGGATAGGGTAGAGTGTGGTCTAGGGTATATAGACAATAGAGTATAATAAAGGATACTGTTGTAAATCAACATCTATATTTTCTACTGTTTGAGAAATCGACTGTTCTAGGGTGAGGTAGGGTGTGGTCTAGGATAGGGTAGGGTGTGGTCTAGGATTGGGTATGTGTGGTCTAGGATAGGGTAGGGTGTGGTATAGGGTATATAGACAATAGAGTATAATAAAGGATACTGTTGTAAATCAACATCTATATTTTCAACTGTTTAAGAAATCGACTGTTCTAGGGTGAGGTAGGGTGTGGTCTAGGATTGGGTTTGTGTGGTCTAGGGTATATAGACAATAGTGTATAATAAAGGATACTGTTGTAAATCAACATCTATATTTTCTACTGTTTGAGAAATCGACTGTTCTAGGGTAAGTTAGGGTGTGGTCTAGGATAGGGTAGGGTGTGGTCTAGGATAGGGTAGAGTGTGGTCTAGGGTATATAGACAATAGAGTATAATAAAGGATACTGTTGTAAATCAACATCTACATTTTCTACTGTTTGAGATGTTGACTGATCTAGATCTATATCTATACTCTCTGTATGATGTGATGTTATTTTCTCTTTTTCTATAGATTCAGCAAAACCAAATTTCTTTCCTTCTTTTCTGTATATAATGAAATATTTCAATCAAGTGAGATTTTTCTGATAGGATCTAGACAATAATTCAGTCTTTTATTAGCGTTTATTTTTAATATAACCACTTCAAGTCAGTCAAATTTATTCTTCTGACCTAACTTGACCACGTCTGCTTTAACCAATCAATTTTCTCTCTTCTGCAGCGCTAGCATTTTATGACGTGGTATTTATCAGGTTAGGTCAAAAGGTTAATTTGATGAAAGTTAAACAGGGCTGTTTTTAGACCCTAACTGAAGTGGCTATATAAAAATTTAACTGTAAAAACGGGTTGATGTTTTTTTTTAATGATGGCACAATATATCAGTGAATACGCTGTGCTGCGACATGTCATGATTTGAGGCATGATGTATCAATACTCAACAATACCAGACAAATATATACACAATATATATATATATATGTATATACACAATTAACTTGACATCATCCGAATGAATAAATAAGATAGCAGTAAGATCTTACCTGGCTCGTTTATCATTGTCTACAGCTAATAAAATTAATTCAGTTATTTCTTGTACTTTTACCACGGCTATATTAGAACATCGTAATACCTGCAGATAGATAATAAAATGATTAGTGAAGGAGAACTGTGGTGGCTCAATCTTTGCTTGCTAACCTGAAAATTCACGGTTTACAAAAGTGAAATCTCTAAACTTCAGCTAGATACCTGGAATTTTTTTTTTACCATACCTGTTCCTTCAGTAATAACATATCTCCTGTAATTTGTAAGGTACAGATTTCACGATGTTTATTCATCCCTATTACCATCTTTCCATCCATCACCTTCTCTTCTCTCAACTTCGGATCCACCAGTAAATATTTCCTGTAATACAAATGAAGATAAACTCTGATCTTAGATCAGTGCCTCATAATCTTCAATAGCCATCTCCATTTTGGCAAGCTTTCCCTTTTTTGGTAGAGAAACTGAGCTTTATACACAAATATACCTTGGTAAGTTTTGAATGACACTTAGAAGTTGAGAGCACATATATAACAAAAAGCACAAGGGAATATATTATGGTCTATGGTATAACACACTTCTTTAATAACAAAGTACATAATGTTTCAACACAATTTAATATAGTAATATATTCCCCTGTGTTTCTTGTTATAAACAATATAGCATTGTTCAATCAACAATTTTCGCTTTAAAAACGTGTATTTACATTTATAACCTTTGACTTCTTCTTTAATTGGTTCAGTAGGATTTTGTTAATCTTTTTTCATGAATATGAATAAATATGAAGCTTTCGTCTAGATTTCCAAATGAAGTCCAGAAGGACTGAAGGATCAATGTTGTGTGAGCAAAATTATTCAATTCTATGGGCTGCAAATTTCATCACAGCACATTTGTGAGAACATAAATTTGTGGAGACATAAATACAGTGCCTATAATTGTTGCATATATATTCATGGGTCACTTAATCAAGATTCATAAAAAATTGGTTTAAAAAATTAATAATTAAATAAATAACTTCTTACCCTTGATCATAAAAAGCGAAAGAAACACAGATAGGCATATGATGAACACTTAATGGTATGGGATCTCTGTCTTCTAGAGCATGCTGAAAACATTAATCAATTCGACAAAATGTTCACAAATTAATAACCCAATTGAACTGGTAAAAAAAGTGTAGCAAAATGAAATCTTAGATTCAAATTCATCCAAAAAACATACAGTTTAAATTAATCATAGATTAAAAGTTTACAAAAAATGTTGTTTAATGTTAACTAAAATAGAGCTCAAATTTCAGCAAATATAGTAATCTGATTGGATAGTATTAAAAATAAAACCAATTAAAACATTTATAGCATCGATTCGTGGTTCCTGCAATTCTTCTGAAACTATGTGTTTGATGATGTCACTAATCCCGAAATCTGCTTGTATCACATATGGACTTTCACGATTAGTGACGTCATTAAACACTAAATTTAGTCAAATTGCAGGAACCACAGTTGTCTGGTTAGAAATTGGAATGTTGGAAATTGAAGTTATCAGTGTCCCTGATACACATAGAAATTTCAGAAAACCTCTTTTTACAATCCCTCAAGTGATTGACCAATCAGAGGAATAGAATACTAAAACCATCATCGTTAATAAAGTTATTGTTTCATAGTCGCCTTGTGTCAAGATTACAATATTCATCAAAACCAAGATAAACTTACTATAGTGACGTCCTCTCCTGATACAGTGACATCAGGTCGTCTGAAATGTACGAGAGCTGTAATGGCTGCTATACTGGCACAATCTAATATATTACCTTCATGGTTTAATACATGGATATCAACTCGAATCTGCCACACCTACAAAAATCAACATTGAAAAATATACTAATTAAAACTTTCTGTAAAACATAGTATTAGATGTTACAGATGATATTATTCTAGATTTCGAGTTTCGTTTTGGTTCATATTGTTACTACTTGAGTCTTTTATTTATACCCTCCTCTTAACATTTTGATGTTGTGCAAATATAACATATCAGTTTAAAGACTTACTACACCTACTCAATATACAATAGAAACACAAGCCTACCTTTTGTCCAGCTACAACACACAATGATTCTGTATCAAGACAGCGTGATTCTTTAATACATCTTTCTAGTAACCTCGTCAACTCTACTCCTTCATCACTTAATCTACAGTAATTAATGCCTCATTAGCAATTCTTACAATTAATGGTCATTATTATGATCATGAATAAACAATAGAAAAGTAATATATCAACCATAATTCAATTGATGTGCTTTGATACTATAATGTGGGTAGTTAAACAGAACTTTCTCTCGCACCTTTAAATTTAGAAATTTAACAAACCTTCCAGCTTCAAAACTGGGACTAGCCATGGGAGATAACTCTACATTAATATATAAAATACCATCAGTTGGTCGTGTCTGTTTGGGTTCTGTCACTTCACATGATACCTGTGTTAATACCCTTGAATAAAAATTATTATAACGTTGATTATAGATATTTTTTTTTAATAGAATTTTACTTCTACTGTAAAACATTCATACAATAAATAAATAGGTAAGGGTTTTTAACATAAATCGAAATTGACGATGATTTGTTATCTTTGTCTCTATCTATAACTATGCCTATAATCAGTAATTACTAGTTATTTCAACCATACTACTAGTGAGTTGATTATTTAAAACCCTATTTCCATGTACATATTTCCAACATGAGCAACAGTCAACAAAGAAAAGTTATAATTTGATAAACATTCTAATTTTCATTCCTGTTATATTTACCTGGTCTGGCCTAACTCTACACTACAACAACCTGTATCAACTCCAAAACATATCTTTAACTTTCTGTAATCAAAAGTTTGACGCCCATCTAGTCTCTAAAAGAGAAAGAAACTCAATCATTAGATCATCTCAGCTTTTACATAAAACTGGTCTTATTCTCTTGGGATACTGATGTCAAAATACTTTCTTTACCAAACAATGGGAGTTCAATTTTTAGATCTTTTCAGCTCTAAAATTAAGATCTACTAGCTAGCAAAAATGGCCATTGCTGAATCCATTTAAAAGTGCAGAGAAGATTCTGATATAATTAAGGCAATAAGGCATAAATGTAAAAGATGAAAATTGGGTTGATTTTATTGAATAAATTATCTTGAAAGCAGATTTGATAAATGGACAGACGAGCAGTTACGCCTATGGCCAATTGTTTCTCCGTCACACGTCAGTCAACACGTCAAACACGTCAACCCTATGGCAGTAAATTTTGTTGTTATAAAAGATTACTTGGCTCTACTTTCACTTTGTTATCAATCACATTTTTCATGTAATTTTTAGTTTAGCTTATATTCGTCGTATCACCAATTGAATACATTAGTCTTTCATTTACAAAAAAGTCCATACCTTCCTGTCCGCTATGGCACTAAGGATAAACTCCTTTTCGCAATTTGACAGTGGCGTTTCTCTCATTTTCTCTCTTAATTTTTGTAGAAACTGTTTTGTTTACATCGCCATTACACACGTGCTTCCGGTTTACGTCACGCCCTCTGGAGTCAGGGGGAGAAAACTCTTCGTGGCCTTACTCTAACTTCCTGTTAAAGCCGAAAATTAGGAATTTGAGATATTATGTCGCGTGATTATTTGTAAACAAAATTAGTATTTAGAATGAAAAAGTGACACCGGACAGGTGTGAAAAAGAAAGATTCAGAATGACAGAAGAGCAGGATATGGCGGATAGTGGATGTGTGCCGAAAGGTTCGTAGAATCATGAAAATTTTTGTGTCACTTTCGACTCGATCAAATCAGTATCTATCTGTCAAATTTGTTATTTTGTGAGTAAGCCCTTGTCTATCATATATGGCAAGGAAGAAATTACATAATCCGTCCATTGAACATTCAAAAAATCTCTTTCCTTGTGAAAGTTCTAGTAAAATAGGAAATGTTTAGTTCAGAATGTTTACTACTGACTGTAACAAGCTGTAATATTGATTTTTAACATAATTTATGTATGAATGAAGCCTATCACCATAACCATTACCTTACTTAGTTGACAGTGACACTATGACACTAGCAGACTTAATAATATACACAAATTCCTGGTGATATAGGCACCTCTGATGAAAATATACAACGTAAATGCACTTGAAGTCAAATATACTGTCTAACAAACAAAGTACCTGTACCAGTACAGGTGACAAGAATTTCATTGCTTCCTTAATAGTAATTAATGACAATCGACTTCATTCTGTCAACAAAGTATGCAGGCAATCAATTTACTATGTGGGTTGTAACTCTACAGTCATGCTATGTTAAAAAAGCATCTAGGTACATGAAGGTATTGTTGGCTGTAACATTAAAGTAATGCTTTTTCTAGGTCTGTTGGTTGTGACTGGAAAGCGTATTGAAATGTGTTTTGTTTTTATTGAGTGCAAAAATGACTTCATAATATATCATGGACCATTTTAGTGGGGTACCAAATAGTCATATTTGCTTTCAAATAAAAGTTAAGAATAGTTTGACAGTCAATAAATCGTGGATTTGGCAGTTTGTATCACATTGCTTTATTTGAATTGGAAAATTACCTATTTTTTGTGAAAATGGGGGTTATTCTTAAGCGAATTTGTCTGCCGACAAAAATCTGATCTTTATTTTTCTGACTTTTTATGACTATTTTCTATAATATTGATAAGAAGATGAATTTTAGCCTGAAGGATAATAAATCTGTCTGATTAGAAACTATTTCAATCTGTCATATCATACTGTATTATTACTATAAGCTTATTTATGTATTATGTCATTTTATACCTGTCAGTTATAAGTGATAGACAGATTTTTGCTTTGAATGGATTCAATAGAGGTATTCAGGTATAATGATCTATCCCCTAGAAACTTTCAATTCCTAATTGAACTACACTCTAGGTTTTCCTGATTCTTTCTTGAGTCTTGAGTATAATAGACAGTGTCTGTCATCAAATATATATGTCCTATTTTCTGGGAAATATTAATTCAATGAAAGTGAAAGGTTTTTTGTTGTCTTCAATTAATATAATTTATCTAGAAGTTAGTCACAGTGTTTAGGCTTGGAGATATACCAGTATTGATAAATACTGATATAGCATTATGTTAGGCTTCAACAACACCCTCTTATGGTATTTTTCAGTTCTATTCACATTCCCCTTCATGTATGCTATATATTAATCTGAAACATCTGCCTCTGTTAGTTATCAGCTGGAGTAGGCTCCTGTCTGCACCGCGGATCTGTCAAAGGGCTTTGGAAGTCTAGTATTGAAGTCAGATGTCTTTAAAGCCTACTTCTCCAATCTCACTGACTCAGAACTAATCATATTTTACATCATTAAATTTGATTATAGCTATTTAATGACACTTTCAGATCAATTTTACTTCCACCTTCTTAGAAATGACAGTTGGTCCTCTTCTTTCTGTTAATCAGGTATTTAGTGACGTTACATAGGCTATCCATTCATATGACGTCGCCATCTTATCAACCTCGTTTTCATTGTCTCAAAAACGAAACCTGAATAAGGGCTATGCAATGTCACTTTAAGGCATATCAATGTTATAAAAAATATTAAATATTAAATGACATGGAGTCTGTGACTGTCAATATGTACATTATGTATAATAATTATCATAGGAGAGAAAAAAAAACAACAACAATTATTATGTGACTACTAAGCATATCATATCAGACGCGAAGTGAAGCTTATTGTTAGGTGAAGAGATTTCAAACAGAACAAGTAAGATATGATTCAATTCAAATAAGTCTCCTGATGCGTGTCATTCTCTCATTCCCAAACAGTCTATTTACAGTTTTTGAAACTTAACCTGGTATATTTAAGCAATGAACGATGGACCCACTGCAGTTACGGTGATGCCCAATGTATTCATATCACCGTAACTGCAGTGGGTCCATCGTTCAATGCTTATATTTCCACTGTCTAATGTATTGTTTTCATGAAGTTTCCGATTGATAAATTATATTTCAAAAAGATGGCCTCAACAGCAGCCATATTGCTCAGGAATGTGACCACGTGACCCACTGCAGTTTACGCGAATTTGAATGTATTTCTTGTCAAAGGGTTCACTGTGACAAATACAGTGAGAGTGGAAATATTGTGAATTGTTCGATACTACTTGTCATTTACTAATAAGATCCTCTTGAATCATTAACTCCATGAAGCAATTCTATTGCATATATGAATTATTTTTCATCTCGTAAATCTCTCAAAGAATTTTTATTCCGTCTGGTATTTTTCAGTAAAAAGCATTTTTATTAAAGAATATATTTTCTTGTTGAGATCTATGGTATCACCGCTTTACCTCAGCCAGTGCTTCTATAGGAAAGTATCTCCAATATCAACCAAATACTATTTAGGCTTCCTTTAAATGAAGTAGGACTATTAATTGTGTTTATGTTTTATGATTTGAATTGTACTATAATGTACATGAATATGTTTGCTGAACTATAAAAATATTCAACTGTGAGAATATTATATATATTTGTACTATATTTATATGCCTCTATATTGATAGATATGAATATATTTAATGTATTCACTGTTCAGTCTGGTTAATTAGATGTATTGTATAATCATTAAGTAGCTGTGTGGCCGAGCCTCATTATAACGAGCTCTTTCTATAAAAAATACAGAGCTAAAAGATAATTTACATTTGTTATGTATGTTTAGCATCGGATGTGGTGCAGGGCAGGGTATACTTACTCTTCTAGACACCTGATACAACTTTGCATTATGATATACTTACTCATTTATAATTGATATAATTCCTCATGTGAACAGTTCATTTACTGCTCTCTATGTAGTATAGCCAAAATGTTGTTTGGATTTCAGGTTTCATTTTGCAGTTTGGATCGTTAGTTCTAGGTTTATTTATCTCCCATTGTACACAAAGCTTAAGATTTTTGGTTATCATGTGAAATGAATTATGGTTTGTCTGCTAGAGTCAATAGTTAAAGTAGTCTGTAATTTTGATGAACAATGTATAAAATGAATTTGCTACATCGACTCTAATATCTGGTCTAATATCTATGTTATATCAGTGAGGTTAATGGGCTATCTATCAACTGAGACAGTAGGGAATGAAATAACCACTGTAGGTAGAATAATGGATGACATGTTTCTGACTAACTGTAAGATAATAATCACTTATTCACTTGGTGGGGACATTCTCTCACCTGCATAGATATTTTTCATGTATTTTTTATTAGTGCCATTTCTTGGACCGAGGTCACAGTTGGGAGAGAATAATGGTGTTGATTGGTTTATTTAACATCAGGAACACACACACCTTTGGAGGTCATAGTTCAGTAATGGTGTCAATTGAGTGTTCTTATTCAAAAATACATTTGTCTCACTATTAAGGCCAATTATTAAGTTTAACATGTATTACTTTAGTTGATAGATATTAGTTATTAAATAAGGTATTCTTCTGGAAACTTCATGATGCTGATCATTTCATTTCAGTTATACCATTCCTTGACTTACTTTTAAATTCAAGCTAGCATTTCTCACTATATGAACATACTTTTACTGTGGTGTGATTTCTAGGTACATCATGCTTGTTCTTCAAGACCCCTTGAAATACAACTGTTTGATTTTCCAGATATTTTTGTCTAATTTTTATACGACCACACGTAAGTATGGACGTATATTGTGGTTGCCCCTGTCCGTCGGTCCGTTCGTCTGTCGGTCCTGCCGTTCACATTTACCTTGTGCTCACTCTACAGGCTACAATTCTCTATAGATTCTTTTGATCTTTTGTATAATATCATTATGAAGTTGTGCACTATTGATTTTGGTGATGATCCGATAATTATACTGTGACATTTATTGAAAAGAATCAACACAATAAACCAAGTAAAATTTATGTTAAATTTAACAATGTTGCTGTCTGCCTCCTAATATAGAACCAGGTAGTTTCAATAGAGAGATATGAAAGTACAAGTTAAATGTGATATAGAGTTTGTTTTACAGTTCACATTTAGCTCCTTATCAAGCTGCTGGTGGGCGTATTTGCTTGCGAGACTTGCCGCAAGCCTATGTTTATTCCTGTATTTGTCTAACTATAGACTATTTAAGGGCAACAGGAATAAGTGAACTGTGAATGTGACAGGTGTTGCTAGCAAGAGCATGCTTACACTTCTAGAACACCTGATACCTTCCCTCAACAGTCATGACTGTCATGTATGTAATTAAAGCTGTTTTAGTCTAACTATAGACCATATAAACATCAGGAATAATTTTGCTGTAGCGGGTGTCACTATTATGAAAGGAACACCTGATATCTTTCCTCGATCGTCAACAGGTATCTGTCATGTATTTATTGAAAGCTGTACTTGTCTAACTATAGACCATGTAGATATCAGAAATAACTTTCCCCAGTGAGATATCGCTAACCAGGGCATGCTTACTCTTAAGAAAAACCAAGTCTATGTATCTGTCGTGTATTTATTTAAAGCTGTTTTACTTTAGAAACTATAGAACATGTAGAAAACAGGAATAATTCTATTCGGTTATTGAACAAATGAAGACAATAAAAAAGTCAGTTATGAATGTTTGATGACTTGTGGGAATTAAAGTAGTGTAGACTGATATTTACATCAAGATATTCTTCAACATCATTATTTCTTCACATTCTTTATGTTCAGTATCAGATATGTTCACTCTACGAAATGCCTGTTGCTTGCCACTTTTTGACTGGGCTTATCAATGCAGCATTTCTTTAAAGGAACAGATTTGCCATTATTTTTTTACCAATGTGTCATTTCAGCATCCCTTTTAGAGAGTCCACATAGCTTATATTATTTACCGGTATTTGGTATGTTTATTTTACATAACCCTGAGTGAGTTGGTGCCTGTTATTTTAAAAATGAAATTATTGTTTTTAAGGATTACACCTGATTATAATTGTATTTTATTTCACTCAGGTGAAAGATGGTTATATAGAGACATCTTAAAGATGGTTTTCCTTATTTTTAAGTGTCAAATTAAGAAAACTATTTGATTAATTGGTATTCTTAATCATATCATTATGTTCTTATTGCATATAATTAAGAGTTTTAACATAAATGGCCATGTAAGTACAGTCTGGATAAACAAAAAAAGACTTTTTGACCTTTCTTGATTGGTCACTCATTGGAATTCTGCAAGTAATTCTCTTCTAAGTTTGCTAATTATGAATTAATTACGGACATGTGAGAAAAACTGGTATTTTTCCAAGTCATTAGAACACATCTACTTTCTATTCATATAAGTATTAGCATTTTCATTTTCATAAATAGAAATAAGGGAACCCATCTTTAATGATAATGATAATAATTCCAGTCTTCACAATGTTCAGTTATAAAAACTATGGTCTATACCTTGACTGCAATAGCCATCTTTCTTGTATCACAGAATGCAGGTATAAGATGAAGTTTGTAATAGCTTGACATTGTGAAGATGAGTAAAGGTATAAGATGAAGTTTGTAATAGCTTGATATTGTGAAGATGAGTCAAGGTATAAGATGAAGTTTGTAATAGCTTGACATTGTAAAGATGAAGTTTGTAATAGCTTGACATTGTAAAGATGAAGTTTGTAATAGCTTGACATTGTGAAGATGAAGTTTGTAATAGCTTGACATTGTGAATATGAAGTTTGTAATAGCTTGACATTGTGAAAATTAATAATTCCTAACTAAGATGCTTTAATTGTCCTGAATGAAAGTGAATGAGTTTCACATGACTGATCTTTTATTTCAGTTCAATTAAACAAACTGTACGTTGATCAACCATAGTTTTTTATAATGGATGTTTGATGGAATTTTATCAGGCTGTGTATACTGGCTTGTGACAGGCTACAAATATAACATCTTCCTTAAAAACTGTTGTTAAAATCTGAGGACAGACTGGTTTTAGAACAGAACAGTTCTCTAAATCCATGAAATTTGTTGGATGATGACATGTGATCTGAAGGCATAAATGAGAACTTTTTGTCTACTTCTTGATTTACTTGGAGGGCTGCATTGTGACTTGAATAGGAAATTTTGCTTTCCTGTTGTTGAACACTTGTTACCAGTGTCAGGAGAAACTGCTCTGGAAATATTCATGATGTATTCAGGACCTGTGAAGAAATGACATGTCAGTATACAAGATAAATAAACATGATATTGAGAAATATAATGATGTCCTGAATTTTTTGAATGACGAAAATATATGAAAATTGGTCTCTGAAATTTAATACCTATTATCATTGACATGTTTTGGTTATAACACCTTCATCAAGACAGCTAGTGTTGGTAGTGTAGGATAATAATATACCTAATTGATTAGAAAATTGATACTGACCTTGCTCACTGTGTAAAAAAGATTTTTGAAAAATAATTTGGAATATTATCCTGTTTAAAGATGGAGGTGAAATCGTCTATTCAGATGATGGCTTTAAATTTTGCTGACAAATCAGGTTGGATAATTATTTTAAAAGAAATATTGTTGTTTTATTATTTATTTTTATTTTTGAGTTTCAGCCATCTTCTAGTGTTGTCACCATAACATTTTGTATGACGCGCCTTAAGCTCAATCAGGAAATGAATAACAAAATTTCCTTTCATTAGACCAATAAAGAACTAAGTTCTATATATAATGTATATGACAATACTATTGTAGTGTTCTAGCAGTATGACACTTGTCTATTTCCCTGATCATAAAATAGCTCTCTAGAGGATGCTACATGAATAACTTGTCAAGGTCCTACAAATACAGCAAATATATACAGTGAAATGAGGGTAGTTTTCAGGAATATATTTTTTAAATCCAATTAGAATACAACTCTAGATTCATTTCAGTCATTTTTTCTTCATTAATACCTAATTAAAATACAGCTATATTGAGTTTCATTTATTAACTTCAGGCAATCTAATTAAAGTGCAGTATGGATAAGCTGTAGTCTCTAAATATTTGAAAACTCTCAAATGTTTTCTTTAAAGAGAAAATGAAAATGCTAATACTTATATGAATAGAAAGTAGAGGTGTTCTAATGACTTGGAAAATACCAGTTTGTCTCACATGTCCATAATTAATTCATAGTTAAAAGGTCAAAAGGTATTTTTTGTTTATCCAGACTGTACGTACATGGACATTTTTAATTGGTTAAAACTCTTAATTATATGCAATAAGAACATAATGATATGATTAAGAATACATGATAATTCATTAGAAACACCAATTAATCAAATAGTTTGCTTAATTTGACACTAAATAATAAGGAAACCCATCTTTAACCGTGCCTCAACTATCAACTATGAAGATATTAGAATTACTAGCTATACCATTCAACTGTGGTATTATGACTAATATTGACTGTGTTCTTTGATAGTAAATTAGATTATAATATAACCAGATGTTGTGAGACCTCATTTTATATAGTCTGATTGGAAAAGTTGGTGATTATTGATTTGACTGGGTACAACCTTTCAACATTCCTGGAGTGTATGAATATATTATATAACTGGTAGACAGGGATGTTGATTCAGTAATATTTGCCAACCATGTCTGATTGAACAAGTTGGTGATTATTGATTTGACCTGCTATAACCTCCTTCAACAGTTCTATACTTTATGAATATATTATATAACTCTCTGCAGGGATGTTGATTTGGTTATTTTTACCAGTCATGTCTGACCTTTTTGATTTTGCTGACTTGTATGACAATATGACGACTATTTCAAAATTCCAATACTGATGAATATATTATATAACTGTTACACAGGGATTGTAATTTGGTTATATTTAGCTGTCATGTCTGACTGCAGATCTTGACTACTGATTGATTTGGTACAACCTCAATCAGACAACATCCTGTACTGTAAGTTAAGGTGGACTCTGGTCAACTCTGTCACTCCCAGAATCTGACAGCAACAGGGTATCTGAAAGAATCTTATTAGTTGTTGAATTTAATCAAGCTTAAACAACTGATAAGCCTTTTTCATTGTTGCAATATAAATACCATAGAAACTGTATTAAGAGACTGCTCAATGGAATAATGGAAAACGATCTCTTAATGGAGGTGGTCGGTCTCCAGTTGAATGGGGGGACTTTATTGTGGTTGCATATTGAAGGTGGTTGTTTAGTAGTGGTGGTCACATGAGCAGGATTCACTGTACCTCTTACAAAGATGGACACCAGGTTATGAAGTAGTAAGCTTATAGAAAATAATTCTTGAGGGACTTCTATCCAGGTTTCACTGTAAACACTAAGTTGATTAGAGATAGCTATTAACTATGATAATAAACTATGATAATGACTATCTAGTCTGCCATATCAACTTCATAACCAACATTACTCTGTAACCTAGGCCAGTGCTTACAGTGAGACTTGTATCAATACACCTTAATACGGACCATACTAATGACTAACTAATTTTCACATGATTAATAGACTTATCTATTACTCTGTAACCTTGGCCAGTGCTTGCGGTGAGACTTGTATCAATACTCCTTAATACCAACTACCAACCAAGTTATAATGAACTGGTAGACATGATAATTATATGACTATATTTTCATACAATAAACTTAAAACCTTGACCATGCTTTCTTCTCCTTTTTAATGAAATTTGATATTGTAAGTATATATTTAGTGAAGGGTAAAATTATAAATTATATATAAAAAATGTAATGTATTTTCTTCACTCAATAGGAAACTTAAAGAACATAACCCTATTTTTAGGGATTGTCTAATCATACACACTGCAAGGAGTTGTCTAATCATTGCACACTGCAAGGAGTTGTCTAATCATTGCACACTGCAAGGGATTGTCTAATCATTACACTCTGCATGGGATTGTCTAATCATTGCACACTGCAAGGGATTGTCTAATCATTGCACACTGCAAGGGGTTGTCTAATCATTGCACACTGCAAGGGATTGTCTAATCATTGCACACTGCAAGGGATTGTCTAATCATTGCACACTGCAAGGGATTGTCTAATCATTGCACACTGCAAGGGATTGTCTAATCATTGCACTCTGCAAGGGGTTGTCTAATCATTGCACACTGCAAGGGATTGTTAAATCATTACACACTGCAAGGGATTGTCTAATCAATGCACACTGCAGGGCGTTGTCTAACTTTATAAGCCTTATATTCATTGTCTTTTACAGAGTATCAGCATATGGAGGAAGGAGGGGAGTCAGAAATGGTGAAAGAATCAAAAGTTCATAGATTAATTCATCTAAACGCTGTACAACCTGTTAAATATTGTAAAAATGATATCAGGTAACTTCATTTTAAACACTGTCTTTACAGTATAAATACCCTCTATTTTCACTTGACTTATAAATATTTTTAAGATTATTTGAAAATTCATTATAAAGCCACTAAAGACTTTGTTGTCACTTTTGATAGCTGGTGGTGGGCGTATGTTACCTTGTCTGGCAAGTTATCTTTATTGTTATCATACAGTTAAGATTATACTGAATATAATTTGCTTTGACTAATTTAGTCATATGTGTGGCAAAGTGCTTTGAAAGGCATTCTCTAGCCATGGTCGCGTCTAAAAAAATATATACCAAGGTCATGTACTGTCCATTTCAACCAATCACAGCTTGTCTTGCAAAATCTTTGTCTTAATAATGACTATGAATTGTGGGATAGCAAAACCCAAAGTAGAGCAATATAACCAACGAGATAATGAGACTGCCAATACTCGCTTGTAACAGTGATTCTGATTGGTGGAAGAGAGCAGTCCAAGAATTTCTGCTATGAATAGCTTGAAACGTCACCAGTATGTGACCTTGGTATAAATCTCGTTAGATTACAATGGAGACTGGCAAAAAAAAATAACAAAAAAGAAATTGTACTCTAATTTGAATTAAATAGAAAGATATTCTCTAACCTTGGTCTAGACCTTTACGTAATCTGTATGATCTATAGAATAATTTAACCTGTTAGTGAAATACTATTTTAATACTTTTTACTTCAAATCTTTCTTGTGATTTCTAAAACTATTTTCTTACTTATAACAAATAACACAATATAACACAACACAATATAACACACTTCTTTTATTAAAGAAGTGTGTTATATTCCATAATATTGTCTTGTGTTTTTGTTATATGTGCTCCTCACTTCTATATGTCGTTCAAATCTTATATTTTCTTACTTGTTTTATTTTCAGTACAGCCAAATATAACTTCATCACATTTTTACCCAAGTTTTTATTTGAACAATTCCGGAGATATGCCAATATATTCTTCTTATTCATTGCTCTCATTCAGGTACGTGTTATTTATAGATTTTATTTTAAGATTCTAGATATGTTTTAATTTTAAATCTCTACTCTCTAGAGTCTCAGCAGAAAGAGTAATTTTTAAATACACGGCTAGGCATCCTTCAACAAAACCAGAAAATTGTTGTTTGAAATATTGCATTTTTTGCAATTTAATGGAAAAATAATGAGAAAGGTTTTTACTCAGCGTTTCCCTAATTGCACACTACCTAGTTCTGACATTAACTCATTATACTTGTATACTAATCTCTCACTGATGTTAAAGATTTGAAAGTGAAGGATATAAATTTCTATGAAACAAAATGAAATTAATTTATTTTCCAGCAAATTCCAAATGTATCACCAACAGGACGATACACCACAGCTGTTCCCTTGATTCTCATTCTCTCTGTCTCAGCTATTAAAGAAATTATAGAAGATTTTGTAAGTATCAAGTTTTTATTTAATGGTCTTGTCAAAAACATGTATCAAAAAAACACCAGCATCTATGTGAACTTTCTCAAATGGATGTTATTTTGTGATGGAATAAGGTCGTTAAAGCTGATTGTCATAACCCACTAAAAAATAATCAAACTGTATTTTTATCAGATAGAATATTGGATGTTTTATTTTTTTTACAGAAAAGACATCGAGCAGATGATGCTGTTAATAACAGAAAGATTCAAGGTTTGTAAAAAATACTGTTAAATTTGACTCCATAAACCAGTCCAAAATTTTTGTTGAGATTCAGGAGTTCTTTTCAAAAATTTTAGCCAAAATACAATCAACATTTTAAGAATTAAGTCATCTGATTGGATAATATGATATGATAATATCATTGTTGCTATGTTTTAATTATTTTACACAGTGGCATTTCTTTTAGGGGGCCAGTTGGAACCATGACCTCCCCTCCCCTCTACGCCCTCCTCTTCCCTCTACGCCCTCCTCTTCCCCCCCAGAAAAGAGGCTGCTTCGGCTTTGGCCCCCCACCTCATATCCCCCTTACCTGATGTTTTCTATGAACACCACTGATTTTTCATTGTAGCTCTGGGAAGAGATGTATAGATAATATCAATTCAATCTCTGTAAACTGTGTAGGTTTAAATCTTCTATTATATTTCAGCGTTACGGGGTGGGGTATGGCAGACTATAAGATGGACTCAAGTATTAGTAGGTGATATAGTAAAAGTTGTTAATGGTGGTTTCTTTCCAGCCGATCTCATATTGTTATCATCTAGGTAAGATATACCATTGATAAACAACTATATTTGTCTTCAGTAATGTTTGTCTTTATTCAGTAATGTTTGTCTTTATTCAGTAATGTTTATTTAGTAATGTTTGTCTGTATTCAGTGATGTTTGTCTTTATTAAGTAATGTTTATTCAGTAATATTTGTCTGTATTCAGTAATGTTTATTCAGTAATGTTTGTGTTTATTCAGTAATGTTTGTCTTTATTCAGTGATGTTTGTCTTTATTAAGTAATGTTTATTCAGTAATATTTGTCTGTATTCAGTGATGTTTATTCAGTAATATTTATTCAGTAATGTTTGTCTTTATTCAGTAATGTTGTCTTTATTCAGTAAGGTTTGTCTGACTGTTAATATGTTAAGTAAGTCAGAATTGATTTAAAGTATTAGAAGATAAAATAATTTAAATGTAATATAACTATTTTCTGTAGTGAACCACAAGCTATGTGTTATATAGAAACATCTAATTTAGATGGAGAGACCAATTTAAAACTGAGACAGGTTAGTGATATATATAATGATTAACTTTAATAATATCTGTGTAACCAGATGATAGAACTTAAAGAATATAGCCATCTGAATCTATGTTTTAACGGCTGATAAAGTCCAATTTCAGCTATCTGTAACACCTTTAGCTATTCAAATCTGACACTCTCATTGCATACTACAAGATGTTGCCTATCTTTATTAGCCCAAATTAGAAGTAGATTTGATCAGCTTCAGTTTTTATTTCATAATTAATATAAGTTTCTTACACATTTTTTTCCCTCTTTAGGGATTGTAAAAAGGTTTTCTAGCCTTTTTATGTATATAGGATACACCTTTGACTTCTATTTGGGACATTCCAATTCTACCATTTTATATTTCAGGGTGTAACTCAAACCAGTAAATTATTGACTAGTGACGAACTCTCTGATTTGAGAGGGGTGGTGGAATGTGAACTGCCCAATCGTCATCTGTACGAGTTTGTCGGGAATATTAGACCCAGTGGACAAAGGTAATTATTCATCCATTCATTCATTTGTTTGTTCACTCATTCATTCCTTTCTATCTTTCCTTCCTACAGATCGTTTATTAATTCACTTGTCTGGGGTCCTTGTTGAGTTACAGTGAGGTTTTCGCAAGCCTTAGGTTTCCATTCTTTCAACCCTGTTGAATACTGCGTCTGTCTGGTCATTCTGCTGGAACAAAACAGTCCCCTGTGTGCTGCAGGCTGTATTGTTAAAGATTCCTCGACAATATGAAAATAAAAAAAGAGTTGGCTAATGCTGCTGTCCTGGTAAAATTTTCCTCCTCAGTCAAGGTGAAAAAAGACATGTCATATCATTACATCTTTTAATATTATTTTTCAGTGCCTACCCTGTAGGAGTAGATCAGTTATTATTGAGAGGATCCATCTTGAAAAACACCAACTGGATTTTTGGTAAGAAAATAATTCAGTCATTCTAAATGAAAAAGTCCTGCTTATCTAATTGAAATCAATTTTTGGACCCCTTTTCCTCAAAATGTGAACTGTTCAGTTGGGGACTGAGGATGGCTTTGACTCTGTGTCATTTCATACATCAATAAAATCATCCAAAAAAATTAAATAAATGGTTCAGAAGAGTTATTGCTTAAGAAAAAAAATCTTTCCCTTTCTGTCATGAAGAATCTATTGTTATTTTATTTTCCTCCAATAGGTGTAGTAGTATATTCAGGTCATCAAACTAAACTCATGTTAAATTCCACTTCTGCTCCATTAAAACGTTCCAATGTAGAAAAACTCACCAACACTCAGGTACAGTTACCTTTCTTAAAATTCTCTCATTAGCTCAGCTTCTGGAAAAATTTCCCTCATTACACACTGCATGGTGTTACCTGTCTTCATTAGCCCTGAAAAAGATGTAGAAGAGTAGGAGGTAAAGCCCTATCTCAATTCATTGAGGTAGCTCGGCAAGTTATATGCTTGATCGCTGTGTAAACTAGATGCCAGAGTTTAATCCCAGCATAGATTGAGATGAAGGATTTTCTCAATCTGGTTTTTCCCCTGTCAGTGATACAGATCATGGTGATACACATGGAAAAGCTCCTAGTTGTCCTAAGGGGACAATATATATAGTCCCAGCGTGCTATATTTTCTGTGTATTGATGATGTCTCATCTCTTATTGACTGCTGATATGTTTGAGCAAAATTTCCCTCATAGCACATTGCTTGACATTGTCCATCTTCATTAGAATCTGCTACATGATAAAATATCTCTTGACAGTTGCAAATCAAACACAGAAGGCTTCTATCGATGTCCAGACAAAATTTCCCTCATAGTACACTGCAACATGGTGTCTTTCTTCAGTATCCTGATTAGGAACTGGGAAATTAAGATGCAAAGCTTCATTTTATATCATGTAGTGGAATGAGTTATTTTGTTTTTTAGATTTTGATATTATTTGTGTTATTAGTGGTGTTATCATTAATCAGTGCTGTAGCTAATACTATCTGGAAGGGACGACATTCTGGTAAAGATTGGTATCTCTATAGTCCAGGTATGTTACCCTAGATTCTACTCCCTACCCCCTCCACCACCCTACCTCCTCCCTACCCTCAGGATATTAATCAGTGCTGTAGCTAATACTATCTGGAAGGGACATCATTCTGGTAAAGATTGGTATCTCTATAGTCCAGGTATGTTACCCTAGATTCTACTCCCTACCCCCTCCTTCACCCACCTCCCTATCCCCTCCCTACCCCCTCCACCACCCTACCTCCTCCCTACCCTCAGGATATTTATCAGTGCTGTAGCTAATACTGTCTGGAAGGGACGACATTCTGGTAAAGATTGATATCTCTATAGTCCAGGTACATCACCCTAGATTCTAATCCCTACCCCCTCCTTCCCCCTCCTTCACCCACCTCCCTATACTCTCTCTACAATCTCTCCCTACCTCTATGTATCCCCCTCCTAACATCCCTACCTTTCCTATACACTCTGTAATAACGTCAAGAGCTCTGAGTTTTTCGAGCTTACGATAATCTTGAAATTATGATGTTTCTAATAACAAGCTAGAAATCTGATTGGTCACTGTAATTATATCATCCAATCAGAATGTTTAGAATATATGTTGTCGATTATCTAAAAGTAACGATTTGGATTGTGTTTATATTTTAGATGATGAAGCTCCTAATTTTGGTTATAATTTATTGACGTTTATAATTCTGTATAATAATTTGATACCTATCAGTTTACAAGTTACATTGGAAGTCGTTAAATTTATACAAGCTATCTTCATTAACTGGGTAAGTTCGGGTCGTCTAAAGAGAAAATCAAATATGATGCTCAGTCAGTTAATGGAATGTTTATTTCGTTGACTTAGCGGCTCAAAGCAAAATGACAAAAGGTAAGATCACTTAAAAAGAAAAATGTAGTGATTCAGTTTTCAACTTGAGAACTACTCGATTGTAATAGTTGTCTGATTGAACTAGTATGCACCAGTATTTGAAGTATAGATTTGGGATGAGTTCGAATTTGAGAATATTTTAGTTATTGTATTGTAATTTATGATCAATAGGATATAGATATGTACTATGAAAAAACAGATACACCGGCCATGGCTAGAACCAGTAATCTTAACGAAGAACTGGGTCAGGTAATTTGACTTTTAATCAATTTTGGCGCTTTAGGCTGTCATAGGTATTTAATCTTAAGATAACACAGCACTCTGGCAAACTGTTTATGAAACACACATTATAGTAAGGTTAATGATATCATAACTGTTGGCCAGATTGGTTGAAACACTAATTATATTAGAAGTTTTAATATATAAGGCCCTAAATATCAATAGAGTTATGGATGAATAAACCAAATACTAGCAATTTGAACTGCAAAACGAAAGCCGAAACCCAAGGAACATACTGGCAAAACATTGGTAGCAGCTAATGAACATTAAGAAGTATATCAATTATAAGTCATTAATCTGATAGCAGGTATGTCAGAGGTTATACAACTGACTTTTGTCAAGAGCTACCATATTAAATTTTATTCTTGTCATGAATTACAGGTGAGATTTCTGTTTTCTGATAAAACTGGTACGTTAACTCAGAATATTATGGAGTTTAGGAAATGTAGTATAGCTGGATTGGCATATGGGTAAGTCAAAAGATACACACAAGGTCAAAAGATACACACAAGGTCAAAAGATACACACAAGGTCAAAAGATACACACAAGGTCAAAAGATACACACAAGGTCAAAAGATACACACAATCATTTTTTAAAGATCTGTCTACCAGTAGATCCTTGGCTGAACCTCTTGGCTGTGTTCTTTTCTGGATTACACGCGAGTCAACCGGAATATGAGAAATGGTTATTTTTTCAAGTCCAGACTTTAAGCCTGCAACCGCGATTAGAACACATGACCACCATTTGTCTGAGGTAATCATGCTATTAATATAAGATTAATAATACATTGGTGTATGTTGTATTAGTTTTTGTTAAAAATTTTTTTTGTAGCAATGCTGAAGAAAGTTGCCATCATTTTGATGATCCAGAAATGCTGAAAAACCTCACAGAAAAACATGTAAGTTACAAATTCTCCTGAAAATAAAACATGGCTGAGATAGTTTTATTATGTGTTCTATCGTGAAATATTTATAACACAGTCTCAAAAGAAGAGTGCAAAAAAAATAAATTAAGGGGGAAGAAAAATGTGAAAAACAGACCGCTTTTGACAAAGTTGTAAGAACTGAATTTTACGAATGTAATCTCCCTCAATTAGTGATTGTACTTGTAATTGACAATATTTAGACACGTATTCTGCATGACGACCTGTTTTTGGTTGAAAATTGTATAAAAAATCTTTTTACATTACAATGGAGACCGATGAACTATAATATTGACTTGAAATATAATTTTACCAGTTGTGTATTTTTGTGAATAATGAAAGTGGTAATGAGTTTTGAACACAACTTACAACTCAGTTACATGACGGCTATTCTTATATGACACTGGTGATCTCTATGGTGTAAGGGTAAAATATATCTCAATCAGCTCCGATCAGAAACTGTATTTACTGTTTTAGGAAACATCGAAGGATATACGAGAGTTCCTGACATTGTTAGCTGTTTGTCATACTGTAGTACCAGAACGACAGGGAGATGCTAGCACCATCAGATACCAAGCTGCCTCACCAGGTAGGCAATTATCTCTAAATCAATGGCAGGTCATGTAGGTGCTGTAGAGGGGGGGTGGGGGGCCTTAAGTTGAGCCACGCTTCTAAATTATTCTAAGAAATCAAATATTATTGTGAGTATTAAATTTTTAAGATTTATTTTGTGTTATGTATTTGTGGGCAGTTAAGAATTCAGTAATTCAATCAGGTCTTTAAAAAATAAAAGACAAACTCTATTTCATTTCTGGCTCTTGGAAAAAATACTTCAGTTATTCCAGATGTAAATAGTATAGGCTATAATTAAACCTCATCAGTTGGTAAAGTAAATAATAAGAGAACATTATTTCATACTTTCCTGATATGTGAAGGTTTTATTAGAATTCTATGTAATATAATAATATATATTGATTATATTGTAGATGAGGCAGCCCTAGTAGAAGCTGCTCGACAATTTGGATTTGTTTTTACAACTCGAACTCCAGAAACTATTACTATAGAAGTGGTAAGATAACTTTACTTTATTATATATACATTATTAACCATGTGAACTCTCTGAAAGGGATGTTGAGTTGACAAACCTAAATACCACATAAACATTACTAGCTATACGGACCCACAGAAAAGGATTTAATACATATATTGAGCCTTAAAACCAACAATATAAGCTATGTTCTCCTTGTAAAAGATACAAAGTTTACACAGCCAAATAACAAATGTTAAATTTGTATTTTTTTTAACAATTTTATGAATTTTTACCTAATTATTGATACAAATATATTAAATTGGGAGACACAATAAGACACAATAAGATGGTATATTGTAATCTGTTTCCTAAATTGTTATTTAATTTATAGCTTGGTGAGAAAGAAACATATGAAGTTTTAAACGTCTTAGAATTTACAAGGTATGTCTTCCATTTATTTTTGAAAAGAAAGTAAATTCTGATGCCAGTACTAGTGCTTTTGTGGATCAGCAAGCTTCAACATTTCTCATCACTACATCAAATGTCTGATTATATTTCAGTGATCATAAAATGATAAGGCCAGTGCTGTTGTGGATAAAAAAGGCTCAATCTTCTCTCCCTAATTCTGTCTGATTATATTTCAGTGATCATAAAATGATAAGGCCAGTGCTGTTGTGGATAAAAAAGGCTCAATCTTCTCTTCCTAATTCTGTCTGATTATATTTCAGTGATCGTAAAAGGATGTCAGTGGTATTAAGATGTCCTGATGGTAATATAAGATTATATTCTAAAGGGGCAGTAAGTAGATATTATAGTTTGACAAAGTTATTAACACCTATTTAGGTCTGAATCAAAACATTAAAGGATTTTCATTTGAAAATGTCCCAAATTTGTGCTTAATTCTGTATTAAAAATTTCACTCAAAGTAAAATATTCCAATATCTATTTCCCTCATTGTACACTGCATGACATTGCCTGTTGATTTGTCTGTCAACTGATTGTGAATTTAGAAGTTCTATTTGTCTGTATTTATAGGATACAGTTATATTTGAGAGATTGGAAGAGAAACAGAATTTCCGTGAGCAGACGTTACAACATCTTGAAGAATTTGCTTCATTAGGTAAACAATCTTATTTTATATAGTTTTGATATTTTTTTGTGATCAGTGCTTACCTGGAACTGTAAAAATAGCAACTCAAAACTAATTTTGAAAATGGAATTTCAAATAGAACTTTCACATTGGTTAAAAATTAGCTGAATCATGAGCTGTAAGAGGGAAGCAAAAGTCAATTTCATTTCCTGTTAGTCCTTAACCCTTCACATCCATCCCCCTGTTCCAGTGGAGGAGCAAATTGGGGGCAGAGGGGCCAGGCACCCCCCCTCGCAGCCCCGAAAGCAAGTTTTTTGGGTAAAAATCTCATAACTAGGTTAGAAATTTGGGCAATCTCAGATATTAACTTGCTCGACCACTACCCTGTTCCACCATCCCTTTTTGGTTGTGTACAAAATATAGAAATAAGCCTAAATTATTCCGTTGATAGGTTTACGTACATTATGCTGTGCTGTAGTAGAGATATCAGATGAATTCTATGATGAATGGAGACACACGTTTTATAAAGCCAGTACGTCCATACAGAATAGAGAGAGAAAACTAGAAGAGGCTGCCGAACTTATAGAATCTGTAAGTATTTTGAACTCCCTGTATATTTGCGAAAACCTTTGCCGGTTTGTTATATTTATGACAGAAAGTTTGAGAAATCTGATTAAAATGTACATCAAGGGGTTTTGAACCACTTAAGGGAAATAACTCTTGCTTGAGACTTGACAATTTTAAGACCACAATATTTAAGGATTGAATGTAAATATTTTTTGTGTTTATTGATTGATGAACGCAGAATTTTCACGTGTTAATTCGAAATAAAATAGTGCAAGATTGATTGAGTCGATTTTTTACAAACGAACAAAAAAAAAATACCACTTTTTGAAAGTCCATGTGTAAGAGAAACAAATAACTCAGATATTCAACACAAACTCAGAAACTAAGATTTGTTCCATCGTCTTGTCTACCTTAGTTGAAAGTTGTTGTGTATTCATTCGCTGCATCTCATGTTGTCACAGCAGATGACGTCATTACGTCTTCAGTCATCACTTAGGAAATTTGTAGTTCATTTGTGAATGAATGAAAATTTTTCACATGGGTTCACTGAAGCACGAGACAATAAAATGTAGAAATTGCAAATTAACAAGTTTTTGATAGAATATTGTTTAAAGAATAAAATGTAACATTGTCTGTTATAGAATCTAAGATTAATTGGTGCTACTGCTATAGAAGATAAATTACAAGAGGTATGATATTCATTATTTAAGTCAGCTCTTTTGTTTTCATCCTATCTCCACTCGGACCTTAGTTTTAACATAATTCCTAGACCAGACTTCATAGTTATAATGAAGGCTCATTGCTTTGAACATTACTGCAAAAAAAAAACTCATGTGCCAAGACTTCCATATTACGATGTCCCTTCATATAACGTCACTTTATAACAATAAACAATAGTTTCTCAGGCTATCCATGTATATACTACATTGTAGAGCAGTTGGTAGTTCTCAAACTTTAACATAAAGCCCAATAATTGCAGTGTGTATCTACATAAAAGGGCTCTTTTACCAGTATATATTTTAAACAAGCCATGCAATATACAAATTAATATTATTATATTATTAACAGGGAGTGCCAGAGACAATTGATACCCTAGCTAAAGCTGATATTAAAATCTGGGTATTAACTGGAGATAAACAGGAGACAGCTATTAATATAGGTTAGTATACCCTTGATACTTTTTACCACAATTCAACTATTAATATAGGTTAGTGTACACTTTCTAATTCCCCCTTGATACTTTTTACCACAATTCATCTATTGATATAGGTTAGTATACCCTTTCTAATTCCCCCTTGATACTTTTTACCACAATTCAACTATTGATATAGGTTAGTATACCCTTTCTAATTCCCCCTTGATACTTTTTACCACAATTCAACTATTAATATAGGTTAGTATACCCTTTCTAATTCCCCCTTGATACTTTTTACCACAATTCAACTATTGATATAGGTTAGTATACCCTTTCTAATTCCCCCTTGATACTTTTTACCACAATTCAACTATTGATATAGGTTAGTATACCCTTTCTAATTCCCCCTTGATACTTTTTACCACAATTCAACTATTAATATAGGTTAGTATACTCTTTCTAATTCCCCCTTGATACTTTTTACCACAATTCAACTTTTTTACCACAATTCAACTATTAATATAGGTTAGTATACCCTTTCTAATTCCCCCTTGATAATTTTTACCACAATTCAACTATTAATATAGGTTAGTATACTCTTTCTTTTTGACCAATCCTACTTTCAGTTTGTTGTTTTCTATATAAGTCGTGTCATTACTTCAGGAGTTGTCTGGTCTATATCTATTAATGAAAATACAGAATTAATATATGAAATACTGATTTCTTGAGACTGGGTGTGCATTGTATGAAGATTTGGGGTCCTTCCCTTCAGTTAGAAGAACTTTGTTTCATTTAAACATGTCATAAAAATGTTCAAACATTGGATAGAGGATTAAAAAAGAGCTGAATTCATCAATCTCTATAAAATTTGACATATCTGTAGACAATATTAATATGAAGCAAAATTTTTGATGCTTTTTCTCAAACTGTATGTAGATCATGTGAAATATTTATGTATGTTTTCAGGTTATGCTTGTAAATTATTAACACAAGGAATGGATTTAGTTGTTATTAATGAACACTGTCTAGATGTAAGTATCATTTCAATTTGGTTTCATATCTCCTTTTATTTCAAAAACTTTTTATAAAGAAATATTGATTTAGTTATTAGACGTGAAACAAACAAGGAAGTTGTGAAGATAACCCTTCTCCCAAATTTTTTTGTTATTGTTGGCAAAACGGAAAAGTAGTGTTATGTTATTGCTGAAAAAAAATACACATGAGATAATTTTTGATGATTTATTAATTGTAGACAACAAGAGAAACTTTACTAGCTAGAAAGGGTCAGTTTGGAGATGCGTTAGGGAAAGAAAATGATGCTGCCCTTGTTATAGATGGGCAGGTAAGTTAATTTTCATTAATTATAACAACATATTTCAAGAGTATAGAGATAACAAATACCAAGTCTATACAAATCTGTTAAAACACTCCTGAATGAAGAGTATATGAGTAAAATGCAAATATCCCCCGTCATCTCATCTTCCTACCCTATTATTTCTATATGTTTATATTTCAGACATTAAAGTATGCGTTATTATGTGACTGTCGGAAAGATTTTCTAGATATAGCGTTATCTTGTAAAGCTGTCATTTGTTGTAGGTAAGTTGTCAGTGATTAAGATCCCTTGTTCCAGACATTTTGAACTCTTAGAACCCTTATTCCATGTCTTGATGCCCCGTGGTCCACCATAGACTGAGTAAACTGAATTCCATGAAATATTCTAGCCCTTCATTCTTGTTTATTATAAATTTTATTTTTATTTTAAGATAACTCGTATAAATCTCTGGTGTTTTGGCAAACTAACTAATCCTATAAATAATTTGTAATGATATTTTTAAATTGTCTCTAGTTCAGAAAGCTGAAATAGTAGTTTTTTTTATATCTGTATGCCACCTTTCACTATTTTTGGTCTCTTATTAAAATAAATTGTGTGTCACCACTTCAGGAAGCTGAAAAAATCGTCTTTTTATATCTTTGTTTAGCCAACAAAACCTCATGTATTTTTTAAACTATTTTTAGAGTATCACCACTACAGAAAGCTGAATTAGTAGAATTAGTAAAAACTAGTCAGAAGACAATAACACTAGCTATAGGTGACGGAGCTAACGATGTGGGTATGATACAGGCTGCTCACGTGGGGGTAGGAATCAGTGGATTAGAAGGTCTACAAGCTGCTTGTGCTTCTGATTACGCCATAGCACAGGTAGGCAATAATACTTAGATATTTTATCAATCGACCAAAATGCCTTGTGTGATAATAATTTGACAAAATAGAGAAATAGATGAGTTTCTTGTGTTTTTTTTAATATATCCTTTAACAGTGATACAGGTCGGAGGAACCAACTTGCTAAATATTGGGACATTGAACCTAGGCTCTGTTAATGCTACAGGTTGTGCAAAGTAGGACTTGTTTTTGTTTAATTTCTTTCATCGCTCTCGGCATGTCATTGTCTATCTTCATTAGCCCAGTTCAGAGTTGTTTCTTTTCATTATGATTATATTTTATATGTGTTTGTTTTTTCCAGTTCCGATTTTTAAAGAAGTTAGTTTTAGTCCATGGTGCGTGGAGTTATAGTAGATTGTGTAAACTAATATTATACTCCTTTTATAAAAACATCTGTTTATATGTTATAGAGGTAGGTAGTACGTTAATTAGGGCAGGGTGAGGGGTAGGGCTAGAGGTAGGTAGTACGTTAATTAGGGCAGGGTGAGGGGTAGGGCTAGAGGTTGGTAGTGTGTTAATTAGGGCAGGGTGAGGGGTAGGGCTAGAGGTAGGTAGTATGTTAATTAGGGCAGGGTGAGGGGTAGGGCTAGAGGTAGGTAGTGTGTTAATTAGGGCAGGATAAGGGGGCAGGTTATAGAGGTAGGTAGTGTGTTAATTGGGGGTAAAGAGAGTGGCAGGTTATAGAGAGAGGGGTAGGGCTCGAGGATAAGGGGGCAGGTTATAGAGGTAGGTAGTGTGTTAATTGGGGGTAGAGAGTGGGGCAGGGCTTGAGGATAAGGGGGCAGGTTATAGAGAGAGGGGCAGGGCTCGAGAATAGGGGGGCAGGTTATAGAGAGAGGGGCAGGGTTCGAGGATATGGGGCAGGTTATAGAGAGAGGGACAGGGTCGAGGATAAAGGGCAGGTTATAGAGAGAGGGGCAGGGTTCGAGGATAGGGGGGCAGGTTATAGAGAGAAGGGCAGGGCTCGAGGATAAGGGGGCAATTTATAGAGAGAGGGCCAGGGTTCGAGGATAGGGGGAGGGGGGCAGGTTATAGAGAGAGGGGGGGGGCAGGTTATATATTTTTGGTTTCTCTGAACTAGCTTGGAAAGGCTGTTGAAATATTTAAGAGACTAATAATCTAACTAAGTAATTGTATGATATGATTTTAGTTCTGGTTTCAATTTGTTAATGGTTTTTCTGGTCAGATTCTGTTTGAACGTTGGAGTATAGGTCTTTATAATGTGGTAAGTATTGACCTTGCTTAAAAATATACTGGGGGAGCCACTGTGGCTTATTGAGTTAGATGCTTGCTCGCTAACCTGAAGGTCTAGAGTTCAATCACAGATTTTTCCACCCAGTTTCCTCTTGTCAGTGATGCAGGATGGAGCTACTTGACATGGTAAAATTAGGTGTTAGAAAGTAAAAGACTGGAAGTTTCATTGAAGCTTTTAAAAAATTTCATGTCTCCAGCAATTGTGTGTATTTATAAACAAGTTAAGAATTTAGATCTTGGAGTTATTTTGATATTCTGTAGATATTTTTGTGACAGTTGAGCAGAAGTTCCTGTCTTCTGACATAATTTGTATTTTGTATGTAATGACTATATTTTACTGAGATTAAAATATAATTGAAACTATTTGTAGATATTTACGATGGCCCCGCCATTAGCTATGGGATTATTTGATCGATATTGTAGTACAGAAACTATGATGAAAAACCCTATTTTATATAAAGACAGTCAGAAGGGAAAGTTCTTTAATGTTAAGGTAAGATTTGGTTTCTATATTTTTGATTTTTTCATTAAATTCTAGACAGTTCGTGGTGTCATACATAATATATAGATGGAACACAATACACAATACTTGTTGACTGTGTTGACTGAAATTAAAAACTGTACAATGTGAGTTATTTTCACTTCAAGGGAAGGTATCCATTGTGTCAGATCTACTTTATTCATAGGATTTTTCATTCTTTCTAGGTATTTTGGATGTGGATATTTAACTCTATCGTTCATTCTATTTTATTGTTCTGGATGACGTACGCTGCCCTGCAACACGGTAAGATGATCTTTTCCTCATCCTAAACTAGATCTGTTATAACTTGAAGATAATGGTTACTTATCGTTTGAGCATTTTCATGGCAACAGATATGGTAGCTATAGGTTGTTTATTCATTAACATTTTGAAGTAAAGAACATCCCAGCTTAAATTTCTTCATGATCTTAGTCTGTTAGATTTGCGTAAATGTAACTAAAACATTTTTGTTACAGATATATCGTTTTCTAGTGGTAAAATAGGAGATTATTTATTCATGGGGAATTTTGTGTACACGGTAAAATATATTTTATTATCTTTAATAACTCTACTCTATATCTATCAAATACTAATTGGTATTTAAAAACTATTTATATATGAGGCCTTGAATAAGTTTGATTTTCATAATATTTGACAAGAGGTTGTAGAGTTATTGCCCTTGACTTAGTCTAAATACTTACTCTAGGATCATCATTGTTTAGTTATGTAATATAAATATTAACTATTTTAGTATGTGGTTGTGACTGTATGTTTAAAGGCAGCATTAGAAACCAGCTCCTGGACTTGGGTAGGTATTCATATTCATTATCTGTAGGTGACTTCAATTAGAACTCTGGTTTGACTCACCAAACTCTATTATTTTCTGAAGTTGAGACTAGTATAACATAATATTTGATCCACTTTAAAACTCCGATCTGACCCTTGTATTTAGCAACAAGTAGTACAATTTAGTACAAGCATACAGGGTTCTGTCAATAAACATTGGATGGTGCAGTGAGTTGAAGTTACACCATCTTAGACCATCTACTATGTGACACTATGTTCAATAGTTATAATACCAGGTTTCCTCTTAATCAATTAAAGTCATTAAAATAAAATATTGTGTGTAGAGATTCTGTAACATGTTTTAAACAATATTTATATTTTCTATCTATAATATCAAATACAATATATAATATAACATGGATTCAGAAATTTAAACTAAATAACAAAATAAAATCCACACTTATTAGAAGTATATGTAGTATAGAATGGAGTAAAGTTTATAAGGTTGGAGAAAGAGGGGTGTTTATATGAGTAATATATGGAATAGCTGTGATAAAGTTTGTTACATTATTCCACATCTATCAAGTCATGTCATTTTGTATTATAAATATTATTTTCATGATTTCAGCTGACCCATCTAGCTATCTGGGGTAGTATTGGTTGTTGGTTTCTATTCCTGATAGTCTACAGTCACGTGTTCCCCATCATTAACTTGGCACCAGAAATGGTTGGAATGGTAAGTTCTTTTTCCTAGGGATTTTGATATTTGATGACAATATTTATTGGTTCACTACAGTTGGATATTACATTGTTTAGGCTGTTACTCTATCAAATTACTAGTATTGTATAATATATAATATGTGATATATTTCAGGATCGTTATGTGTTAGGATGTTCGTTATTTTGGTTAGGATTAATTATTATTCCCTCATCCTCATTATTACGAGATTTCACCTGGAAAGTGTAAGTTTCTTTTCTTGCTTCATTTTCTCTCAACCCATGAAGGGATGTTGATTCATTTAATTTGCTATTTAAGCTTAACTGGAGCTCCCAGATGCTTGGTAATGACTTCCATCTATTGGATGATATCTATTGATATGAAACTGTTTATTTACAAATATAATTAAAAATCATGGAGGGAAGCAGGGCATTGTTATTCCTTCAGAACACTTTTACCTCTCATGGACAGGGTTTTCAATTAGTCGTCCATTGTGTGTTGGGTGTTATAGAAGATACTCTCCTATAGAAGCACTGGCAAAGGTCACAAGAAGAGAACATACTTCTTTTACATCAATTATCAATTTGAGTAATAAACATAAAATTGAAATGGTACTATCAATGTTCTGTGCTGGGTGTAAAGAGAAATCACAACAATGTAAATTCTGAAAAGACTGAAATAATACAATAATTATAAATAATCCGTTGTGAAAAGTCTATCAGTATGTGTTGTATATTCCTTACTTCTAAAACAAGAGTTAGTGTTTTATCGTTGGAACTTTTTATCTTAAAGAATGAAGCGTCTGTTTTTCAAGACTCAGAGACAATACGTACAGGAAATGGAACTGGCCAATAAAGATGCCATAATACAGTCAGCTTCACCTAAAAAGAAAAGGTATGAAATGTTTAATATCTTATTGAAGTGTTGAAAAGAATTCAGAGAATACTGGTCCTCTTAATATTCTACTCTACACTTGTAAATAATTGGATGTAAAATATTTCAATATTTTGGGGGTAGGGCCTAATATTTATTGTGTAGAGAAAAGAAGGAAATCTTTAAATCGACAAGTTTAATGTACCCTATTTGTATAATATCATTTCATCTCATTAGACCTATGAAGGTTTAAACAGGAGAGTAAGAACTCCATTGTATTTTATTGTATTTAACGTCTCATTGTATAATAATTACAGGCCGATATCAGAGCGAGCCAGATTGTTAGGTTGTAGTATATTTTCCCGAGCAGGTGGTAGAATGGCACAAACAGCTGATCAATCTCGTAAGTTATTTTTATATTGATATCTCCGTCTCTGTGCTGAACTTGTTTTATCTTGCTTCATATTGTAGCTTATAGAGGGTTAATTTGGAGAAATTTGGAGAAATTTGGAGAAATGTTTAAAATGAAGATATTTGTTACTATCTTAGGTCAATTCCAAACATCAACAATATCAGTTTGGTTTTTTTTATATCATTTTTTTTTCATATTGCTATATTGATATTTAGCTAGGCTGAAAAAAGCTTCACTCAGAAAGATCAGCATCAGAAATTGTTGATGTATATTTTTTGAACATCAATTGATTAATATTTGCGGTAGATTTAAACAACGAAAAAAGATTGATTAAAGAGTTATCGTTACAAAATGTCAGAAAGGTTTAAACTATTTCAGCACTTTGACGAGAATGTAGTTTTAGATGAAAACAATTTCTACGGTTTTAATTTAACTATTTTGAAAATAACTTTTATATTTAATGGAGTCTGAATAACTCTTGTTCTCTCTTCTTTAATATTTCTTTAATTTCTATAAAATAGAGAAAATTCAGAATTCTTAAATTCTTAAAATTCATATTGTAGGTGCTCCTTCTTGTAGTGTAGTCAAAACTTAAAGCATATTTAGTCCTCGTTCCTTGTGATAGTTGTAGTGAGTTTGGTTCTTTAACTTTCACTTTCCAAATTTCACCACTGTTCATTTTTGAACTAACCAAACTAATTATCAGAATTTATTACTTATAGGATATTTTTATCTTCTTTCTTCAAACTCAGTTTTTTTACATAATTTTTTTTGTTTGTATAATTTTACTAAATCATTTAAGGACAGATCTGGTATTAATTAGTTTAGTTTGAAACTTGTGTCAACTTGGCATCTCTTTCAGAGAGTCCACACAACTAATAATGTTTATTAACTATGGTTTAACTTGGTATCCCTTTCAGAGAGTATCTACTACTATTTGCCATAAGGGTGTCTATTTTGCATCCATTTTAGAGAGTTTACATAGTTAATAATGTTGATATTAGAATGTTGATTGTATATATTTATAAATTAGGAAATATTGAGGAAACTATTTACGTGATATAAAACTTGGTGAGTTGTAAAAGTCACGGGTTTCCAGTCTCTAGTTTCTAGTTGTTGTTTTTCTTTCTTACAGGATAATCTTTATTTCAATTTTCCACCCAATTTTGGGCAGTTGTACCCTAACCCTGCTGAGGTCCAGGGTTTTCCCTGCATGGGTCGAGATAATACCTTTTGATTTTTCAACCTGGTTTCTCCCTGTTAGTGATGCAGGAAAAGTGACCTGGAAAAAGCGTCAGACGGGACAATAAACCGAGGACCCGTGTTCTACAGACTGTGTAGATAAAATATCCCTTGACAGCCGCAATTAAAAAAAAAAGCAGGCTAATGCCGCTGTCCTAACAAAATTTCCCTCATGGCACACTGCGTGGCATTGCTTGTCTTTATTAGCCCAATAAGTAGCTAATCGTATCAGAAAAGAAGGATGTAAAACTCGATTCATTTCATTTCATTTTGGGTGGAAAAATGATATAAAACACTTCTTTCAGATGTATTTCCAAAAGTTTGGTTTTTAGGTTCAGCAACACGCTTCCAAACTTCTACAAAACTGACTATTGTTTCAAATTTCTCTCTTTCTATTTTATTTCTAGATCCTCTTCGCTATAGTAAGTCTCCAACCAATCAAACATTGTTCACAATCGTTAGTTACTATAGTTACCAAGTTAGAATTTAGCCTCACTTCACTACTACACACATTAAATATTCATGGAATAAATTACTGTTGGAGTTTTACTCCTTGAAAATTACAAAAGTTTAATTCTGAAAAATGCTGAGAACATTTAAAGCATTTAGCACTAACAGCTGGAAAAGTTAAAATTTAGAGGGTTATGTACCTTCTGTAATGTTCGTCAAATTTTATTGGCTTCTAATAAGACAACATAATAAGATCCATATATGGTTCATACTTGTACTAAAACTCAATGAAAGAATTGAAATTCTGTTGCTAAGAGAACTATAGGTGGTCATCTAAATATTAGCTTTACAGGCTTACAAAGTCCCACCCATATCTCTGTTATAGAATGAAAATCAGAGTTATGGTTTGCCTACAATAAAATACCAGATTAAAACAGATTTTTATTTCCATCATGAAAACAATGTGTAGAAGTGAAGTAACATCTTATAATTTTATAGAAGATAAAATATATTTAAATCACAATTACATGGTTCAGTTCCTGTTTCTGACTTAGTGTTGATGTTCAGTGGATCTTTTGTTATTTGTTGATGTTGTTATTTTGTTATTTTGCTTTTGGGAAAGGCACCAAGTTATATTGTCCAGTCCTCCAAATGAACTTTCAATTCTCCCTGAATTAATGAATCAATAGGTTGCCCCCCTACCCCCCTACCCTCTATAAAAATTATATATGGATAAAGATGAATTAATGACCACATTTTTACTGTTCAACGTCTCTAAACTTTTATAAACTAATCAAAAGGTTTCTTCAAAATAAATTGCCCTTCAATTTTTCACACTAAATGGATTTTCTCTTTACTAGAGGTTTCAAACTTACCAGCACTTTATTACTTCTCTGATTGACCTTGTTAGGCATTGATCTCACAGAAATTTAACCCAAATATTTTGATTTTGTAGAATATTTGTCTCCTATGGTTTAGAGAGATATATATATTTGATTGAAGGTAAATTTAAATATGAAGTTTGTATCAGCTTCTCACCAATAAAATATCAACAATTCTTAACAATTCATGTCTTCCTTTAGGCACATTATATATCATAAACATTGTCAAATTATTCTTGGTTTTTCTATAATATCAATTAACAGAATAATTCTTGTTCATTAACTTTTAAAGAATTTAATTTCAAAATTCTTTCCTCTAACGTGTTTTGCTCTGATTTGAAAGTAATATATAGATATATAACTAGGAGAATATAGTGAGTAAATCGGCACAAAGTCCTAATTATACCAGTGTCCTCAATAATTCCTTAACTTTTCCTGTGCCTGAGGACGACGGGTGAAACACGTCGAAACGTTGCATAAAACTTTAACCAGTGATTGTTGTTCCATAAAACTGTGTCTATATATCATACACACAATTGCTAAATGTCATTTAAAGAATTTATTCCTTGCAACTTAAACTTACATCAAGGGCTTTTAAGATAAAATAACAAATTTAAATGTTATGCACTGTAATCCACTTGACTCAGAAATAAGAGAACATATCAGGATTACTATCTCTTCCTGTATTACTAGAAATCCTCCCCGGACAGCAAGGAATAAACCACTTTCTCAGAACACCCCCCAACCCTGTGCCCCTCTCCCCTCCTTTGTTCTATCACCTCTCCCCTGTGACACTTGATCCACGTGAGATGGTCCTTTCTCTTTATTTTACCTGAAGACCATTTGAATTATTGAAAATTAGGATATATTTCTGTTATATATTGTCAATTTGTGAATCAACCTATTTGCCAGCAGAATTATGGCCATAAGCTGATTTATTTTGAAAGTTCCTGCCCCTTCCCAGATGTTTTTGATTTTTATGCTTTTTGGAAGAAATGTGTCTATTTTTAATACTGATTTGGAATGAATTAATGTTTTTTTCTTCAGTTTTAAACCAACTCAAAGTCCAATTCTCAAAAAACTTGATTCGAGACAAAATTCAGTCTTCATCTCATTGATCAATCTTGAAAATTAATTTTGTATTAAGTTGTTTTAACCAATCAGATTACTGCATTTTGCTTGAAATTAGAATTGGATAAAACATTCCTGTCATCTGATTGGTTAATCCCTAATATTGATTTTTTTAACCAATCAGATTACAATATTTTTGAACTAAGAACTGGATTTGTACTCTCTGATTGATCTATTGGTTTAAGTTAAGTTTTATTAACCAATCAGATGACAGTATTTTATAAAAACTCTAAAATTGATCAAGTTTTTGAGAATCGGACATCGAAGTAAAATAAGATTCCTGTGATTGTTGCATGACATATATTTTATTTTCTGTTTTTAAATTATCTTAGCTCCTTCACCTACACCATCACGTAAGTTTTTTATTTCAAAGTTCCGTGAACTACACCTGGACTGGGCGATATTTCAAACTTTGTAAAAAATGAACTTATAAAACAAGAAAATTCGCAAAATTTCAAATTACAAGAGTTCTTCAAAACATCCATGAAACATCAATGCCAATTGTCAATGCCTGTCAGGACAACAGACAACACTAAAAATATTATTTTATAAAGAGACTGACCATTACTTGACTTGACTTGATAAAATACATTGAACAATCTGGCAGAAAATCTGGCCACTGGCCCAGAAAGTAAAACAATATTTTATTTTATAGTTTCAAATATCTATATTTCATCTTGTTTACAAACTCATCTCTCCCCAGTGATATTTTACTTTGATTTTATTTCCTGGCTGAGACATTGTTTTGAATATTCTATTTGATATATCGCCTAGCGTCAATTATTCATAAACCAGTTCACTTCTTGCATGGTGTTTGTTTGCTGTTGTGAATCTTTACCAGTTCTATACAGGGAAATTCTTGTTGGTCAATTTGTCATATTTAAGACAAGATTTTGATTAAGAGAATTGTCTTGTTTGTAAAGATTTTTATTTGAATTTTTGAATGAAGAACGGAAAAGAGAATAAATTACCTTTAATATATTTCAATGTTCCATGTTTGATTTTATTTTTTAAATTGAAATTTGTTTTTAGCTAGCTCCAGGCTCTAATTTCTCTTTGACCAAAAATAAAATTCTATTGAATTAGATTTTTTTTGTCTAGTACAACTAACAATTAGTATTGAAGATATCTACTAATTTTTACTAATTTGCTTGAACTAACTGAATTTTACAAGCTAGACTAGATTAAATATTAATACTAATAACATGATCAACAATACCCTTAGAGAGTGTTTTGATATTATATTATGAGGTTTACCTCCCTTTGACTGCAGACCTGACATCTAACCTAACTTTTTTTTCTTATATTGATTATGATTTAGTTCTGCCAGTGAAATAAAATAAAAAAATTTAAGGGAGATCATTTCCAAAACCTGAAATTATCTCCTTTTGACCACAAATTTTGATTAATCTTCCCAAAGCTCCTTGAATCTAAAGTCCAACCCTTTTAACTTTCCTAAAGCTTCAATATTTTATAATTCATTAGACTGATATTTAGACTCTGTCAAATCAAATTTCTAATAAGGTCTAATCATTGTTCATAAGTTGTCGATTTTCATCAACCCAGTGACAATCTTAAGATTTTAAGTTGTATTTTGAACCTGATATTGGATGAAATAATTAAATAGTGAGAACTAAAACTCCTTTTATTCAGTGGCTCAACTATCATAGGTACTGGTTGAACCAAGTACCCCTACCCCTACAGAATACAGGAGGGTATATGTTAAAAAACCACTTTAGTCCCGGGGCCTCCATTATCTAGTTGAGCCACTGTTTTAATTTTAAGATAAATATTTTAATGATTATATTTCACTTTATTATCAGTAATAGAGGGATCTCATTATGGTAGGAATTTAATAACCTTTAATTCTTAATACTGCTTGTCTTAACTATTACAAAAATAAATCGTCTTTCAGTATATCACTTAATATTTTCATCTGAATTTTTAATTTGATTGAAATACACTGTGGTGGTTTCTTGTCATTCTAGGTCACATCTATCTTCTCTCGGTACCTAAATATATCACATAGTAATACTCTATCTTTTATTCTATCTAAATACATAATCCATCAACTGACAACAATGTTATATTTAACTACTGTCAGATTCGAAGTTGAGAGTGAAAAAAAACAATGCCAATTTCTGAATTACATTAATTTGATGGTTTATAAACCTCCATTGGAAGGGAATTTCAAGGTTGACTAATTCTCATTCTTTCAACTAAAATTGGTGTCTGTCTCTAATGGGAAAATTATTATCATTGAATTTTTGAAATTTTGGTTGCAGTTTTCAATCTCCTTGATGATTGCTATTAGACTATTGGATTAATTGAAATGTTTGAAGAGGGAAATATTTATTAATATATTAATATATCAAGTGATCTGTTGGCTTTCATATCTTGGAATCTATTGATTTATTAAAATCTTTGTTTTATGGTTCAAGACACTAACGATGTAGGACATGCTCATTCTTCAGGAACATCTAGCTCCTCAACAATTTGGTTTGTCAATATGACGTCCCTATTGAAGAATCAAACAAAGATCTATTTTAAATACCTGCCAGGGCTTTGATTAGCAATATTGTAATTAAAACAAGATTTCAGATTTTTAAAAACTCCCCAAATTGAAAACACAAATACTAGGGATCTTTATATTTTATTTTATAAATCCTGAAAGGAAGACAATCATGTCTGATTTTTTTGTTTGATTTCTGAATAATGAAGAGAAGACCTGATTTAAAGATTTATTTAAAACTGACTGTGGGTAATTATTAGTAAAATATTCTAGATGAAACCTACCGGTAGTCTATTTAAGTTTTGTCAATCTGTGTCTAAAATTATATATTTTGATATTTTCAGATGGTTATGCTTTCTCTCAAGAAGAACATGGTGTTGTGGGTCAGGTATGGAATCTCAAACTTTACAAATTATTTTTAATTGTTTTAAGTCACTTTACTGGCTTTATCAAGCTCAGTTTGAATTTATAATGATGTTTGCTAGGAATTTAAAATAATCAATGGGGAATCTTCAAACTTTTGAAAGATACTTATGAATAATAGTAGGTGTTGAATTTCCAATTGAAAATCTTTAATAGTAAAATAGCAAAATACCAAGCCTCCATTTTCAGATTTTTTTGTTCCAATTTCATGAGTTATTTACCTGGCTTCTGTTAATTGAGGGAAATGTAATTTTTTTGAAGAAATATATGTAATTAAAATAAAATTTGTAATTTGTATTTTAGGCAAGATATATCCGTGCCTACGATACGACAAGAGAAAAACCTGAAGGCTTATAAACTCATCATCATACCTTGAACTCTCGAAGATAGACTCTTTTATTTTTGACTTTATTTCAATGGAACTGGAGTATTGATGCAGGAAGGTAGAGGGGACTGTATGGGGTATCTTACAAGTGAAACTGGCAAGGGGAATGTAATTGCAGAACCAGTTGGGTAGGTGGCACAGTGAATGGGAATGTTACACGGGAACCAACGGGGGGAACAAGCAAGGGGAAAGTGCCTTGGGAAATGTGATGGGGGAACTGGCAAGGGAAGTGAGATGAAGGAACTGGCAGGGGAATGTGATGGGGATGCGTCAGAGGGAACTGATGGATGGAACTGCAAAGGAAAGAGATAGAAATCCAGATGGAGAGGCTCACATTTCTAAGAAGTATGTGTCACATGGTTTAAAAGAGGCATGTGTCATATTAGTTTAAAGAGGCACGTGTCATATAAATAGTAATGATGTGTTCTATGTATCTCATGTGTCTCATTTACAGTTAAGAGTATATGTGCCATTTTTATCAGAGGCTTTTTTCTCAATAACTTATCCAAGATCAAATTCAGATTTACATTAAGCTGATTGGATAATAAAACTAAATTAAAAAATAAATTTTAGTAATTGAGCAATCAATAAGTTTTCAAGAAAGAAGCCCCTGAAATATGTGTCTTGTAGGCAAGACAGCGAGACATACCGTATATATCTGAATATAATGTATAATACGCACCCCTTCTTACCCTCTAGTTAACTCTAGTATATCTGGGTAAACCTTTGTCATATTTATAACTCTGTTGTATGTATCTGTTAGTATACCCACTACCCAGTCATATTTCATTCATTACTCTAAGGCATACGCTGCACAAATTGAGGGTTTCAATATTATGTGTCTCATCATGAGAATATCCCTGAATTGTCAAGATAAGGTCCAGAACCCTGTGGTATAAAATATCTTATGATAAGAATTTGTGTAACATTTTATATTGAGAAATACCACAAAATTGATTGTCTGATTTTTTGCGGAACGAGGCCCTGGCTCTAACTTTTAAACAAGGTCCGGATCAATGGGACAGAGTTACATGAATGTAACTTAAAGGGACAGGTTCGCCATTCTTTTTGTCAGAAACGGTTATTTTTTAGCCAAACCAATCATTTATAGTGTTCACAGCTCAGTGTCGAAATTTAAGCCTTCAAATCTATGTGTATATAAATTATCCGCGATTGAATGTTAAAATGACAACTCATCAATTTAAAATACTCTGTGATATAGAGAAAAGACATTTATAGAAATATTGAGTAAAAGTCCTAGTTTGAAGTATTTTTAAAGGAATTATGCGATTTGCTAACATTTCTAGTACTTTTGAAGATTATTTTAATATTTTCAAGACTCAAATCAACCCCCCAAAATGGCGCATCTGTCCCTTTTAGCTCTATAAATTAATACTTGTCAGTTTTCTCTTTGTTATCATTACATATTTGATATTTACAAGGCACTGTGTGAGAAAGAATTTAATTCAACACGATATTAAGAAATAAGAATTATTGTTGTTGATTATATGAGTTGATGTAATGGTGAAATTAAGACATGAAAAGATCAGTTAATAATTATAGTATAGAGACTGCTTCTTATCATCTTTATTATACATCTAAACTTTTAACAACAAATCCTTGAATAGCAAAATAGTTGCAATTTGTTTGTTTTTGTCAGGGACCAAATTATTGTGATTGTTTTTTTAGTTTTTTGGGAAATCATTTAATTTTACGTCATAATAATCTGAAAAAGAGCTCCCTGATTTTTAGTTTGTATCTTTATTGTTATGTAAATGTTATAAATGTACACCAATCAATCAGGCTTGTTATTTTAATTATTTTTGTCTCAATTTGAATTGTATCTATCATCATTATGCCAAAAGTTGAGGGTAATTTCAGGTAACGGTTGGGGCAACACAAGGCAATATTATTTTTAATGAATAAATTTTGTTTTCATTATTATCACAATTATTGAGAATGGTGTCTTAAATTTTGTTGTTGTTGATATTTAGCCAACCTTCAGATCATAAAACTCATTCTTCATTCATTCATTTCCTGAACTTTCTTTTTCCTTGTATTGTCTTACTGTAAACCACATTTTTCAAAAATTGTATTACTTGCTTGTATAAACAATTCCATTGTAAGAATATTAAGAGCAAGGCACGGCTTGCTTACCATTCCAACATAGGATCAGGTGGTTTTAGAGATTATATTAGGAATATAATAGGTATGGCATGCTTTCCTTTTCAACATTGGTAAAGTTATAGTTGATTTTGATTTGTATCATATGGCTTGCTTACCCTCTCAACCTAAGCTGAGTTTACACTGTTTAAAATTAGCTTGCTTTGAGTGAACCATACTCTGTGTGGATAAATAGTGTAAACCCGGCATAAAGGAAGAGTTGTAGTTGTTTTTGTTTTTTTATTTGTAAATATTCTAACTACAGTAGTTCAACATTCCAATATTTTTAGATTTGTTTTTGTTGTAATTAATTTATTATCCCATTCTAGTATTATTATATTATCCCTGGCTCAAGTTTTCATCTTGTTCAAAAAAACAATCTCAAATGAGCGTCTATATTTTTTGTTTCATGTTTTTTCTGTGTGCGATTCCATTTGTCATCCATGATCTAACGAACTTGTTACCCTACAATCATTGAAATATTCAACCAATCAATAGCTCTCTCTGAAAATTCAACATGGAATTCTGGGATACTTGTTGACGTATGCTGTCAGTCAAATGATTGGTTCTTGAATGAACACAATTTTAAGAAGAATTGTGTCAGATCGTTAATGGCTAGAGGAGCAATCCTCAAAGACATACACACACATGTAGATCTGCATTTTAGTCAGATTGTAAAACTTACCTTAACATTAGTATGTATCAAAAAATAAGACGAAAAGTGTTTGATTGAATAATCTAACAGAAGAATTGTATAAGATAGCATCTTCACAATGTCAAACTAGTCTTATACCTTGACTGCATTCTTGTATCACAAAATCTTACGATGTAATTGAATTGTAAACTAACGAATATAGACAGGCTCTGATTGGCTGTTCTGTTTTCGCTAGCAAACAATCCAATCAAATTGATGTATTTACAACCTTCTGTGATACAAGAAAGGTGACTATTACAGTCAAGGTATACAACATAGTTTATAATAGCTTGACATTGTGAAGACGGCCATATTAAGTCAGTTCCATGCAAGTGAAGTAACCCGCAGAAAAAACAAGAAACAAAGTAAACTTGATCTGTTGTCATAGAAATATTCAGAAGTGCCGTATGATTATTCAGTGCTATAAGATGTGTGTTTTCAATAAATAAATTATCTTGCGATAGTTTAGTAAAGATTTTATGTATATCAGTGGTACGATTCAAAACAAGAACCTGAGTAGAGTTGAGTAAAGTTACGTAGGCTCATCAGGGTCACATTCATCGAGTTTGTCAGCATAAATATCTCGGCTTCACCAAAAGTAAACTGGACTGATTGTATTTAAGTTTTGAATCTTACTCTAGATGTGTACAAATACCTTCGTTAGATTATATTAACATTTGTATTTTCCAAGGAATATTTTTGCATCTAAGATTATGTTTGTATATATCATTTAATTTATGTCCACGCTTGGTTGCAATATCGTCTTTTTTAATATTTCAATGTTTGATTTTTTCACGTTTCTCTGTTTTTGTCTTTTTTTAAAATTTGAATGTTACAATGTACAATCTTCATATGAAATTAAAATGTTAAATTATTACAACTGCCTTTTTGTACGCCCACACATAAGACGAGCGTATAATGTAATCACCCTGTCGGTCTGTCCGTTCACATTTGGTTCGTGCTCACTCTTCAGGCTACAATTCTTTACAGATTATTTTGATTTTGTGTGTCAATGTCCTTATGAAGATGATCCCTATCGATTTTCATGATCGGATAATTTTTCACCGAAATATCGTGTCTGACTGGACGTTTTACTGTATTAGCTATATTTAAAAACTTGGTGGAATTTCTCAGCATAAATAACTGGAAGTAAATATATATATCATTGAATTCAAACTATTAAAATTTCTTTGACATGAGACAAATCATACTTTAGTCACTGAATACTGTTTTATTATTTCTGACAGCTTCCAGTGGGCGTATGTTACCTTGCCTGGCAAGCTATCTTTTTTTTTTATATAAGTTAGATGTAAAACTCTATTTCAGTGTATCTGATATTACAATTTGGAATAGGGAAACGTCACTGACAATCTACAACAAGCTACATTATTAAACTTGAAACCAGTTTCACAAAGTTCTTGCTTAAGATAATTTGATTGTTTGTCATCTGAGTTGTTATAGTACTAACAGATTTACAGCAACTACAGAGTGAAGTGGAATAGTTGCTGTAAATCTGTTAGTATATAACAACTTATCTGATTGGTCACTCGTTTAAATGGATTTAGGTTACTGAATTGTATCTTGTTATAATTTGTGAAGCAGGTTTGTTCCAACAATCAGTGATGCAAGTTGAAGGGTCTGGTAGGAAAAGAAATGAAATAAGCAGAAAGCTCTTACTGTCTTGGTAAATCAATTATTTAAATTATACTGGACATTCATAAATATCATCGCTGCATTATCACAATTTAATTATATCAAACCAATATACCCAACCCACTTTCTCTCCAAGTAACCAGGCCCCGTATTCTCGAAACGATCTTAGCGCTAGCATGACTTGGAATCAATGTTAGAAGAACTTACGACATCCTAGTGCTAAGATGATTTCCAGAATACAGGGCCAGTGTCCAGGCATAGGACAAAAATATTCTTCCAAAAGAAGAAAGATGAAAGTCAAAAGAGAAAACATCTGAATTGATCTTTTTAAGACCTTTAATGTTTCTAAGACATACAAAAAATACATGAACTACATTTATACATAAACCTAACATAACATCAGTATAGTCTAGTTCCATCTTGATGTAAAATACCTCCAACTACCCAATAACAATATCCAAATATCCATCAGCATACTTGTAGTTATAACAGTTTCAGAGATTGTCGTCTGAATTTAGTTAATCAGAGCACATGAACTGATAAATTATAGGCGCTGTCGATTGCTGTTATACTCTCCAGCAATCAATCTTGAGAGTGACACATTATGTGAATTGCCATTAGAATAGAGGCCTTGTTATTGAATATTAACAATATTGTACAACAAGACAGAACTAAATATTCTTATTCTACTAAATGTATATCTTATGTAGCACTTTCAATTATATTTTAGAATTTTTTTTTTCATTTTTATGCATATTAGGTATTCTTTAATGCTTCAAAAGCATTTTTTCTTTGCCCTTTTTAGACAAAATCTGTAAAATATTTGCCCTGTTTGACAATAACCTTCATTTTGACAAAATTTGTCACCAGTTTAAAAACAACCATTGTTTTAAAATAAAATAAAAATTGTTAAAATTTAAACCCAACATTTAAAAATAACCTTCGACTTAAACAAAATTAGGCAAATAAAATCAGCACAAAATGCAGTGATATAAATTCATTATTTATTGTGTGAGCATTAAAATGCTTTCCACAATTTTTTTTCTCAAAATTTCAAACTTTCAATCTTTTAGCTTATTAGCACTAACTTTAATATCAGATTATTCTAAAAATTAATCTGAAATTCAGTTTATTTACATATCTACAGAAAAACGTTAAAATTCTAAATTTCAGAATTAATTGAATGCATGAATTACATTGTTCAAACACAATTGAGATACAACCAAATCTGCCAAAACGTCAAATAAAAAATTACAATTAAGCTAAATGAATGTGATATTTTGGCAGTTTTGGTTGAAGTAAAAATTTGATAAAGATTAAATCTCAGATGGAAGTTTCGTAAACAATATTCAAAAAAAAAGTTGAACTTGGCTGTGAACACAACAAATGATGTGGATTAAAACTAAAATAGTATTCATTAACATTTTCCTCCAATCATAATAGAGTTAACAATATTAACAACCAATCAAAAACAAGATTACAAATAATTAGAATTCAACCAATAATTTGCTTTGAAATATTGTCCAATAAGACTGCTTGATTTTGAATTTCAACCAATCATTTGCTTAATAATATCGTCCAATGGGAGTGCTTGATTTCAAGAGCGAGAATATAACGGATTATGAACTATTCACAAAATGTCAACGAAAACAAGAAACAAAGAAAAACAGAATGAATGAATGATGGTTAAGCCAATGAGATTATAGATTTTGATCACATGATTAAATGAAGTGGTCGTTAATTTATTCATCATCGTCCTCGTCATCATCATCATCATCATCGTCATCTTCATCTTCCTCCTGTGCTGCGGGCTCTACAGGTTTCTCTGCCGGTCGGCTTTTCTTGGCCATTGATCCACCAGATTTGTAGGCAGCCATTTCCTAGAAAAGGGAGACAACTTTAATGACAGAACCTTTAAGCAATTGTATAGAATATATTGAAATAATATTTGAGAAAAGAAAAAAAAACCTTTGATTTCTTTGAAGACAAAATTTGTTATCTGATTAAAAAGCTTATAAAATGTTTTACTGTCTTGATGTAAACATCCCTTGCCATTATGCACTCTACTTTAAAACAAACAAGCGTTTAATCTACTAAAAAGGCTTTCTCAACAGTCTTGTTTTTTAAGATGGTATTTCAATTTCAGTGGCTTAACTTGGAGTAAAACTTTTACATCTAAAGAAAGATAATTTATACATACCTTTTGATATCTAACTTTGTCTTTTTCTGTCATTTCTTCAAATCGTTTTTTCTCACCACAATGTTCCCATCTTTTACCGAGTTCCTTAGCAACCTCACCAATAGTATAGTTAGGGTAAATAGCCTTCACTTTAGGTCTCTCCTCATTACAGAAGAAAAAGAAAGCAGATCTGAAAAAAATCCATGAAATTCAATAGACAATAACTCATCTTAAGTTGCTGACACATGTTTAAGATACAGAACCCTCATCAGGACCATGTTTTGAATATGGGGTTTAACTTTCACAAACATGATTTAAGCATATGAGCAAGGTTAGAGAACTTGTCAGGATTTATATAATCAAATTCCATATATCTGTTGATTGAAAATTGCTGTTTGAAAAGCCTAAATGTGTCCTGATAACCTCTAAAAAAAAGAGTCAAAGTCTTAGGATTAGAATTTGTTAGATTTTCAGGGGGCTATGGTCTCAATACACAATTAATTGCCTTGAGGGTAATCCAACCCAATGCTACACTATTATCAAAGCTAAACAAATATGCTATGAAAATATTAATCAAAATGCTACACTTACAAAGCTCTCTTGGGTGCTTTTGGATCCTTCTTATTCCTTTTCCTGCTTCCAGGAACTCCGCCAGCTGGGGCATAGTTGGCCATCTCTTTCTCATACCTAGATTTATCTTTTAATGCCAAATCTTCGAACCTCTCCTTTTCTTTAGCGGTCATGTCCTGGAAAATTTGTAAAATATTGAGATCAGGCATCAGATAAGTGGATAAACAGAATAAGTAGAAAATTTAGTCATAGATTATGTATTTGGAAAGAACAATGTTTGTTTAATTTTGTAGAATTGCTAAATGAATTCCATGATAGGGATTCAGAAGCACTGGCCTTGGCTGAATACTTTTGTACCTGAGAATTAAACCCATGGAATTGTACCTGTGCAAAACAGCAAAGGGTGGTGTCCCTCCCCAACAAAAAATAAAATTTTGCTCAAAACTCACCTTCCATTTAGCGGCACATTTCTTGGTAAATTCAACAAAGACGACAGCCTCACCGGGGTGTTTTTTCTTGTGTTCATCTCGGCAAGTCTGGACGAAGTAAGCGTATGAAGACATACGTCCTCGGGGTTTAGAGGGATCGCTTTTTTTAGGCATGGTGATTTTTTTATCTAGATAGATATCAAACAGATCTGAAAAAAGTAAAAAAAAATCAGAATAAGAAAAAAGATTGCTGACTTTCGTGGTCAAACAAGTTCATGCCAATTTTTGTTAAGATCAAATCGACCATCTCTGGATTATAAACCAAAATCAAGCTTAATTTTCATGGTTCCTGCTTGATTTAGTTTAAATTTTACATCTTCAATGCATGTTTAAATCAAATTGGCTAATTTATCTTCAAGCCAGGCATGGGTTTATCTTATGTCAAATACCTCAATATGATTGGCTCATACTATATTTAGCCTAAACTGATTGGTCAATGGGTCTGAATCAGTAAATTTGGGCCTTCATAGCAAAATTTTGCTTTTAGGAAAGTCTGATGTCTAACTGCCTTAGGCTAATTGGTCAAGTCTAGAAAAGAACCACATAAAGTTCTAAGTATGAATGATTGGCCAAAATCTTGAATGCCTTAATATTAGGGATAATGGATAATGGTTTTTGCCTAATTTAGCCTAGTAGGCTTAAATATCTTTTGTTGCCCTGAAAGGCTAAGCCTGTGGTTAATTTGAACTTAACTTTTTTTCTTAATTTTCAAAATTTGATGGGCATTAAAAAAAAAATTTAATTTAGAAATTAAAAAAGAATTTTAAATATGTCCAATAATATTTTCATAATTTTAATCAAATTCCATAATCAAAAAATAATAAACATCAAATGTCCCCAAAAAAATTATTAATTCATACCCCATGCCAGGGCCAATTAAATTTGAAAAAAAATTTTCAAAAAATTTAGGCCTACAAAATTCAAATTTGTACCCTCAAGAATATCAAAGAAATGGTGCAAATCTTCAACGCCCGTCTGAAACCGCCATTATCACATAAAAGTCGGTCAGACATTTTTAATCAAACAAAGAAATCAAAAATTCAATCCATATTTCGTGGAAATTAATGGCCATTCGCCCAATCTAATGTTTTGCTAGTTTGTAGTAAGGCAAGGTATGTGTAATGTAGTGGGTATTGAAGCCCTTTACTATAGGCAATACCAACCATAAACCATTGAAATACATCACAACACATAGAAATAGACATGGCGGCCGTTCGTCGACAAACAACAACCCCAAAAATCACCTTCACAATGTCAAATTCCATTCCTATGAATGAAATACCCTTTAAAAATCACCCTCCCAAATTTCTATGGTACCAAATTTATTTGCGGAAATTGTAGGTTAATGTTTTGGGAAGGTTTTGCAAGCCCCTATCCAACACTATGGTATATGGAGTCTCTATGAAGCAAATATACAGTGAGACAAGGCTGGGTTATATGGCCGCTACTAAACCAATGTACAGGGATGACAAAGGAGGCTGGCCCGTCAAATCCACGTAACATTTCTTCCCGCGGTTGAATTTTAGTCAAATTGCAAGGAGAGCTAGCTTAGATCTCGTGGAATGTTATTTGATAACATTTCTGAAGGTCCGTCGCTTATTTTTCATGAAAAAGTAACAATCGTAATTTTTATTTTTGCTATCTTCCATAATGGCTTCGCAGACATGGCGCTCATTACATTATATAGGGCACGGACGGACAGTGTAAAATTGTGAAAATAAAGCGATCGCAGCGGTAACAAGTTGAAAAAACCATTGCAAACGATAGATAATAACGTTTACTTTTGCAGAAAATTATTTTTCTTTGAAAAAAATGAGCAAAAAAAGTTACTTACGGAAGAAAATTGTTGATAATGGTAAGGTATAGGGAGCTAACGCTATATGATTAGAACCCACGCTATACGTCTGCTAACACTACAGCTCCAGACTTCTTTCACGCTCTCTCATTGGTCAAATTTCACATTAGCCGCACATTTCAGCCAATCAAATCTCATATTATACACTACGTCATTGCATATCTAATGAGGTAGACCCAAGGCTTTGTGTTGATCACATGACCCAATTTAACCAACCAACACCTTCTATTCTGATTGCCACTTGAACCATTTGATTAACAAAATGGATTAGGTAACTTCTGTTGTTTCATGTCATAAGTTTTTATGACTTTTTACGATCCCTGGAACCAATTCTAGCCGGGATGTCAACGAGGAAATCGGGGGATGGCAGCGTCGTTTAAAAACGGGCACCTGCTTCTTTGTCAAGACGATGGGCGGGGTTTTAAATTTCACTACGTCATTGCGACCTCTGACCTCTCAACTATGACCCTTCACCTTTCACATGTTAAAAATATCCGCCATACTTTTGCCCGATAGATGAAATTCTTCCGTTGGCTTCTTTATTTTATGATAACTTGGTGTACACCTTATTAGAAATTTTCTAAAAGAGATACTCGAAATCTGAAAACACAAATGAATCTGAGGTTGGTAATTTCAATTCTTTTGAATTCTGTAAAAATCGAAGGACGGTTCAGAAAACACGAGTTGGCGTCGTGAAATCGTTTGTTGATATTTGCGTGAAAAGCTGACAGGAGCTTGCAGTTGTAAATCGTAAATTTTTACCACAAATCCATCCCGGATCACTCCATTTTTCGGAAATTTCTGTACCACCTATGTCCGGGGATCAAATTCCGTCCAAGGACACACAATCGCTGAACTTCTGGAGCCAGTTTCACCTTGGAAACACGAGACAGAAATCGTGTTTTGCTCTACTTAAAATGGCTGATTTTGCAATGTCTCTGACTGCTATGACCCATTTTAACTCTGCTGTTGTTACAAACTCAAAAATTTACCCAATCTTTCAGCCTACAAGTGCTTTATGATTTCACGGGCCAAGTAAAGACACTTAAGAGTTTTAAAAACAGAATTGTACAGGCCTTTATTTTCATTTCCATTGTTGTCTTCCTATTTTATAAAGTTAAAGAAATGCAGAGAGTTCACAAACCGTAAAAGCCTGGATGCTAACTTTCTGAAATGGATGCCAATTTGACAAACCTTAATATGAAATAATAAGCACAAAGAGATTGAGAATTGACAAACCCACACAAACATTTACATCTTCAAAGAGAGGTTCCTCTTTACAATGCTTATACACATAAAAAGTTCTAATTGTATATTTGAAAATTAACTCCCCTTTCTGAAATTAGCCGTTCTGTCCCTGATGAGTTTAAAATAAACTTTAGATAATGAGATCATTAGAAATTTACTGATTTTAGAATTGGATACAGGCTATGGTAGCTTGTTTCTGTATTTTGTATCCATGGAAACTGGAGCCCTTGTTTTCTGGTTTCTGTCCGGTTTTATTTTTATTTTTTCAGTTGTTTCCGTTTTATTATCTAAGAGAAATTTTGTTTAATAAAATCTTGACATTTCAATAAACTATTTTCTGTTTTCAGTACCAATGGTTTTAGTACGGAAGATGACAGTCGGGGTGGACACGACCAGGTCTGTTGTTTGATAGATAACAGTGAGAGATGTACACGACAGGCTGGTAACGCAAGTTATAGTAAACGTATACAGAAAACAGTTCTACAGAGAAAACTCAAACTTATTCGAGACGATAGTGTAGGTCTTATATTATTACTATTTAATCAGATTTATTTAGCAAATTCCGAGATTACTGTTCTATCGGTAAGTGATGCAGGTCATGAAGACTGACATGACATACATATGGTATCTAGTAATTCAGATGGGACAATAAACATAGGTTCTGTGTGACTATAGACTGCATGTTAAGATTCCTTGACAACCTCTGCCTGAGGAAAAAATTGTCCACTGCATGGCATTGACCATGATCATTAGGCTAATCAGCAAAAATAAATCATTATTTTGTTAAATGTCATCAGCCCATACTGAACAGAAGAGTATGGAGTATGGTAGGGCTGTGTGACATACCAGTATCACTATATATACCAGTATAGGAATTTATATTGTTAGTAATATTACCTAATTAAAAAATATCGAATTATAGCAATATCATGGTATGTCTTCAAATTTTTGCATAGATAAGATCATCAATATAATTTTAACTAGTTATGCAATATTTGAACCAGATGTTTTATTCATTAAATTTATGTCTGAATTGATTTTTTAGAGATATTTAGAGATTTTTTGTTACATTTAAAAATATGTTGTTTCAAACACCAATAAAAACCATACCCAGTAAATATTTTGATATAAACCCATATTGTGATATATTAATGCTATATATCATGATATCCACTTGAACCAATATCACCCAGCCCTAGAGATGGCATTATCTTAATTACAAGCAGAAAGTAGGGTGTAAAACTCCATATCTTGTTATTTTCAGGCTACCCATATCTATATTTGTGATGTCCATAAGAATATGATACAGAGTGTACGAAGTAAGAGAAAGAGGAAGGATAGCGAAGATGATCGAGGATCTCCGGAGGTTGATGAGGATGTACCAGATGTAAGTCTGCCTATTATCATACGAGTGCTGGCATGATATATTGGAGAATCAAAACATGTCATGTTACCATTAGTCCAAAACATCTTCTTCTGTTCCAGCCTCTGATAGATATTTTGACAGTCGTCGCTTTTCACCTAGAGTAGAGTCAGAAGAAAAAGACCCTGTTAAATGGGGATTTTCCACACCTCCGAAGATGCGTTTTTTCTAACGTAATATTAAATTACCTTGACAGTAATTGTAAATTAGTGTTGGGCATCACCGTAACTTTCGTTTTGACTGTGACTAATATCAGGTATTATAAGGAATAGTCTTCTATAGAATCAGATATCAACTAAACATTTCCATTTACTGCTATTTCAGATTGATTTTTTCCAAATGCCAGTCAACACTTTACGAAGATACAAACGACACTACAAAATTCCCACTAGGCAAGGGTTGAATAAGGCACAACTAGCTGATGTAAGTGACTTATATTTCACTTTTGGGTTTCAGGAGGGGGGGGGGGGGGTTGGAAAACCCAAGGTGTGGTTAGGTGTAGATTCTCGGGAGGGAGTGCATGGGAAAGTTGTGAATGCTTACTGATATCAGTTACGGGAGAAGGGTAGGGGGGTATATTAGTGGTCAAGTCATTTGATTACTGGATTTATTTGATATTCTGCTCGCTTGACCGTGACCAATCAGTTTGTTGTAATTTCTAAAAATTGTGATTTTTTTTTGTTATTTAAAATCAGGGAGCTGATGGGACTGCAGCTCTATTTTTTTTTGTGACACTCAATCCCTTTTTGATGATGTAGTTTTAAAATTATTTCTACATCCTTTGTTGCTGTGTATTTGATGGGTCTCAATATGCTCCTCAAAACAAATCTGGTGTTCCAATATTAATTAATTTCACAGTATATTAAACTTTATTAATTATATATAGTTTTTAACAACCTCCGAAAATGGCATACATATCCCTTTTACATTCCAATTTTTAACAGAGTATTTTTTATCTTTCAGGCTGTTGCAAAACATTTCAAAAACATCCCAGTGGTTGAGAAAGAGGCTTTAACCTTTTTTATTTACATGGCTAAAAACTATAAAAGTCGTTTTGATCAGAAGTATATGGACACAGTGCCCTGTTAGCACGAGCATCACCTTGTCTCTGTATATATAAAACATGTACTGTCATTCATTATACATTCTGTGGTACCTAGCTTGCCATATTTATTACACGCCCTACTGTTTGAGCAGAAATAATGACTGTGAGTGATAGTGATATCATTATTGGGACAGAATCGTGTTAAAGTTTACATTAGGACCCAGATAATTAGAAATAGAAATAAAGTATTTCTCTCGCCCATAAAAGGCCAAAAAAGTTAAAAAATTGTGTGTGGAAATATGCATTTTTCATTGAATAAATATAATATTGAAAGAATACTCTGACAAATTGCATAGAATGAGGATTTTAACCCTTTACTTTCAAAACCCATCCCCCTCTTCCTCTTTGTAATGTATTTGGAAAACTTTAACCCCGAAATTCTACGGCTGATACTGACTGATATGGAATGAAACTTTGACTAGGTATCACAGAATGTTCATTGTGTAGAATTTATTTAACTTGTATATAAGAAAATAAAAAGATTTTAGAAAGAAAATGGTTGGATTAATTTGATTAAATTTCTCCGCCATTTCCTCACAAACGTGAATGTCTGTAGTGAGGCAGGGGCATGCTCGCCCTTCTTAAACCTTCAATACCATTGGCTTTATTAACTATCAAACACTATGTATTGTCCAACTTCATGAGCCAAAACAGAAGCAGTATAAAACCTGTAGATGCAGAATGTCCCCATTTAACAGGGCCTATTCCTATAAGTAGGAAGTGAACTCCAATTTTTTCACTGAAATAACTTGGTATCTTAACCTGATTATTCTCAACAACAATGTTCCTAGCTTTGTGGACAGCAGTGGTAATATATCTAGGTAAATATCTTAATGTTGGAACTGATAGAGGCATCGGTTTAAAAAAAAAAATGTTATAATATTTTCATTCAAATTTTGTTTTCAATATTTCTTTGAAAAATAGGACCTTAAAGATGAGAAAGAATTAAAACATTTTCTTCTGATTAATTTTATTTTTCTTCTGTACAATTTTTTTTTCATGATTTAATCCTCACTTCCCTTCCAGAATAAGATTCTCACTGAATTCAAAATGTTTATAACTTTGATTTTAAAACTGTCTATAGATACACCAAATCTTGTTTTAGTTCAATTCAAGTTAAATATGTAAGATGTTGATTTTTTCATGAATTGCCATCTGGGTTCGAACAAAGTTAGCTAAATAAACCACCATTAACAGATCCTGAAAAATAAAATAAAAGCATTCATTCATTCAGTGAGTTTTGCTTTGGTTTACAAGTCCCACGATTAGATATATAGCCACTATTTCAAACCAGCTGTCCTGTCCGGCAAAATAAAATGAGTTCCTGATCTGTCATCATATAAAAGCTAGGGTATTATAATATAACTGTTGAAATCAAATGGAGTTCGAGAAAATCTTGATAAATATGTGATTCTCAACATCCACTGACAGTGACAATAGCTCCGTGAAATGGGTTCAAATCATGCCAGTGCTTCTGAGATATCTATCTACTTTCACTACTTTTCAAAATCATAGCTGTAGATCTCATTTAGAGGTGACTAGCAAGATACCTTCATAAGTTAGTTTTAAGACTAAAATTAAGATTATACCGTACCTTCATATTAGAATTCAACATGGTATCAAACTCTTCTATATCTATCTGTGGCACCTCGTTAACTAGATTCATTAGAAATCTTCCTATAGTATTATCAGTTTTAGCTTTACCAGCCTATAAACAAATCATTTATATTTAATACATTCTGTAATCTAAATAAAACAAATGATCAAAACTTATTGAAATTAACTCTAATGAAATGAAGTTTTACGTCCTACTCTTCTGCACATTAATCTAAACAAAATACTAAACTACAATATGTAATTTGATATTTATGTTATTTTGGGTGATGACGTAGCTAGGCACCTTTAAAGGTTGACGTTGTGAAGATACACTGGTAAAAATGAAATGAATGGAATTTTACGTCCTAATTTTATGCACCAAGCACTGGTGTACTTTATATTTCAGAATATAATGGCCAATTTTTTACTCCAAAATGGGCCCCTTACAGAAGGGGTGCACACTATATACAGTGAAATAAATTCAGATTTTTTTTACTTCAAAAATACCATGAATCGATGTTGAGGATCTGCCATTTTGTCTTCCTTCATTGCCATGTTGTTATGTTTATAAGACTGTTTCAGGAGTATTATTTTGGAGTATTCATGAAGAGAAGGAGGTTTTTTTGAAAAATCCGAGAGTTTTTAACCTTACCAAGACATCATCAACATAATTAATAACAGTAGATAACATCTCTTGTAATCTATGACAGGCAGTTTCAACGTGAGCTAAATCAGATTCCATAGATACTGTTCTCTTAGTGTTTACTTTCCCTTCTTGTAAATGATTCACTGGAAAACAAGACATTGAAATTTTAAAAATTGCGAAATTTATGATCCACTTTTTTTTAAAGCAGAATAAGTAATAAAAATTATACAGACTAATCTTAAATAACAACCCAGTCAAATCCCTATATTAACAAACTGCTGTGATACATGAGAGGTTGGTATTGCAGTCAAGGTATAACATGTAGTTTGTAATAGCTTGGCATTAGGAGATGCGATACAATAATAGTGGCTATTGCAGTCAAAGGTATTAGATGTAGTTCTTAATAGTTTGACATTGTGAAAGTTTTAGAAAGTACAATGTAACTCACCTCCAACTTTTTCTGGTTCGTAACTGATATATTCTACAGGAACTGGTGTAAACATGGTACCAGTTGTTTTAGTAGGAACTCCTATAGGTGTGCTGGAAAATATAAACATAATTAACAATTAAACTAGATCTTCTTCTTCTTGTGAATTATGACACAGCAAAGGAAGTGAGGGTTGTTATAAAATCAATGATATAGCAAGTTTTCTGTTCAGGATTAGCCATGCACAGCCTTTTTTATGTAATTTGTTGACTTAAAAAGTTGAAGGTCATGGATCCAGGGTAGTTCTAATAATAATTAGGACCACTATACATTAATTCAGCCCATAGAGACAAACATAGACTCTTTATTTTACATGGGTCAGAATTAGATCCAATACATCAAGGTGACATATCCTGTCTTATTATTCAGCCCATGGGATTTTACATGGGTCAAAATAAGGTCCATTATACCAAATTAACATTCAGCCCATAGACTCTTTATTTTACATGGGTTAGCATTAGGTCCAATACACCAAAGTGACATGGTTCTGTTCAGCCCATAGAGATAAACATAGACTCTTTATTTTACATGAGTCAGAATTAGGTCCAATACACCAAAGTGACATGGTCCTGTCTAACATTCAGCCCACGGAGATAAACATAGACTCTTTGTTTTACATGAGTCAGAATTAAGTCCAATACACCAAAGTAACATGGTCCTGTTTAGCATTCATAACATGAGAAACATGCACAAACCTGACGTAAGCCTTGGTTCCCATTTTACCGTTCTTCAAGGATGTATCAACAGTTAAATGTATCGGTGTTTTACATTCTCGAGAATAATATTCATGAATTAAAACAGAGTGACCAGAAACTTCTGAACCTGTAGAATACCTGGAAAATACAAATACCAAATTGTCAAATAAAACAGCAATCATTGCAAGTGTATTTTTATATTTCGGGTTAGACACTTGTAGAATACCTGGAAAATACACGACTCTATGTCTTTAATTCTATTTTTGCAAAATCACTATAATGTACCTGACAAAAGTGTTTTCCATTGTGGTTAAGAAATTAGGCTGTAGCCTTTTTTGTATTTAGACTTTAACGAGATTTATAAGCAACTGGCTGTCAACTTGATATTAAGTTTTTTTAAACACATATACAGTAAGAAATTCCTTCAGTGAACAGAGCATTTGATTAGTTGAATATTGGATAACCTTAGAACAGGAGATGAATAAAAGTTGAGCAAGTGAAGTCCCCTAAAGAAACATAATGATACATGCATTTTAATCAGATTGAACTTTAAGTGTACTGGAGAATCCAGCCAGCCTCAAACTTACCATCCCACAATCACTTCTGAAGAATTCACTTTTTTATAAAGTTCAAACATTTCTCTGGCATATTCAATATCCAAAGCAACCTGAAATAACCAATAGCATATTTAATGGCATGTAGTGGTTTTCCCCATTACATGTTCCTCCCCATGTTTTTCACCTCTTTTTAATCCTAGTGGTTTCCACCCTTACTTACTGTCTGTCTACATTGAGCTTTGATGTAAAATATTCAAAATAAAATTTTCAATTGTATACCATTTGTCTTAGAATGTCTTCGAGTTCATAGAAATATAAGGTTCAGTATTCTTACTTTCAAAATAGACACACTTCTCTCCCAGAAAAGGACCCCCTTTCGGACTGAAAATTCTCCTCTGTAAAATCATTTTTACATTTAATATTTTTTCAGTGCTTAACATTTTCAGTAGTATTTTGTAGTTGATATTTCATTTCATATGAAAATGATTGCCAAAATTTTATTCAGAAAATAGTTTGGTCAGAGAGTAGGTGGTTTCTTCCAGTAATTAACATATAATAAACTAATCAAAAACCTGTCAATCATTGATCAATTATTGTGATGGATGAACAATAGTAATAAATCAGGAATACTGAAATAAACTTCACATAATACAATTGGTATTGGGAACTAAATACCAAATGTTACCAGCTGATTAAACTCTTCTCTTAGAAGTACCACCACCCCCAGTATAGCCAAATTCAAATTCCTCACCTCCTGTTCAGATTCATTATGAGGAACAGCGAAACAGTTGGTTATTTCCACAGCTCCTTTGTCATAGTAACCTGTAAGACAAAACATAAATACAAAATTTAATTTTTAATAGGGTTTATTTCAAAATGTAAACAAACCACCCGGCTTGACAAAACAGCTGGATCAAATTATGGGTACTTTTTCGTGAAATCCATCGGATATTGAGTATCAAATTTATAGCAGAAAGGAACCTCACCCAACAAAGATCCGACCACTCTTCTGGCATCTTCATTTCTTCTCTCAAAAGAGTCAATAACAGTAAAAAGAACTACTGGATGAATTCGACACACGAGGTTGGACGACATTTTGAATTTTAATCCCGCAGATGACATTTCTCTCTCAGAAAATATTTAGAAGCCTTATTTTTTTTCAATCAAACAAATATAATATCTGTACATCTCATTTCATTTTCTTTTTTCCAATCAACTAGAATTGGTCCAAAAATAAATAACATCGAAAAAAAAAATATGAGATTATGTGCTTGACTAAACTTCCGGTTCATACTTTACTTCCGGTTGCATGAAAACATTTCCAAAGAAATCAAGAAAACACTATTTATGGAAACTGAAACCAATTTGTAGAATAGTACCAACATTAGTCAAGGTTTAAAATCAGAACTTTATTTTGCTATTTGGTTCAAGTAATCAATACATGGGCATAAGTGAACAAATTTTCTTTTTCTTTGTCTTAATTTTGTTGTTATTATATAAAATTAAAATCTAGATATAGGCCTAAAATTAAAGAGACTTGTAATTCCTTAAGCCTCAATTGAACACAGTTGACATTGCTCTTTCTATGACACCTGCACATCTTTGTTGTCCCTGACAGAAGACGTGAGTACAGATGGTGCTGGTTGCTTTTTTGGGACACTTTTGTTTCCTCCTCTTCCACAGTTTCACGTCTGAAGCCTTTTTCTTTTTTTCCATAAAAGACAACAACAAAAGCTATTAATTTTTTGATAATTGGTTCCTTTGCTGTAATGACCTAACACTCCTGCACTGTGCAAACGTATTATTTACAACCAAGTCATACTTTAAGGTGGTCTAGAAGCTTGCAAGCTTAATACAGACCAAAGTTGATTAAGAATCAGTAAGAATGAAAAAACGATTGTTACCATACCTTTTTCCTTGAATTTCAGTGATTATAAAATGATATACCGGTAGTTAAGTAAAGTCGTAGAAAAATTTAAACCACCAAAATGGATGAAGAGACGGCAATATGGAGAGGAATTACTGGTCCGAGGATGGAAAGATGTTTACTTGGAAAGGAAGAGATCAATCTTCCAGAGATTTTCATGGAACAAGTATGTGTAATCAAACTTTAGCCTTTGACCAAATCTATGGTTATGATATGTTCTTTCATGGAATAAGTATGGATTTACCTGGAACATAGGGTTTTTAGCTTAGCTTCAATACCCCTTTCAAACTAGTTATTTGTACTTAGCATATATTAACAAGATAGCATAAAAAATTGAAATTGTTTTGCGTTTGAGCATTTACTATCTTAGTAATATATTTCACTTGTCAACAATTCGCTATTTGAAGGAATGGAGAAGTGATGTAGTGTGACATCTTAACTTGAATAGAATAGTTGGTACTGATCTCTTCTAGTTGTAGATTCACTGAATACTTGAAATAAATAATTTATTGTTATATCCTCCAGTTGGTTAATACATCTGATACTTGAATCATGTCATTTCTTTCTCTTTGATTTTCTAGTTTTGTTAGACCCATTATCCTGATCCATGTTGGGTTTGGGTTAGAAATTATGGGTTAAAAGTTATCATGCTTTATCCAATTTTAAACTCTTCCAAATCTATAGGGGTTATAGTCAACTTAGCTAAAAGTTATGGGACCATTTTAACGTTTTCATAGAACCATTTTGACTTTTTCATTGGACATAATCCATATTGCCCCTTTTTCTGGGCCCTTTAGACCAAATGATAGGACCATTAAGTGCCTAAATCTACATCTGTAGATGTAATTAAACGGGTGCTATCAAAAATGACTACACAAAGTAATGGTAAACATTATATTTTTTAGTTTTATATTGTCATGAAGGTTGTCTTTATATTTGTTTCAGACTGACATATTCTTCAGTGTTTTAGGTCAAGAAACCTGGGACAATGTTTTAAACAAAGATCAGAAAACCCATCTTATGGTAAGACAAAAGTTGGATGTAAAACTCCATTCATTTCATTTCATTTATGGTAAGACAAGTTGACTATACCTTATAACATACAAACAGTGGGATATATAATTCAGTTCATTAGTCCATAAGATACATAACAGTAAGATATACGAAAAACTCTTAATGTTATAAATGGTAAAGCTGTTTATTGTTAAATGTTTCAAAATTCCATTTTCTTTTCAATGTGATTTCAGTTTTATGAAGAGTAGTAATATTTTTTAAAAGCCATAATGGCAAATAAATTAAACTGAAAATTTTTTTTCCAGAAATTTCTGCCAAAATTTGAAGGAGATGACAAAGAAGAGAAAGAAAAGACTGTTCAGTAAGTAACTTTTGGTGTCTTGAGACGATTCTTTCAGCGTTTCAACTCATAGATCTGATGTGATCCAGGATAGCTAGTGAAATCATTAAATGTCTACTTCATTAATTTTATCATTTTTCATGTTTCCATCGGTAAATTGTTTTGGCTTGTGGATTGGAATCTGGATGCATCTGTTTCTTAATGCTATTGGGAGACAAGTACAAGTTAGATTTTCTCCTCAGAGCAATTCACTAGAAACAAGAGTATAAAGTGACCATCATATGATTTTTGCGAAACAGGTTAATGGATGGTGATCACCTTCTTGTCATATTTGCCATTATTTCTTTTAGAATGCTGTTCAATCAAGAAAATTTCAAATTCGGAAATCCACTGAAAAAATTCCAAGTTCAAATCAGAGGTAAGAGATATTGTTGAAATTTTGCTCCAAAAGTTAAACAATAACATGTATTTGGGGACATGTCTGTTAGGTGCCAAGTTGACTATAACTCCAGTAAAATAACTATTTATTGAAATTATCGCAGGAACTCATTTTCTTATTCTGTTATTTATTTAAATCAATATTCAACGAAGAAATATGTAATAAATCACCTTAATTTGCTGAACGAATTTCTCAGTCTATAATTTCCCTTTGTTTTATATTACAGATGGTTATTTTTCACCTGATATCGCGAGGTACGCTAGCCTCTGTCGACGTGTCAAATATCGAGAATATAAATTCAATCAACAACGATATTATTCTGATTTATTAAAAGATATTCTACTATCTAGACAGGTAATACAGAGATAACTTGGTCTTATCATTTAATGATTCAGAAATAATGTGACTGACTTTCCTGCAGGTAGGAAGGGGCTGACATGGAAGGAATCTAATAACTAGGTCTGTGTGCTACAGGCTGTTCATGTTAAAGATTCTTCAACAGTAGGAAATTGAAAAAAAGGAGGCAAATGCACACATTGGACACTGCATGGTGTTGCACGTCTTCATTAGCCCAATCTGATGCAGGAAACTAGGACGTAAAACTCATTTCATTTTCATTTGTTAACTGTTGGTTGTCGTAATTAAGACATTTTCATTATTTTGTCCCAACACTTCTAACTATATCTTAATAAGGTTCCATTTTAAGTCTTTATGTTTTAATGTCTGTGAAAATCTACATGATTGTTTTTTTAATTTCAGAATGTATTTGAACAAGCACGCCACCTAGCTCCCCTTCAACCAATCAAATTTAAGTTAAACCCCCCAGTACCCACCCAGAATAAATCTCTAGATCAGAGGGTCAAGAAGAAATATATCAGGTAAAATGTTTATAGAATCCAACACTGCAGCATGATGTCAGACAGAAAGAAAGTAAGACAGAAACTACTATATAGGATTACAACTTAGGTTCACAATAAGGGATACTTTCTACCAGCTGGTCGTAGGCCAAACCTCTTGACATTGACCTTTCCCATTTACCGAGTCGACTTGAATTATGAAAATAATTTATTCGAGTTATTCATCCTTTTACGTGAGGGCCGAGATAAGAACCCACAGCCACCATTTGCTCGACGTAACCAATCAAATGACGTCATGTAAAGAACCAAGGCTGTAATGATTATGCTTCAGATGCTTAAAGACAGGTTCTAAATAGGTGTTTCTAGCCTACAGGCTTACATCCTGAATTTAATGCAATTTGAAAGAGGATAATGTCATTACAGAGCATGGAGCCACAACTTGAACTGTTTGAACTTTTGAGTATTATAAGATTACCATATAAAAGTTAGGTCACGTTTGACTATGATAATGATTAGATAATGAGAAAGAGAGTTATCTAACTTGTTGTATTATTTTCAGGTTGTTAAAGGAAATGAGAGAAGAGATAGGTGTAGAGGGAACATCCTCAGAGGAAGAAGAAGAGGAGAGCATCAGTAAGTTGGTGATTCTAAACCTTGCTGTCCTGGTAGAATTTCACTCATTGTTCGCTGCTTGACTAATCCATCTTTAAGACAATTTCCATTGATTGCACATGAATTTAACAATATATTTGATTCTAAAAAGTAGTACAGATAGTTGAAAATAAAAGATATTAGACAACTGAAACTGAAAGCCAATCGAATGCAGATAAATCATATTAACAAATTGTTTTAAAGCATATTTTGTGTTGACTTTCTGTCATATCCAAAAAATAAGTATTTAAATCATATGTAAATTTTCATTAATTTTTAAAAATATATTTTGTAGGTCCAGTACAACGTAGTAGAAGACAGTTATTTAAATCATTAGGACCGATTCCTTCCCCTGACCCCACCGTGCCCAGTGTACTCGCTACGTTTGCCAGTAAACCTATACCAGTTGCCCCAGTAACGAATGGGGAAACCAACGCTCAGGGTATGTTAGTTGTATCTTGGTTTGATTCAAGGATTTTTTGATAGAAATATGTTTAAACTTTAACAATGTTAGCTTGTATACAAAATCATAACATGGAGAGAAAGTTGGAATTTTAGGACACTCTGAATATTAACACCAGTCCTGTGATACTGTAAATTGAAAATGCAGGAACAAAAGTAAGTAAGTCATAACACTTGGATTTTTTCTCAAATTCAATTAACTGAAAAAACTACAAACACAGTGTCATGGCATTATTCTGCCACCTCAAAACTCAAGATATAAGATTTTTATACGTGTATTTTAGGTGAAAATGGTGTACAGAAGAGACAGAGACCATTCAGTCCTGTAGAAATAACAGATGATCATTATAAACTACTTATAAAAAATCATAAACGCAAGAAAACAGAACTTGTGGTTAGTTACTTCTATAAAATACATCACAGTACACAGTCTGGACCTGCACTGGAATAATAAGAGATAACTTATTCAAGGTCACCAGAACTTCACACTCTGACAGAGATTAGAACCCAAGACCACAATTTTTTGGACATAAGCAAGCAAATGAGGTCATGTGAAGAACACTCTAACAGACAGTGTTAAAATTCATCCTCAAACTCACAGTGTCTATGAGTATATAAATATTGTTATTTTAGGATCTACCAGAACTGGATACCACCAATATTACATTACAAGATATTCTGTCACGTTGTCAAGCCAACAAGAAAAACTCCAAATCTCCAGCAGGTTGGTATTAATAAACTTAATTGCCATGATGATAATTGGACAGGTTAAGGGAATTGTATCAAAAATACACCTGATTAAGTTTCCTCCCATTTATGGATGTTGCTTATCTCTGCAATAACCAAAAGATCTTTAATTTGAAAAAAAACCACAGGCTATTTGGCCATGATTTTTATTCTACAAGTGCTTGGGACACAGACAAAATCTTCTCTACTTCAAATTAACAAGTATAGATTTTCTTTGTTAAAAGAGTGGTCATAGATTATTTAAATTTTCAGGTCAAGGTCAAAACGGGGTGTCAAAGAAGAAAAAGATAAAAGATGAAAAAAAACTAAAAAAGAAGATCAAAAAAGAAGGGGAGAGAAATGGAGACGATCAGAGTTCAACGTCCACCTGTCTAGAGCAGACGTCTCAGAATATTGAAGTGGTTGATGAGATGTTAAACCCTACTGATGATCCCTTGTCTGAATTCCCCCTACCCGTGTAAGTTTGTATTTGTAGAATTACAATAAATCTCATGATGTTGACCTATATAGTTTTGGCGGGTGTCGCGGGTGAAGCAGACCATGCTTACTCTTTTCGTAACGCCTGATGGCAGAAGTCCACTACTATACAACTTTTACTCTCCATTTTGCCATATTTTGGATGAGATTTTGATTAACGGAATTGTCCTGCTTGTACCAATTTTGATTTGTTACATATATGTTTTTTAATATAGCCTGTTTATGTAATTTTGAGGAAGACATGAAAGGACTATAGAAATTGAAAGTTTTCTTTTTTCGTTTCCAGCTAGACCAGAAATTCACGCTAAATTTTAATTACTTTAGTATATAAATTGTCTGTGCTACATTGTTGATGGTATTTATTATTTTTTAGATCGAGTATAAGTACTACAGATATTAAGATAGAGTTAGATCAGAATGAAAATTTCTTTACATTAATACGTGACATGATGTGTGGCTTCCCTGACATGAAAACAACATTACCCAAAGTAAGTTTTTCATTCATCTTAAACAACATTACCTAAAGTAAGTTTTTAATTCATCTAAAACAACATAACCTAAAGTAAAGTAAGTTTTTTTTTATTCATCCAAAACAACATTACCTAAAGTAATTTTAAATCATCTAAAACAACTTTACCTAAAGTAAGTTTTTAATTCATCTAAACAACATTACCTAAAGTAAGTTTTTTTTTATTCATCTCAAACAACTTTATCTAAAGTAAGTTTTTAATTCATCTAAAACAACATTACCCAAAGTAAGTTTTTTTTAATTCATCTAAAACAACATTACCTAAAGTAAGTTTTTAATTCATCTAAAACGACATTACCCAAAGTAAGTTTTTAATTCATCTAAAACAACTTTACCCAAAGTAAGTTTTTAATTCATCTTAAACAACATTACCTAAAGTAAGTTTTTAATTCATCCCAAACAACATTACCTAAAGTAAGTTTTTAATTCATCAAAAACAACATTACCTAAAGTAAGTTTTTAATTCATCTAGATCAACATTACCCAAAGTAAGTTTTTGATTCATCTAAAACAACATTACCCCAAAGTAAGTTTTTAATTCATCTAAAACAACATTACCTAAAGTAAGTTTTTAATTCATCTAAAACAACATTACCTAAAGTGAGTTTTTAATTCATCTTAAACAACATTACCCAAAGTAAGTTTTTAATTGATCTTTTATTGAATTATTCAGCTAAGATGTTGCTTATAGTTTTTTATATTGTATTTATTCTGTTGAGATTAGATAAACCTATATTTTACTGGCTGTAATATTTAACAAAATATCGTAGATTATCGTACGAGCATAAACTCTATAAATTAACTAGTTGATAACATCATTAAGAACCCTTTTCTACATTTAACTAGCAAGTTTAGTCGTACAAATTTTGAGAAACAGGGTCCTAGTGTTTTTTAAATTATGTATATAGGCACTCTAAAGATGTTGTTAACTATTTAAAATTCTATTTGTAGCTAGAAGAGAAGATGAGAGAATGGCAGGAATCTGGTGCTAGCTCTCACAATTCCTGGTATAAACTACACAATAACTGGTCAGAGTTGATTTTATCAGCGTTGAAATTCCTATCAGGGGATGCACTAGGTAAGTTTTGACATTATTTTATACTGTGAATTTCTCTGAGAATTCTTACTAAGCTTGCTCGAGTTGAAGCTAACTCATCATTTTAAAATAATTTTACGATGATAATTTTTTGAAAATGTGAAACACAATTTAATATTTCAGAATTAATAATTTTAAACTGGTTATCCATTATCAATTAGGTCTGTTTACTTCCCATTTTGCTATTCTTTGGACGAGATTTTCGATTGACAGAAGTGTCTTAATTGTATTGATTTTTATTATCAAAAACACGATAAAACATGAACTCTACATCTACCTCAATATAGATGCAGATTTAGATGTTTTGTTTCATGTATTTTCTGCTTGGTACTAACTCTCCATCATCTCATTGAAGCAGAAGTGGCTTCAACATTTCAGAAAACTTGATCCTAGAATATATTTGTAATTTCAGGTTTAGGAATAGAGAATTTTATTCCGTATGTTGACTATAAAGAACGACCCCAACATTGGAAATGGATTGGTAAAGGGAGGGATGACACAGAGAGTTTAACACCATTGTTCGAAGTCTGGTTCAAAAATAAAGACGGTAGCCTGTTTGACGGTGGTGATTCCAATCAGAGTTCACCTCCACCAGCTAGAAGGTAGGTTAGATAGTAATTAATAATATATTAATTTAATATAATTTATCTCTCTGATATTGGTCAGTTTATTTATGATATTTGTAATAAATGTTCATTCTACATGCATATTTCTAAATGAATGTAGGAAAGTTTCGAGACCAATGATCTGGTATTTTGTTTTTCAGTAAAACAGATTACGTAGTGAAGGCATCAACAAAAGAAGAAAAAGTTTCTTTTAGAGAGCAGGTTAGTAGAAAAATATCTTAAAGATATTGTAAATGTTTTATGTATATCAGGGACACTGATAATATAGTTGTGCATCGTTTTGTTTTTCATTCAGACATCTGTGATTCTTGCAATTCCACTAAAACTAAGCAATTTTCTTTTTTTTTTTTGTTTCAGGAAGAGCAGAGATTTTACGAACCTCACAAGCCCTATACTTATAATATCCATGGTTACGATGCAGTGGTAGGACCTGTAAAAGGAGTCTACAGTAAAGAGAGCGCTATGACGAAAGCGAGAGAGCATGCTCTGTTAATTTCAGATCGTCCAGCGTACGTTACTATACTTACTATTGGTGAGTCTACATTTTTTTTACTGTTTGGTGTCTTATTCACAAAACCTTTCATCTGACTGATCAATTACTAAAATTACTAACTCAGCTTTTAATACTATGAAATATTTAGTCTGGGATCTTATTCACAAATACCTTACTTCAGATGATTTTAATATTCTCTTCATCTGATTGGTCAGTCATTAAAATTGATGTTAAATTAAGTATTATTTAAGCAAAATAAACACAATTGTAGAGAAATATGTCTCCTACTATTATGGAGGTTTCATCTTAAAATATCGAGTCTTTACGAGGCCCAACACCAAAACCAGTTTTAACAGCTTAATTAAGAATTAATTAATCTAATTAACCCTTTTAAAACAAATTCAGTTTGATCAAGTAGATAAATAGATGCAAATAGCATATTTTAGAAATATTTTCATATATAATTCACATTGTAATTAATAATGTTTATATATGGTATCTGCACATCAATATCAACTTTGATATTTGTATCACAAAATGTACAAACTGTTACCACTAAGACCAGTTTTTCCAAGTAATTGTTCTTCCATGTGTGCATTCTATCTTGGTAACGCCAAACTGTCCTATCATAGTCATGCATATAACTAGAAGCAATGGCTGTAGCTTCAGAAATTCATTGGAGTAAATATTTAGATATGATATCCATGTGCACAGCCAGACGTGTCCAATGGTTTCTTACAGCATCCCCATTTATACACCACGCGGAGTAACTTTCCTTGGTTGTTATAGCACTCTGTTATCTCCCGTCCTTTTCGATGAAACCTACACGCCATGTTGTTATTTTCATTGACTCGGAATAAAATTTGACAGCGGAGACATTTTCCGATATTTTGATTTCCTGGAGCTCGTGGTGATTGGCCAGGGATGTTGGATATCAGGTTTTGTTGTCGTTTTTCGCGAAGTTTCATTATTGAGAAGGCTTCTCTTGGAGTTGTGTCTGCTACAGTTTGTTCACCTTCATGATAGGTTCTCTCCCTTGTTATCAACTGATCTGTGCCGTCTGTCAACTTCAATTCAGGAATAACAACTTCGTCGAGATGAAAACTGCTGGAGCGAGCTTCGTTGTAGTTCTTTACGATGCCTCGAACTCGAGATAGTTTGCTTTTAACTGAGGCGAGTTCTCGCTGCAACCATTGAATTTCTTTATTTAGGGCAGAAATGGTTTCGAATTGGTCAGTTCGTTCTTGATTAAGTCTCGATAAGTCTTCTCTTAAAATATTCATTTCGCTGTTCAAAATGTTTTCTCGTGATGATCTATCTTTGAGTGCCTTCGAATCGCGAATATATCCACCAAGCTTCGTCAATAGATCTGGTATGTTATGTTGTTTGTTGTCAGATGGGCCTGGATGTTGGGATGTTAGGTAGACACTGTTAACCAGTTCCTGTAGTGAAGTTTTGGTAGCGAGCATTGTTCGATGGTTTTTGTCGATCTCTTGAAGTGAATTCTGTACTTTTTCTTTCCATTTATTTCTTTCGGCCTGAAGATTTAAGACATATCAATATGATTTGAGACAAGAAATTCTGTATTTTTCAATATTCTAGTTGATTTCTTTCTCATGTTCAGTCATTCAAATCCCCATTTTTAAGCCTACGCTGTGGAGCATGAATTTGCAGGAATTTTTGTTCCCTTCTTAAGTGAACTCGTGGACTTAGAATTGACCTTGATCAGTTGAAATTTTCTAAGGCTTTGAAGATATTTTTGATCAAATTTGCATTTTTTGGTGACTCTAAAAAATTATTTGCTGTGTGCATTTGAACTTTTTAATCAATGACTTTTTTGGTCACACTAGGACATCAGATAGAAACAAAATTTGTATTTGAAAAAAAACTTTATAATGCACTCACATGTTTTTATATGAAAAAATACAAAACTGTACCTGTAAGAGCTGGCAGAATTTTACTTTCAGATTGTCCATTCTTTTATCACTGTCATCATCACTGGTCAAGGTATCATTAGAATTCTCTAGTAAATCCTGAACATTGGATTGAATATCATCTTCAATCATCAAAGGATGTGGATTGTCAGTTCCTATCTCTCTTGTTTCCATTTTAAACTTTTCTGATTTTACAATTCCATTTTTAAATTTACTATTTTCACTTTCACTTTCACTATTTCACATCTTTTTCAGTCTTTTGTTTTCAATTGACACTAAATGTCACTGCCTCAATTTATTATATCACTTGGAATTCTGCTAGCCTATCCAGAGATTTCAAACCAGAAACAAGAATCGTCTCTTCTGTTTAAAAGTAGAATAAACATCAATTAAAACTATAAAAACTTTGGCAAATGTAAATGAATTTTTTCATTCCTATACAACAAATATTTTTCTTCATATTTTCAGATCTGGACCAAATTCTGGTGTCTTTCAGTTTGTTTTAGTTTCCTATCTATTTCATTAACAGCTCATTTCCTTCAAATTCTTAAACCTGAATTTGTCCAAATTTCTGGACTAACCACTCAACCTATTTTCTTGCAATTTTCTGGCAGAGTGTCCAGATTTCACGGGGGTAAATTGAGCTGTTATTGTCATGTCAACACTTACTGCTGACTGACGTTCAGCTGGCCGAGACAGTTAATCTGGTAATAGGATTAAAGGATTGGCTTGGATTAGGGCTTGAAGGATATTGCCAAATTTTGATGTAGTTTCTTTTATATTAATAAATTCTGTCATAAAAACTACAATTTTTAACCATATATGGAATATTTTGCAAAACTTTATTTGACATAAAAGAAAATTGATAATGTTGTTATCCATATTTTAAGGGATTTATCTCAGATGATGTTGAAATTTATTTTCAAAATTCCCAAATTACAGAAAAATCCAAATTACAGATATTAGTAGAAAATCAAACTTAATGACTTTTGAGTCAGAACTGTTAAAGTGTTGAGTGATAAAAGTCAAAACAGACCAATGGTCAAATGAAACCAACACTCTTTGGTCAATACAGATATTAGTAGAAAAGTGTAGATTAATGCCTTTTGAGTTAGAACTCTCTAGTGTTAAAGTCAAAACAGACCTATGGTCAAATGAAACCAACAATTTTTGTCAAAATGGACCTAGACAGTGGTCATTATAGACCCTTAACCCCCTGCAGCTTCTTCCCAAAGTCACAATAGGCTTAAAATGTTGAAACCCTTCTGGCATGTATGTCACGTATGGGATGAATGGATCTTTAAACTGGGTTGGCCTGAAATCTCCTCAATGGTACATCTTAGACTCGTAGGTTATTTTTATTATAATCCACGTAGACTGTTAAATCACCAGTAGACATATTTCAGGTGTTTTTTCTTCGTGAAAATGAGATTTTATTAATCCTATTAGTATTATTACTTGAGGTATATTAAATTACGAGTTATATATTATTATTATTATTATTATAAAGGGGCTAGATTTTGATAAGGGAATGTTGCTAGTATAAGATTGAAGTATTTGAAGCTACAATTTTAGAAGGGTCTGACATGCAAAACGTATCGAATAGAATGGGACAATAAACTAAGGCCCTGTTTGTTACATTTTTAAAGATGCCAGGACAGTTGCAAATAAAAAAGAGTAGGATAAGAAATAGACAACTGTCCTCCCAAAATTACTCTCATTGCACAATGTATGGCCTTGCCGGTATTCAGAAACCAAATTGGATGTAAGATAAAGCGATATTCATTCATTAAATTTGGGTTCTCCTATAACAGGTATTACAATGGTTGCAGAGCATGCCCATTCCTCTAGAATTTAAGTTAGGGTCAAACTCCGTCAAAGAATGGCTTCAAGTGATCGGAAAGACGAAGCATGAATGTAAAAAACAACTCTCCAAATTACCAAATAGAATTTAATAAATATATTTAAATACTTTGATTTTATTACAATATTGCAAATAACATTTATAAAACAAACTTTTTAATATTTACTATTGGTTACTATTGGTTATTTCTCTAAGGGAAACAGTTGTATAATGATTTCTGCCAATTACTATCCCACCTTTATTACAGATGTCATGTGCAATATTTGTAAATGTTTGATGATCGATTAGGTTCTGCAAGTGATAAACGGTCTGTTTAAGTTGTACGAGTCAAGTATTACAGTTAGCTGAAATCTATATATCTATTTAGAGATATATACCCCATTTAGATTTATTTAATTTGAACCTTTTCAAGATATTGCTCAAGAGGTATAAATATTCATACAAGATATTGCAAAATACAAAGTAACAACATACCATTACATAAAATCTGTTTGTTAGACCCAATAATTATTATAACAAAAACACAAGACAATATTATGGAATATAACACACTTCTTTAATAAGGTTGGGCACATAACGTTTCAACACAATATACACGTGTCGTCATCAGATGTAATGGCAAGAGAATAAAACATAACAAAATATATACCAACAAGAAACAATATAGAGATTAAGAGGGACAGTAGATAAAAGGGTAATAACAATGCGAAGTCATGGAGGAGGTACCGAGCAAAATAAGCTAATGAGATATGCTGAGGAAGGCACTGGGAGGAAAATACGAGAATGAAGTTATGTGCCTAACCTTATTAAAGGAGTGTGTTATATTCCATAATATTGTCTTGTGTTTTTGTTATATGTGCTCCTCGCTTCTATATGTCGTTCAAATCTTATAGCGATAATTATTGTTATGTAACACGTTTGACGTTGGTACATCTCCAGATTTGTAGGTAAAATGTTAGTCTCTTACTGTTTTGTTGAATTTTTGTAAATTTTGTCAAGACATAACATAGAAAGTCACGATATTTGTAACCAAGTGATTAAATATGATGTCCGAATGAACAACCTGCAGAATCTATCTCTTGACGACAACATTGCCACACGTACATCACCCTTAGCAACTGTCCTGAATTATTATACTTCTCGAAACGTTCCTTGGGTTTCGGATGATAGCAACACGCCAGTTTGTGGTTATCGATTTTACGGAACAACTTCTGACATCTGAAACATTTTGCTACGGGACC